ACTGTATATACCATGCCTCCTATGCATTCTACTGCCAACAGTCTCTCCAGTGGGAGTTCGCCATGTTCGAAGGCCTTTCTCAAAGCTGCATGTGAACAGGCAGCAAAGACACGCCGATACTCATCAGAAGCTACTCGGGCAGAGATCGTCCAGCAATTTCGACGCGTTTTCGACGATCTGGAGCTGTATGACTGGCAGGTCGATGTCACGGAGGCCTTGTTGCTTGGAATGGACTGCACGGTGATCGGTGGTACGGGTGCGGGAAAGACCATGCCATTTGTCATGCCTCTGCTCTTGGACCAGACGAAGAAGAAGATGGTTTTGATCATCTCCCCTTTGAATGAGCTGGAGTATGATCAGGTATGTGCCTTATATACCTCTCATTCCTATCGAGAAGCTCATCCATAGATCGTTATCTAACTGCTCAGGAGGCACGCTTTGTGAAGCTCGGCATCACTGCAACCGCTGTTAACGGAGATGTCTACGACAAGCGGCTCCACAAGGTGTGTGGTTTTTGTGCTCTACTACACAGGTATTCTTAACACATATGTATTCCAGGATCTCGAGAGACACAAGTATCGCGCTATCCTGACGTCGCCGGAGCGAGGCTCACTGTGTCTCTCAATGGGGAGACAAGTTTCGTAAGATATTCGCTGAGCTCGGCAGACTGCGATCGCTCGCCCCCTTGCATGTCCCTTTCCTAGCTACATCGGCGACGCTACCCCCCCTTGTTCTTGATGAGATACGCCTAAAGCTAAGGTGCATACAGCCAGCAGAACAGTGAATGTGTGCTGCTACTCGACGCGTCTGAGTACTTGTATGCGCGTTCTGACGCGCCTGGTCACGCATACGTCACCAGTGACATCCGTTAGTTTCGTCACTTATCCCCCCCGCCTATACCAAATTCACCAGACGGTATAGCAGAGTCCGTGCAGACGTTTTTCGCTCTCCGCCTGTACTCCGACGCCCACGTGACTCTGCTATGACGTCTGGTTACGAGACTAGTAATTTCTCAATTCATGGTTGCCCGGAGACTCTATGTCTCATTGTGGAATTCAGTGAAAGGCCACTCGAGAAAGTGAAACTCCAGTTGACAGTGGCGCAGGCGAGCGCTACGCCACACGCCCGAATCATGCAACTTCGTCCGCGTGTCGCTCAAGCTTGTTCGTGTATCCTGTCTCCATTCCTTTGTGCCAGAGTATCTTACGCGTTGTCCACGTTCAGCATCAAAACAGTGCACTTAATCGCCATCGAGGCCGGAATGCTGGACAAGATCTCCGTGGAAGAGTGCATACCTATTCGGCATGCAATTTGCTATCATCAAGACGGTTCATGCACACACGAGATGGTCTCCAAGAAGTCGATTCAGCATGCCCGATGGAGATGGATGTGTCTTCACAGTTTGCATTGATTCTCGCCCGGCCATAACGTCGCGATAGCTCCGTGATAGTCTCTGACAGCAACAACATGGATAGCAACACCGAAAGGCTAGGATTTCTCATGGAGGGACAAGATGATGGGCGACCTGACTTGCAGCGAAAGCTTGGGGAAAGGAAGCTGCCGTTGGTGCGTAGCAAGCGTTTCAGTTGCCACCAGAATGGTGAACGATGGCGTTGACCAGTACTAGTCTCCCTTGGAAGATACCATTTGGCTCTTCTGGCAGTCTCGTTAGAGGACGTACGAGTCAGCGCACTTACAATGCGCATATTAATTCATGCATACGGGGGAAAGCGCTGAATCTACAGAGTGATGTTAGTGCTCCGTAAGTCATCCGAACATTCTCAGACAGCCTGACGAGTTTTCATGTTCAGTTGAATCCTGTGCATTTCGGGCCTTCATTAATTGGGATATTCCAAATCACGAGTGGCTCAGAGTCGCCGCCATTCCTGCCTATACGGCCCAAATTGTTACTGGTTCTGTGACATTAGAAACCCGTTGGGATGTCGGGTCTATGAGCACCAGATAGTGCGATGTAAGCACATAATATTTAGCCTACGACAGCAATAAGCTCACCCGTAACCCTGGCCGTTCGGCAAAGTGGCATCTGACGGCCCTGTAGTTCCAGGAAGATTTCGCTCACGACACGCAGAAGATTATTTGATGGTGACAATGTATGTCTTCGTAACCTCAAACATCATCACAGAAGCCATTGCCACGCAGAAGCTATGTCGTGGCCAAACGAGTGGCGGGCGATATGCCAACTACGGCGAGCTTAGGCCGCGACAAAGTACCGCGGAGGAGACATCATCTCGTATGCCATTTCCAGCAAGAACTGTAAACCAGTTGCAACTCGACCGGAGAATTAGACGTGACTGCCGCTTGGCAGACGACGAAGGCAAACGAGAGGTTAAGCGCGGCGTGAGCATGCTTTTATCGGGCGCCAACGCGTCTGTGGGCTACAAGTGCCACTCGCTCTTGAGCGTGTCTATTCGCGACAGGCGTATAAATAAGAGTAACGATATACATTATGTGAGTCTATTCAGTCATATCAACGAGATGACGTAGTTGAATATGGTCTCCCAGAGCCTCGCCATGAAACGCTCGCACATGTGGTGCTCTAGCCAATCAAGCTCTCGACAGACTCTTTGATCTTTTACTCAGCTCACACTAATCCACCTCTGCATAGACGGCTCTCTCTTTCTTGATGAGCATGTTGCCTCTGCTTCTTCTTGATCTCACGAAGGACCAACGTCATGCCCGCGAGATGCATCCAGGCCTGGAGATAGATCCTGCTGCAGTACTCTGCGGCCCACCGCTTCTCGAGTTCCTCGTCGCGTGCACGACGCTCCTTCCTCACCGCACGAGAGTCTTTGCCAACCGGCTTGCGATGCTCCTCCGTGGACGCATTCGTCCTCTGGCTTCCTTCGGCAGAGCTGGGTCCTCTTGCTTGTCCCGTAGGCACCTCCGTCTCGCGCTTCTGCCCATCCACCACATTGGAACGCTCGCGGTCCTGTGGGCACGTGTCATCTTTCCTCGTTCCTTTGAGCACATGCACGACATTGCTTACCTTCGGGGCGGCAACCGACGTTTCCACCAAGGTGAAACGGCTTTCAGGATATCTCTTGTTGAACGCCCTCATAGCAGCCAGTGTCATTCCTGGCTTCAGCTCATGGGAAGGGCTCAATTTGTAAAAGATTTCGCCCAGGAAAATATCCCATGCCATAGTCTGGTCAACATAGTCGGGGATATCATTCAATGCGGGCCATGCCAGTTTGCACTCAGTTTCTGCTTCTGTGGCCCCAGCTGCTGCCGCAAGCTCCGTGGCGATGTGCCATATCGTTTTGGGCTCCGTCGATCCAGCCTCTTCAGCAAGCTCCGCGATAACTAGTGGGTTCGCGAGCCGTCGTACTTTGGGTTCCCTTTCACGTTGCATCTTATCGGCTTTCGCAACGCGTGCCGCGTAAGCTGCTCCGATGTCTAGACATTGCGCGAAAATCCGTTCGCATGATGCGATGGATGGCAGCTGTGCCGATGTTACTTGCTGAGGAACGCCGACCATACTCTGTCCTACCATTGACCTACGAACCTGCTGCGTCGGCACAGTATTGAACGACAGGGAAGGCGGAGTAGGCGGGAAAGAAGGTTCGTCAGATTGGGTGCTGGACGTCTCAACCCTGCTGATCATTTCTAGCTCTTCGCCGTTGTCGATGTCCTGCGCAACCTCGTCAGCGACGATCTACGGACATGGAGCCACTATCGACATCCTCACGCCATGCGTCGCGGATGAGCTGTTATTCACCTGTGATCCAAAGCATCCCTGCTCTGCAACAACATGCTCATCTTCATAATCTGCTGCATTGTCCCAGCCATCAAGGTAGAGCACCGGTTCGGGGAAGTTGTCAGCCCCAATCTCCGGGATCGGTTGTAAAACCCGCGCGCCGAAGCGCATGTGGAACTGCAGCAACATTGAATACCTTGTGCACCAACTGACTGAAACCTTTGTGCTCACCGTAGACTCGTACTCAGCCGAAGCATCCGTGCATCCATCATCGCCGTCCGTTGCCAATGCATGTTCCTCAAATCCGTCGACCGTGAAGCATGTTGACTTCATATGACGTCCACGATGATCAGTGCTATGAGGTGAGCACAAGCATAGACACGAATGCGTCAGTTGGATAACTCACCGAGACATCGTCCCTGTTGTCATCCGTGTGTATGTTTGTGTTTCCAGTGATCGCCTCGAAGATGGCGCCAATAGGCTCTTGCGCATGGTCGTGCTCCGCAAAAGCGCGTTGCACTTTCTTCAGTCGTTTAATTGAGTTCTTGATGGCCGCATGGGCCCTTTTGAGCAAGCTGAACATTGTGGCGCAGTACGTCGAGTGGCAAACTCAATGTCAAAATGGTACTCGACGGACTGAGATCTCAAATAGGTGAGTCTGACACTGTTGGTAAGAAGTATAATGACAAGAACTGTCAAGAAGTAGTGTGGATGGATGGTGATGATCACTTGTGGCGGTCAGGGAATAAGTGCGAGGAAGAAAGCAAGGCGCGTCGCGGTTGACTTTAGAATAGGCGCTTATCTCGGTGGCTCGCGCCCACGCATGGACCTCGTGTGCCATTGCCCACCATTTTCGACCGTAGCTGGAGTTAGCCAAGCACTTCTGCTGTTATCGTGTCTTCCTTTCCAAGCCCGAGACTTTACCTCTAGTGCGTCTGGACGTTTCGTGTGGCTTGCAATCATATATGATATGTTGCATTAGAACAAAGGTCACGTCTGGAAGATGAGGCCTCCGCAACGGTAATCACCTTTCTGTGGCATCGCTTGTGCGTAAAGGCCAAGGAAAAATAAACAAAGAAAGTGAGGCACGAACTTGTTATGTGGCGCCAACGCGCCTGTGACCGTTACGCAATATGCGTCTAATTGCATGCACTCGCAAGCTGGATAGAAAAATCCTGTTCGCGGGATTCAATTCAGTTCTCTCTCGTGACGGAGTGTTTAATAGAGTCTTTTCTAGCAAGCAAACACGCAAAATCCAGTACCGCATCATTCGCATTTTTATGCACTATCCACTCGAAGTACCATACTTTCCGGTGCTCCACTTACTTCCTGGTCCGAATTTTCTCTCATTCCTTTGCTGGCTTCACTCCTTCCACCTCATGCCACGGCGCCAGATGCAGCGTTCGTTGCCGGTAAGAATTCTACTGGACATGTTACAACTGTTTAGTACATGACTGGCCGTACCGGACAACTTTCTGCAGTAGGAGCCTCCACAGGCTTGCTTCAAGTTCCTCTTCCCACGCACCGTCTGATCGAACTCCCCCCTCACAAGCGGGTACTGTGCGGCCTCGGATCTTGTCACAGTCTGGCTACCTTCGGGACGGTCCAACTTGTTCAGGTGGCCGATGATGTCTCCTCTCGCAAGCTGCATGACGAACCCCTAGACGGGGGCATTGCTTTCACTGATGTTGCATCGTCCGCGGATGCTTGCTATCAGGTGACAAAAGTTGGCTTGCAATGTACACCTAGCCATGTTCGATGAATTATGGAATTTGACAAAGGCTTCACTGTTGTGTGCAACAGGATCAAGGAGTGTGTATTGATATGAATAATGCGCAATTCCCAATTAATATTGGCCATCGTTGCAGAACTCATAGAAATTGAGCAATTGAGCGCGATACTGCACTTGAAGTGATGAGTTTGAGAGACGCCGCTCGAGCGCGCCTGTGGCGCAGAGTGCCACTCCGCCGGCGCGTCGTGGCCCGCAGATAATCTGAATCGGGTATTAACATTAATAACCCGCACGAGGGTTTAAACGTTTAACGTTTAATTCTCGACAGATATGCAGTTCTGCAGTCCGCTGGCGCATCGCTCTGCATGTCCACATCAAACGACGTCGACGCTGAATAATCGATACCTTTCAAATCTCTGTCTATTGCGACGACGAAAGCCACTCGATTGCCGACAACGGTTCCCTCGACTCACCGCTCGCATGGACAAGATGTGTACACGCCGACACCAAGATTGCCCGTAAAATAATGGGTCATTCAGGATGCAAAAGGCTTTTCTTTGGAACGGGCCATCTTGTATTGTTTAGAATGTCCGTGTATCGGCTGTATCGAAGCAGCCTGCAAGGATCATGACTATCACGACCATCCAGCGGCAGCCTCGGACCACATAGCATAGAGTATGTTCTGTTTTTCATATTCATGCGCACGCAAAGATGGATAGAGTGTCTTGGAAGATAATACTTGCTGGCTTCCATGTCTCTGCTGTCTGTTTGTGTGGATCCCGTTGCGGCGGGTGTAAATACTGAGCTGACTCGTAAGCACAGGTGGTGATCGTCACAAGGTGCATCCTTAGCTGCGGGTTCAGGTGATGGATACTCTGAAGCTGTCGAGCTTAAATAAAGTAAGTCATTGACTACCAGACGAACATAGTCTTCTATTCACCTGTATTGCCGGGGAAGTCACAGTGCCGCCGGGAGGTCACTACGAAATGCTCTCGGTCATATCTGCACAAGCTCGACCGATCATCGTTTGACGCCGACAAGCTGAGGCATAATTTGTGAAATACGCGCAATTATATGGAGTCCTCAAGTCATCGTAACGCCAAATATAAACATGCCGGATTTTGCTGGAGATGACGAGTCGCGTGTGAGGGCAAATTTTTAGTGTGCTATGTGACTTACGGTCAGTGCGCGCATCATGAATAGTACAGACGGAGAAATTTACCGCGTTAGTCGCATCATAGACACATCGCCAAGTACAACCTGCCTTTCAATTTGCAATGTTCATTGCGTCGTGGAATTCTGAATATCGCATCATCACATCGACCGAATATACCTCTTTAGATGAGAAGATGCTGCTAAATCAGCGACACATCCTACAGTGAGATCTATACTCACTGATGTCCGTTCATGCGGCGGGTGGCGTAGACGATGGCAAGCAGTCTGGCGGAGGTCAACACAGAAATGAACTTGGATGCTAGGGAGGTGATCTATGGCAAGGTTCGACATAGAAGGAGCACACTGGCGAGTTAGGGAGAATGTCTCATAGTTGTCGCAAGGAACAAAGCAGCAAGCGGATAAGCAACCGCGACACCAGCACGTTGTTGACGAGCGCTCACGCGTCTGTGGCTATCGTGCCACATGCGCTCGACGCGTCCACTCGCAAATTCCGGATTGAAAGATAATAATCGAACACTATGAACACCGTGAGTACATGCATTCTTACATGAGACAACGTAGTTGAATACGGTCTCTCCCAGGTAGCCTTGACGAAAATTCGTGCGGCCCCGCAATTCTCCGTCATCGTGTTGCTTTCCCCCCGAATCACTTGCTAACCCCCACTTTTGTGTTCCCCTCTGGCACATCGCGACGCTATTTCACCTGTTCCACAACGCCACCCTGCTCCCGCATCTTCTCGACGACAGTCAAGAACGTCGACATGGCCGTGATGTAGAATTTGGCCTCCGAAGGTTCCAGTGCGGGCTCGTTCCCGGACGATGTGGCCAGTTCCGCCTTCGAGGCTTCGATAGCCTCAAACTGCTCCTTGGTCAGTGCAAGCTGTTTTTGCATGGTCATCGGGCGAGTGTCCGCTCCTGGTTCGGTCGCAGTCTGATCAGTTCCGGCACGGACCGATTCGTTCCTAGTCGTATCGTGGGCAGGCACGGCAGGTACCTGCAGAATTCACACCGCCCCTTCTCGTCAGTCCGGTGATCTCCAATGCTGTCCGTAGGGTCGCACACCTCATTTTCCATGATGGTCGCCAGGGTAGATTGTACCGCCTCACCGCGAGGATTCCGTCCGTCGACCAACTGCTTCTCGATCGCCAGCTCGAATTGTTCCCACAAGCGAGCCTCGTCGGAGTCTTCGGGGAGGTTGTTTACTGCTGCTTGTCGGCCATGCCGCTCTGCTTTCCTGGCGGCCCTCGTCTTCGCAGTGAGCTCCTTCACCACAGCAGAATTGCGTGCTGCAACAGGCCTCCTCGTGACTGGCGGTACGGAAGATGGCTTGTCCGCCTGCAAGTAGCTGAAGAACTCCTTATAATAGTTCAGCTGCCCTTGCGACATTCCGTACGACATCGTGGCGTTGCTGCGTCTGGTTCGCCTCCCGTTTCTTTCCTCACGATTCTGCTGAGCAGTGTCGGAACCGGGAGATGCGGGCGTCAATGTTGTGGTAGAGATCAACTCATCATTGCCAGTATTGATTGTGCCGGTGGATGGAGGCGAGGACTCTTTGGTGCCGGTACCGAAGGTCACTTCCACGCCAGCCGTCGCTGTGGCACCAGAGCTCATGTAGACGTCGACCTGCTGGCGTAGATTGGCCATTGTCATCAGTGGTTACATCGATCGCGCGTGAAGTGCCACTTACCGATGTTGTGGTGTCCTCAGTCCGTATCGCTCCATCCTGCTCAACCACATCTCCCTCGTGCTTGCCATAATTGCTTCGGGCCTCGATGCACGCGACCGGGTTCACGAGCAAGCCTCTACTTGACATTCCCTTGATGGCTTCCCGGGGAGTGTGGAGGTAGCTACCATGCTCCTGTGTGTATGGTGAGTGTGTGCATGTGGCGCTGGATGAAACTTCTCTCGCTTACAATGGAGGTCCAAGTAGTACCGCTCAAGGTATCGGACGTCCCGTCTTGGAAGATGTGGGGAATGAGGATGTCCGACTAATGTGGACCACATGGACCACGGTTTCGATCTGGTGAGCCCCGGTGTTGATACGAACGGACAGTTGAACGACTCACTATCCTGTCGTTCCCTTTCGTGGCCGTATTAATTCCTCGGATCACAGGTGCGACATCGCATTCGACGCCGACACCCTGTTGCACGCAGTCGGTCTCAGCTCCCATCGCAGAGCGATGGGGTTGCAGTTTTTGCATGAATCTCTTCTTGAACGCCACCATGATGCGCCGTAGAAATAAAGCCAACATGATGGAAATTGGTCGAGTGGGCGCGAGTGATGGATGTGCAATGATGGATCTAGCAGGATCGAGGGTAAGTGAGCTACCGTATGCACACAAAGAGTTCTCATTCATACAGATGTCTGAAGGTGAATCGGATGACTGACAACAGACACTCGTGTTGGTCGAGTGGCAAGCGTGAAAAGGGTGGCCAAGGCGCGTCGACGCGGTTTAAATATTCAAATACAGGTATACGGGCGCCTACTTACGTGGGCTCGCGCGGAGTGCCGGGTGGCGGGCTGCAATTGTCTTCACAAACTAGTAATTGTTGGATAATAGCCGAGCCACCGTCTTACTCTCGTTCATCACAGGAAGAGGATAACTCAGCTATGGTGCATCCGCGTAGTCAATGCGATCGACATGATTTAAATTCAACATTTGCCGCCGATTATAGAGCTCCAGACACGCGATATCCCGGCTACTCTGAGCGCATATTCTCGATACGGATAGCCACACAGCGTTTTGGGCAAATCGTACGCTGGGCTACATCACGTAACCCATGGTTTACTCACAGTTTCGATCTTGGCTAGCAAGAGAGATTGAGATTGGCTTTGGCATGCTAGACTGCCCAACTCAAGGTACAATGCCTTTTGCTGCTTCATGCTCTCTTATAGATGGTCATTTCATCGAATCTCGGCTGATATGACCAATTATGCAAGATAGGAATAGCTACCGCTGATGAAGGCTGATTAGCATCGTTAGACAAACGACAGCATCATAGTGAACAACTGTATGTGTCTTTCTACGTACAGAACGGCCACCCTTGGGTAATCAGTCAATCAATGACAAGTTAAGAATCCACTTGCTCCGTATTTTGAGAGCAAGTTGTGATTTTGATGGCTATGAGGATGAGTAAAAACCTACTCAGTGCCCCGCCTCCTCCGTCGGTTATGGTTCCCACAAATTCTCTGCACTTGCGAGCGGCGTCCAGAAGTTGCATATTGCAACTGTACAATCATCTAGAACATTGTCCTGTTCAGTAACACAATACTTCAACGAAGTTGGCAACTCTACAACGTTTTACAAGAGGAACAAAGGAGGCCGATGACAGCACAGTTATGCCACCGGAGTTCATACATTCCGGTCTGACTCTTCCAATATGTCATCTCTCCTTGAAAAGATGACATCTTATAGATACACGTATAGAACGCTAGCTGCTGCACGTCGTTACACAACATACATCATTGATGTATGCGCTACGTAGAATTCGGTGGGACCTCTCGGGATAGAATTCATACTGGAAAAGGATCATCTCTCTCGCGTTTGTGGAAAATCACAGCACGACGGTGATCCATACACCGCAATTATGGGCCACGCCGACCTCGAACGCTCTGCGACTATCGTTTCCTCAAAATCATTACCGGCCTTTTTCGATGGAATCATTCGTTCTGAGATTGATTGGGATGGTAGTCCTCCTGCCGACGCGCAATACGGCCGTTTCAGTTGCGAAATAATGGTCCAAATCATATGTGACGAATCGGTCGACCCCTACTCATAAAAATGTCAAACATGGAGCCCAGAGCCTCTGTGCCAGAGGATGTGTCGCAAAAATCAAATATTGCGAATTCATATGCTGTCAGGATCGTCGACCATGGCGTGTCGTCACGCTTGGGGCGTTGTGTCGTGGACAAGATGTTTGATTCACGTCGCCATTCAATGTGAGCCGAACGATTTATAACAGAGAATGAAAAAAAAACGCCCGGCACCGGGCCACTGTGACGCGATCTCGTGATCGACGCGCTCCGTCCCGTTGGGCGTTCACGCGCCTGTGGCGCACATGTTGGACGCCCAAATGAAGAGTTCTTGAGACCGGATTTGAGAAACGAGCGTGGTCGATGAATGTATAACTAGGATAAATCCATGGAAGCATCCATGTAAACGTCGAGTTACCAAGCTTAAGCCATCATGCGTGCGGAGAGGAAGTCACAACAATGTGAGCCGAGTGCTTAGAACTTGTCCTGCAATGCGTATGTCATTCCTCGCCATTTGACGTTAACCCATAATCTGAGGAGGCCCTGAACAGGACACTTCGTTGCACGATGAACTGTCACAAAGCAGACATATTGATTCCAGCATGCGATGGTTTGCAACTGTGGAAAGGAGAATATCACGTAGGAGAGCTCAGCGTCGAAGGAAGGTATGAAACGACCAACTAGAGAGAAACTGAACATTCGTGAGCAAGTCAAATGATCTGCATTGTCTTCGACAATAAGCAAGAAACACGAGTCTGCTGGGAGTATGGGATCACTGTCTATTCATGGCCGAGTCGGATTCCGAGAGGGGCGAGTGGAATATAAACATGTCGCCTGCTGATGAAAGCACAATGGCATCACTCGTATCAGGAACAGAGAGCTGCAGAACCAAAACCAGCTGCGTATTTCACAATACGAGGAAAGACGGATTTGGATGGCTGGCTGAGGCCTTTACCACGAAGCACGAGGTAATTAAGCGCCCGATACATATGAGCCACTCCGCCGCACATCACCTTTGTCCTGCCCTTTATTCCTCAACCATCATGGGTGTCTTTCGCCGATAACACATTTCGCCTTCGCGTGCTATTCGTGTCCTCAGACGGCTAGTGTGGCAACAAGGCCCAGGAACACTTCGGAGGTATGCGGACACGGGGATGAGACGAACACGAGGCCGGAGATAGAGATGGGCGCATACGGCAATGAAATAACAGGACAGGCCGATGATACTGTTGCAGAGCTAGTAGTGGAAGTAGAGACATTGGTGACTGCGTGCCCGCATACCTACGAGCCCAAGCGTGGCGCGTCATATATCTGCCGTATTCGAGCGGTTGCCGATCCAGCCGTGTTAGACTCATCGGTTTTCAGCCTCCTTCGTAAGCGGATTACCAGTGAGTAGCATCTTGTCTGATCGACCAGCAATAACGTGAACTCATGATGAAATATAGAGGACGGTACCGGAGCCACTGCAGAAAGCGACCAGGACGGCGAATCAGATGTTCCCAAGGGTGGTCAACGCGGCCTTTCAAGACTCTGAGGGAGTACCATGCTCGGTGTGTGGCCCGTTTCAGGCAGCGCGAGGAGTAGACCAAGGACAACCGTCTCCTCAACGAGGCCATGTAAGAGGCTGCGAGGAGGACTGCGGCTTTGAACCACATGAGTTTTACCATTTGGAACAGGCAGACAGAGGCGTGGAAGGCGTGGAAGGCGTGGAGGACGGAGGAGGCGGCTAAGATGCTGTAGATCTCGCCACGCCTGCCGCTTTTGGGGCTACAGTTGGATAATCATATTGAGAGTGACGTCATCAAGTGTTGCTATGAACAGGGTGGCCGTTGACACTGAGCTTCGGAGGAGGAGCGGGGCCTTAACGTCTGATCGTGGGGGGGTCCTATAAAACATCATATACAACTACAGTATCTCAGCAGAGAGTGTTAAATTGCTCACAGTGTAAATATGAGCGCCCAGTCGGTTATCGAGATCTCCGAGGCGATGCGCCCATACGAGAGTGTGACCACTGCCACACACGCGTTGGTAGTTGGTGTCCGCCACAACGTGTTCAACTCGCGTTATTTAGTTCCAGTGGCACTTCAACTTCCGACGTCACTTTAAAAGCCGTCGCGCCCCAGCCCTTCTGCTTAGTCTTAACCAGCTCGGCCACTCTTCGGCACCGCGCAGACTTTTGACTATAGCGTCTTCAGTGTCTGCCTCTGTTACTCGGGCTACTCGCCTGCCATTCGATTGCGCATACAGTTAAACCATGGCCACCTGTTCTATGGAGTGCGACGGGAACACCACGTTGGTGAATCCGGAAAACGATCACCGCAGGGTCGCGGCATCCCCAACCGAGTGGAGCGACGAGTCGGACTCATGGTTCGATGATGATGAGCAAGAATTCGACGCAGAGGCCTTTGCAAGCACCCAACATGAAACGTTCACGGACAGCGACTCCGTAAGTCAGCTCGTCAATCAATGTCCGTTTCATTCTGTGCACTCACCAATACATGATATAGGATTCCGATAACACGGACTATTGTCGCCTTTGGAGGTACATCAATCCAACTCGGCCTGCCAACTTCGAGGAAAGGATTTTGGACTGGAAGAGCCGGACTGATGAAGAAGGAAATTATGTGAGCAGGTGCTTTGTGGTAAGTTTCTGTAGCGGACATGCACTCTCAACTATTCTGACATTTCATATCCTCTTAGATGCGCCAAACAACGGTCTTCATGGACAGGTCCGGCAACCCCATGACGTACACGCACAACACGCATAATGTCCGGCTGATGATGCCCAAGCCGATCCCGCCACCGGAGTCGTCCCGCGTCTTACGGAAGGGACTGTGGGACTGTCATCTAGTGGATGGCCAAGTGGTTATCACACAGAAGACTTCACAAGAAGCCAGATCCTTGGAGTCTGGATACGTTGATGGAGGAAGTCTATCCAGAACCTCTCGCAAGGAGGTCTCCGAGACCAAACAAGTGTCTGAGACCAAACGGTTGAGGCGGATCCCTATCGGACCAAGACCTATGAAGAGGCAAGAAACTTTAGTGAGCCTATATGCTGATTTGAGTGTCCTGACCATGCTCACCGCATGATTTAACTCTTCCCTGCACATATCACCGGTCGCGACTCAGAGTATGTGCTCCAGCACATCTGCTACGCAGGAAGAATATAGCATGTCCGCCGTGGCCCACTTGAAGGAGGCATCGGAGCCTATGCGCAATAGTGCTGCCAATCTCCTTGGAATTCTTAACATCAAATGCCATCGCCGGCTGTCATTCACGAGCTGATCCATTTTCAGGCTGTTTGATGGTGATGAGATTACGTTGGAGGCAATGCGCGTGGTGATGAGTGTAAGGCGTCTGAATAGAGGTCATTTGAGTAGGATGAAGTAGTACTTTTTGTTTTCTCCACGAGGGACCTCGTGATGTTTGTGCGGGATGGTTGTACGTTGATCATCGTCATTCGGGAATCAATCCGGCAGATTAGAGTCTTCCACCGCTTGGATAATTTGGACAGCTTCAGCCGCGTTGATGAAGATGAAGTGTATGCAGTGAATCTGAGACAATCGATAAAGTAGCAGCCAACAAGTCGCCTCAGCACCGCGCGCGGCCCATGGGCATGGCAGGACCCCGAAAATCCACTGTGAGCTTCGATCCCTTCCCGGACCTCTTTTTGGTGTCCCTCGATAACCACCACCTTTTGGGTCGATCCTATGATATTTTGGATCATTTCCGGGTGATTTTGGAATAAACTGCACGGAAAACTGCGATTTTTCGCCCTCACTGTCAAAAATACTCAGAAAATGCATCCGGCATCACTCCGGCATCAACGCCCCTGTGACGGTAATGTGATGATCCTCTATTCAGTTTTCCACTCCCATCTTTTTGTGGAAGTCTCTGTAACTGTAATAGATTCCGCACTCTCGAGTCAGTCATAAAATCGTGGCCCCAAGTACTTTGAGCTTTCAAATTAGCCCGTGAAAACGACTCATGAACTAAGCCGTCCGGCGACTTATATACGGCGTCGTAGAGTAACGCGCAAATTTTGGGTGCGCATTATCAATACTTGCAGAATGCATCAAAGCAGCCGTCACATATTTCCCCTTCTCAGAACAAAGCATATGATGTATACTGTACATCGTTACATGCAGTATCCTGAGGTTCTACTAAGTATCTTCGGCGGGAGGTTTTTAGTGTCGACTACTTGCACTCATCTCCTTCAGATCAAAATCCCCCATCACTTCAAGCACTCTCTACACCACACCGAACGCTCACGAGTATTGGAAAGGTTCTTTTCCAGTTGCAGCCGTTTAATCACGAAAATTTGAGACAAACGTTGACATTCTCTTCCCCAAACTTCGAAGCTTCAGCGCTTAGCGCTCAGCTGTCAGATGCCAGTGGTCCTATCGGAAAGTTTAAGTTCATCATAAGTTCATCAGCCGTATGATGCACAGCATTGAACTTGTTCTGTCCTCGTCGAAGTAGCCTCGCCGAAGACACCTCACAAGCATTATGGCAGCCACAGTGGAAAATAAAGAGCTGACGATCGCTTCCTCGAGCCAAGCATCAAAAGAGCCGCAATTGTCGGCTTGCGGGGAGGCTCAAGCAGAGAAGGGGGAACTTATCGACACATTCAAGCTGATCATGAGGGACGCCTATGACGCGGAACGCAACCCAGAGGTAGCGACTGTGCTTTATCTTCTATCCCGAGCTATGCTAAATGTCTACACTGGGGATTTATCAATCTTGCAAGCTATTCTGCACTAACTTACTTACTATCTTCTGATTCGACTGTTCTCACAGGGTGTAGCCGAGAATACGCTGATGCAAGAAGAGCTACAGCAATATTTCCAGTGCAACCTCCGTTTGGTACCAAAGGCAAGTGTCTCGATGACTATCCGTTGTAGTTCACCGATGAACATACGCCAATGACTAGGACTTCACCTATGGAGATGCACTTTCCGGATCTGCACGCCTGCGCACCGCCCTCTCCAACCTCCTCAATTCTTACTTTAGCCCATTTCGACCCGTTAGCCCAGAGCACATCATCATAGGTGCCGGTGTCACCTCCGTGATCAGCCAAGTCGCTCGCGTTCTCGTTAATCCTGGGGATGGCGTCCTGATTGCAGCACCCTACTTCCAAGGCTTTGATTATGACCTGAGGCTCCAGAACGGTATAGTTCCCGTGGGTGTGCCCGTCCCCATGTCACAGATGTGCACTATGGAAGAGGTCGCGTGCCTCGAACGCGCGCTGCAAAGCAACAAAGCGACGGCAAACGCGACGCGAATCAAGGCCGTGATCCTCTGTAACCCACATAACCCCTTAGGCTGGTGCTACCCGCCCGACGTGCTCGAAGCCTACCTCCGTCTCTGCGAGACGCACAACTTGCACTTACCCTCGGACGAGATCTATGCACTCTCTGTCTTCTCGTCCTCGGACGTGCCCCAGCCGGTGCCCTTCACCTCTATCCTGTCGTTCGACCCCACGGCGCTCGGTGTCCACCCGGCGCGCGTGCATGTGTTATATGGGATGTCGAAGGACTTTGACGCAAACGGCTTCCGCGCGGGCGCGTTGATTACGCAAGCGAACGCGCGTCTCGTCCGCAGCCTCGCGTTGAGCGCGATGTATATGGCGGTTGGCTCGCCGACGGACGCGCTGTGGAGTGCGCTGCTGAACGACGCGACGTACCTCCCCGCGTTCCTAGCAGCCAACCGTACGCGGCTGCGCGAGGCGTACGAGTACACGGCAGCATGGCTCAGGTTTCACGGCGTGCCGTACATCCCGTCGAGTGCGGGCCACTTCTTGATGGCCGACATGCGCGGCGTGTTGACCGACCTCGATCGGTATGGTTCCATCTTGAGCATCACACAGGTGCAGAGCATGGAGGAGCGAGAGGACGCGCTGAACGCATATTTCATGAAGCACAAGGTCATCATCACACCGGGCACGACATACCATTTGCCGAAGAGCGAGGCGGGGTGGTTTCGCATTACGTTTGCGGTGAGGAGGGATCATGTGAACGTGGCGTTGAGGAGGATCGAACGCGCAATGGGGTGGAAGACGTGGCGTGGAGAAGGGCTCACTGGCCCAAAGGCAACGGCTGGCGAAGAAAGTCTGAATGGACGTGGCTCGGACCAGGCGTGAATTCGCTGAATCTGATGCACAGTAGGATGAGGAGGTTCAGAATGGAGAGGCGGATACTGGCAAATGCATGTAGAATACAGAGATCGACTGTATGTGAAAATCAACTGAGGAGAGCGGCATAAGTAGAGTGTCAATTGAGGTCATGTTCCGCCACTCGGTCCTCTGGGTCATAGCAGCCCATGGATAGTTATTACTCGTCATTTCCATCTGTTCATATCCCAAGCGATGAGTTTGGTAAATCTCTTCAGTAGTTCGAGCTTGACTGAAGGCCATTGTGTCGACTATCTTGTGTTATGAATCACCTGAATGACGATGAAAACCTTTCGCCTGCCGAAGGCTGCTATCAGCATAGAATTCCGCTCCTCTGAGGTTCCATCGGGTGGATCGTTCGGATAGAAGAGGAGGTAGTCCAAAGGGCACGCAGCGTCTTTATCACCACCAGTCTACTTGGTATTGTCAAGGGGGATTTGCAAGGCTCAATTTTGACGTGCACCTGCGGCCTGATCGCTGTCAAAAGTAGCACTGAGTGCAGACAGCATGTGATCACAGGATCACATAATGCAAAAATTCAGTTGAGACACGGATCGGAAGAAATGCCAGTGGGACAATTCCAAAGCAGGCATAAAGGCAAGAACAGAGAACTCGGTTCCAGTCTCCAGAAGGAAACAGATATGCCCAAGGGCAAGGGATCGACAGACCGAGACAAAGTCGTGTTGGATATCGGATTGAGTATGTACGTGACGAAACGTGGTGTTCGGACTACTAGGTCGTAGATAGTACATAGAGCCTGCGAATCGCGATTTCAGACAGATTTGAAGATAGCTGGTCCTCGAGATGTGCGTAATGATTTCTTCTGGTAATGGGGGACGATTTAAAGAATAGATACTTGGGAGTTGCGCAATTAATCTCACGTTGGTGTAGTCAGGAAAAAAAAACCTTGCTCTGGTCAAAAAAAATAGAAATGAAAGTTGAACAAAAGTATGTGGTCAAGATCGCTGAGCGCTCAAGCGCTCATCAATCGGCGACATATGAATATGTAAGGTTCTATTTGGTGACCATGTCACTGGTCCCCGGGGTCTCCTACGCATGGCTGCTTACCTTTGTCTCACGCTCGTTGACTCTGACTCTGACTCAATGTTCAAACGTTCAATATCAATGCTCAGGCCTCAGGTTTCGGTTCCGATGCGCGTGGTGGCAGTGTACACACACACTCTCTCAAATAGACTCCATCTCGTCTCACCTCAACTAGTTCATCTACATCTACTCCCATATAAACTTCAGCATGACTGCCTCCGATGCACTGTTTCATGAAGCAAGTCCAGGCGTTTTCACCAGAAAATGCATTGGGATGGAGGCCATGTCGTGCTTTGCATCGTAAGTGTACACTATCAACAACTCCTCGCTTGAATCCAAAATCTCACCCTCATTGGTGAACAGAGAGTTTGGCTGTAGCCACGTGGTCTCCTCCTGCAGTGTCAAACTCGCAAACGAAATCGCTCCCGAGGACTTGAAGAAAGCGATCCAATCCAGTATGATTCGTCTGCGCCATCTAGTTCCAGGAATCGCGGTCAAAGCATCGCCGACTCGTCCTCCGATGGGTGATTGGTCTCACGAATATCGAGTACCCGACACACTTGAAGATGTCTTCGCATGGGTCGAAGAAGTTGTCTTTGTGCACGAAAACGGAACATCGTTCCTCGATAACCACGAAAGGATCTTCCATGAAAGCTGGTGGAGGGCAACGGAGGGGAGATATAGTTACGAGCTTCACATAGTTCCAAACCTATCAGCGGGAAGTAACTCTTGGACATTCGTGTAAGGCCTCCTTCTTATTCTCGCTGTGTCAGTACATCTCACCAAGACATGCTTAGATTGTCAGCGCACCATAGCAATGCCGACGCTCGAAGCAAGTGGATGGTCTTCGACAAGGTATTCGAGTTCCTTTGCGATGAGCTCGACCATGTCGCACCACCGCTTTCATCTTTCGAATGGGGGAAGGAAGTGAGCAGACTCCCGACGGCCGGCCAGATGGTCTGGTCTGTCTATGACACTGGCAAGCCTGAACCTCTCCCTATTGTCGATCCGTCCACTGCTCCGGTGGCACCAGAGAATGTTGTGAGCCTTGCTCGTTGATTATGATTGCACACTTATCTCATTGTGAACTCAGATACCTTGGTCATACCCAGTGCGGGTGAGCAACGACAACCCTCATGGAACCGACATCACCAGCGCGGTCAGACTCACTCCCGAAGAAACGGTCAGATTCCACGGCGCATGCAAAGCTCATGGGAAAACAGTGACCATGGTCGTAACTGCACTTCAGACTCTCGCGGATCTTGAGGCTTCTCTGCATATCGCTGGCAAAGTTGGACCTGAGCGTTTCAAGAAGGTGTGGTCTGGATACAATACCGCGACACATTTCCCACTCAGTAGTCTTTCAATCGATATGGTGAGTCCTGCATGCGCTTATAACGCTATCATTCTTACACCCACTTTTCCGTAAGCGGCAACGCATGCCGGAAGCCTACAGAAAATTTGGATTGGATCAGACTACGCCTCTGATGGCTATGGACGTAGTCGCACTCTTATTCGCTTTCGAGCCCTACCGCAAACTTGTCAAAGCAGATGAAGCAAGTCTTACCGCCTCCCGCAACGCGGATAAATCGCTCTTCTGGGACGAGCTCGTCCCAAGCGTGGAGGAAGTGTGGAAATCACAGGACGTAAGTAGACATTACATTATTCGATCCTTTCGTCTGATGCTTACTACAAACTAGATCTCCATCGAGGCATACAGGACGCGTGCAGCCACTTTCACTGCCATGGCAAACAATCCAGACCTCGAGCTCGACTTTCACGGCTCCATTGCACCAGCATGCACCTCAATTGGCGATATGACCCGCCTAGGCTACCTAGAAGCCTTTCGTCCAGCGTCAGGACACAAGACGCTCATCGTAGAGGACTTGACCACAACTGCGCACTCGGGCTCGCCCGGCGCGGTCATGAATGTCGTCCAATATGACAACGAGTTGCGGCTCAAGCTGGTCCGTGGCAGCAAGTTTACGACGCAGGAGGACTTAGATCTGCAAGGGAGAGTTTTGAAGGAGTGGATTCAACTCATGACTCGATCATGAATGTCTGTCAATACCCTCGACGTCGTATGGGATAAGCCATCTCACGACTCTTTCATGGAAATAAATGACTGGATTTGACTAAAATGACGATGATTTCTGCTGTACCGTGAGCTTCTCCACCTCCCGCTCCTTCTCCTCTTGCGTCATCTCCTCTGCAGGATTCTCCCTCTCCGTCTGCAGCGTCCCTGTGATTGGGTTTGTTGCAGGACCAGAAGATGAGGATGGTTGTGAGGAAGAGGTCGTGGGAGGGGCAGCGAGCATATTGTGGTTGTAGAGGTTGAAGCCGGCGGCATTGCCGTAGCCAATTAGGGCACTGAGCTCTTGAGCTGTGAACATATGTCAGAGGGAGAGGGGAGAGATAATGGAGGGGAAGACGAACCATTAGAGTTGCACGCGAGAAAGAGCAGCTCGCCGATGGCCTCTTTCAAAGTGGAATGATGCATGCAGGCCATAAGCCGGATGCTTCGTCCCAATATATCTGCATGACTTTCCAGAGCGGTTGAACGATCACTAGTGGATGCATTACGATCACTAGTGGATGCATTTTCAGTGAACAGAAGTTCGTTTTCAGACGAGAAAAATAATTCACAAGTCAGGAGGAAGGACATGCGCCTTGAATGCCTCTCTACAGGCTTTGTTCGCCTTGCACACCTTTGTCATCAACAGCACCCTGCGATTTGGGATGTATGTTCATCAGAAACAGAAGTGTACTGATATGAAGAATTACTAATGCCTTTTTTTGATCGGTTCCTACCCCAAAAACAAGGGGCTTGCCGACTTCGAGTCATCGTTTAACGTTTAACGGCAGCGAGGCCTGCTGTGGAGGACGTCTTCTGAATGTCATAAAAATGTCATCGCTACAACGTTCGATAATCGGACGGACATGGCTATGACACAGTGCTCGTTATGGCGAAATGCACGATGTGGCGCAGGCCGCAGGATCGCGGCCAAATGGAATACAAGTAAAAGATGACTTCGTAATGCTGCAGAAGGTTGTAGGCGATTGGCGCTCCTGAAGACGAGCCTGGAGCCCCCACGTATATAGCTTATCTACATGATTGCTACTGAGAAAGTTGCTACGAAGAGCCGGGGATGGTCAACTCAAATGAGTTGTGAAGCCCGCATCACATTCAAGAATAACTACGATGGCTCACAAATCGTCGTTCTCCGTGATGCGTGCGAGTAGCTGTGTGCGAGCCGGAAATCTTGAAGTAAGAGAGACCTCAAAAGGAAGCGCTCTCCTATAGCATCCCATCATCAGCGCTCATCGCACGGATTGCAGAATAACAGAATACCCACAAAAGGCCGACTGGAGCGAAACCTGTCTCCCTGTCAGAATTGATCGGGATTGGTTTACCTGTCTCCGGACTTATAGCTGGTCTTACATCCACGGCCCATACGATCGTAGCGAACGTGAGAAATAAAGTCGTCTCAGCGACGCGTCGTCCCGGACAGACTCTACAGGGATCATTCAAGTTCAACTTGAGCTGCTACGCTACCGGCTACATCTGAGAATAGAACGACCTCACCTGTCGCCAAAACCAAATGCGTGGAACGGCAAGTTGGGATCATCCAAATACCGCTGAGGGTTGTAGGTTTCAGGCTGCTCAAATACCTTTGGATCCATTTGCATTGACCTGTTTCAACTTAGTGTTGAGATTACGGTGAAACATGGTGCGGCCGACCAGATATTCGGTATGACCATAGATCCGCCCGGAATGAAGTATCCCTTGTACTCGTCGTCCTGATGCGCATCACAACAGATCAGCTTATGGAAGTCAATTTCGGTTGAGAGCCAACTGACTTGAATTGATGCATGGGGTATTGCAGTTGGTCCCGTAGGTCTCCAGCGCAGGACCTCACGAACCATCGCTCTGATGTAGGGCAGCTTATCCTCATCGTCGTAAGTGGGGCAACAGTCGTTACCGACCACATTGTCGACTTCAGCCTGTGCGCGTGCGAGAACGTCAGGGTTTAAAGCCAGCGCCATGCTAAAATATGCTCGTAAGGTGATTAGGACGGACACTGAAAGTAAGCTTTACATGAAACTTTGCGTTGCGATAGATTGCGTATCAGATCCTGCTAGGTAGAATGATCCAAGGGCCTACGAAAAAACGAAATCAGCACAAACAAGATATCCTTTTATATAGCTTACCCAGTATTGCTCCCTGTAATCAGCTTCGACTTCAGATTGGCTCTGCAACAACCTCGCCGCTATGCTGGCCGCGGGTTTGCCTCCTTCCTACTGTCGCAATCTGGGGCCGGAGGGGCGCGCATGTGGCAATGGGCAGCGCCGCCACCGGTATATTTGTATATATGTACGCAGGTACTATATAGCGGGGAGTGCTGGGAGACGGGGTCTCCAGCGTTTTGCCTCAGAGTTACCACGACGCGCGGGCGACTCGGTCACTCGTCGACGCCCTCGGACAGCGGCCAGCGGCGATTTTCTACACCTACACCGTACAAAGGAGACATTTGAACACACATTCAGCGATTATAATAAGAAACAACGCACGAAGTTGCGTTTAGCTTCATCCATGAGAGACCTGTATGTCCTTTCCGCCAAGTCATAGTAACTAGCCGCCACCACCTTGTACGGAACACCAGGTATATACCGAAGCCAAGGTAAGAAATCCACATAGTTCTGGCCCCCGTCGATCACATTAATCCTGCAAAAATCACTCGGATAAGCAGTTGTTTCTGCAGACTGCCATTGTACTTACAAATCGTTATTGAGCTTAATGACATCCTTCACGGCGTCCTCAGCGCTTTCATTGCTTTTCAACGGCTTATCATATACTGCAGTCATGAGCTGCCGTCGCACAGTAAGCGTCGCCAAAACGCAACAATGTAAGGTGGTTGCACACGTACGATTGAAGCAACTGCGCGTTCAACGAAGGACACCCACTGCTTGGGTTCATCCAGCATACACTGCATGCATGCGAACTCGTCAGTATGTTACAAGATCGGCAAAGGGACAGCACACATACGCGCACCAGACGATGAACTTCAGCTGTCTAAATTGGATTGAAGTACTTTCTGACGGCCTTGATTGATGCAATGCGTTCACACATAAGCAGTAACCGATGTCCAGATTGAAAAGAACTTTACCGCTAGGCGCAGTTCCGTCGTCACCAGCTTGCGGGCCCTGAAAAACCGGTCGTTGGCATGAATGAAAGGCATCATCATGTCGTCCTGCATAGCTTTGGATGCCTAAAAATAGAATTAGCCCCTTGAGCGAGTCTATGGTAAGGAAAAGCATACTTGCCATTATAAAATTTGGTCTTCCCGAATAGTTCTTGTGCCGGGATTCCAAAAGATCTTTGGCGACCTCGGACGAGCTGATTATGATGACAGACTTGCCGAACAATCTTATGTGAACCAGAGGACCTATTGAAGTATTGAGCGCGTCAGTCGATCAAAGAATGGGCTTGTTCAATACCATACTCATTAGCCCATCGATCGATGACGGTCACCATGTTTTTGCCCAGCATTTGATGCGCATTTCCAATAAGGGCAAGCCAGGTGGTCCAGGAGGTAACGGAATGCCTTTTGAGCTGCGATTACCCATGCGCAATTCGAAGAGCACATAACAAATGATAGGGAGAACAATCGATGCTGCGAGGACTCGTGTGGTGTCTGCCATAGCATCTCGTTGGAACGGCATTTTAGTACTGGTGCGTAGTGACTGGAAGAACTCGCCAGGAGCCTCGGGCCTGGATTTATGGAAGTCATTCATGTCACAGCTACAACGTATGGACGCCGTGACTGATGAAGTTTTTGACGTACCAGTGAGAGAGTTTTGATACGCATGGGAGACTCAGTGGTGATGGTGCCACCCGCGCAAACCAACTCCGAGTCGAGCGCCTAGATGTTCTGTTGTTCTTTACCGTCGGGCATGTCGGCTCCTCAAGGATTCACCGAGACCACATGCCATCGCCAAAACGTTAGCGCATGCTCTGCTGCACTTGCTTCTGATCTGATGTGTTCTTGTGATCGTAAGGTCAAGATACGTTGGTGCCCTAAGGTAAGGCCTGAAATCGCGTTGCCGCCTCCTGAGATGGAATCAACTCCCAGCTCGATTTCTCCCAGAATAACAGAAGCCTGAAACGACCCTGGATCCAGCTCTGTTCAGCATATATTGCAGGGGAGCGCAAACAATCCCTTATCGTTTCGCGGGCCCATAAACCCAACTACATCGACCGTCGAATTGCATCTTTGCACCACTGTGGCGTTAGCTGCTTTTCCGTATACACAACACGATGACCCGAGTAAACACTGAGCTGACTAGATTGTTCAGTGGGTATCATTTCTTACATACCTCTGTCGCTGTGCAGGCCGTCTTAACCGTGTAATCTGCGCAGACATCGTGAGTCCGATCGTGTCGGCACCGATGGCATACGCTACGACACCCGCCCTGGTATCTGCAGTTATTGAAGGCGGAGGCCTGGGATTTCTGGGCGCAGGTGGCCTTCAAAATCATTGTTACAAGCTTGAGCCTATTCCTCACGAAATCTATGTACAGGCAATGAGCCCGCGTACAAGATAGCAGATGCCCTCGAGGAAGCTCGTGCGGCCGTCAGTAAAGACAAGCAGCACCTCGTAGGTGTCGGCTTCGTCGGGTGGGTTCTGGACATGTTCAATAGCGAGGCGGATCCCCGTCTGGCAACGGTTCTCGACAAGGCGCCTGCGGCCGTTTGGTTCGCCTACGGTCAGGATCTCGGTAAATATGTCAAGCAAGTCCGCGAACACGACGCCACTCGTGACCACAAGACCATCGTGTTCGTCACCGTCAACACCGTCGAGGAAGCTGAGCGCGCCACAGTCGAGTGGAAGGCCGACGTGCTCGTCGCGCAAGGCAAGTATGCATCGCAGTCTCTGTTGCACCCCTCCTGCTGACCAACGATCCTCAGGTGCGGAAGCTGGTGGACGGGGAAGCATCTACTCTCCGCCTACGGAGGAGTTCCTTCGGCTAGTCCTCGAGGTGATACCCAGTGGCCCTCCCGTCCTCGTGGCAGGCGGCATCAACACGGGGGTGCAGATCGCGGCACTCCTGGAGAGGGGCGCAGCAGGCGTCGTCCTTGGGACCCGATTCCTCTTCACGAATGAGTGCATGTTCCCAGATGAGATGAAGAAGACGCTCATCGAGGCCGGCGCTGACTCGACCTCGAGAAGTCCTGCGTACGATCTTGCATTCCCGCCCAACGTCTGGCCAAAGGGAATCGAAGCCCGTTGCATCACCAATGGAATCATGGCTGATTTTGAGGAGGGCCTGCGCACCGAAGACAGGAAAGCGAATATGGCAAGCGGAAAGGAGGAATATCTTCTGGTCTATGCTGGCACGGGTGTACAAGACCTGAACAAGATCGAGAGCACGGCAGTAAGTGACGTCTATCTTGTAGTCTTTATGTCCTCATTGGTGTCCTCCGTTAGGATGTGATGCAGAGCCTTCACAGCGAAACTAATGCGGCGCTGAAGAATCGTGCTCCTCAGCTGCTTGCACAATCTTGAAGCTATGAGAGGAGCAGGTTTTATACGTGACTGACTTTACTTATGTCATGGATGGGAGACGTGGGAGGTCTTTAGCCACGCGTATCTACTTTGCAACAAATTGTACACAACCTATGGTTTCGTGAAAGTGATACACTTGACAATGACTATAGCGGGCGCAAGATAGCTCCGTTTGCACATCCGGGCGCCGCAAGATTGCCACTTCCACGGCTTGCCGTCACAGCAGACACATCGCTCATGCGCAGGGCATTGCTAAGGAGGGCGCAATAGGCGAGCGAGTGTGTAGACAGCAGAGATCGAGTTACCGGCCAAGAAATGGCGGACAATCATTGAGTTGGCTGTAAGCTGACGTGACGTGACATTTGTGTCACAACTGCCTCAATCGCTATTTCTGCTTTGAACTTAACACCGCTCCAAGTTCATCGCTGTAGTTCGAATGGCGTGGGAGTGCTTGCCAATTCTACCTGGAAAGACCGTCGAACTGTGAACTGAATACATGCAACCATCCGACACAGAACAGATAGCGAGTGAGATATTAGTACAACGGGATTTCACTACAGCCGCTTCGCATTTCACAACAGCAGCTCAGGAGCCGAGGCCTTCAGAGCGACGACAGTCTCATTATGAAGGCTCTTCATCACATCCTGTACAAGGATATCAGTCACCACGCATCTACTATCAAAGGTCAGCGCCTTACCGCCGTGCTCTCGATCTTATTCAAGTCCTTGACTCCGGTGCCGGCCCACACCAGGAGGTACTCCTCCTTGCCACTCAACAAGTGTGCCTTCTTGTCCGCTTGACTGAGTCCATTCTCATAATCGGCCACAACGCCGTTCGAGACGCAACGGGCCTCGATACCCCTGGGCCAGGCGTTCGAAGGGTGCAAAAGGTCGAACGCAAGGTCGAACGCAGGGTTCCGGGTGGTTGAACCAGGGCCCGCCTCGACGAGCACCTTCTTCATCTCATCTGTGAACATGCACTCGTTCGTGAAGAGGAAGCGAGTCCCGAGAACGACCCCTGCTGCACCCTTTGCTAGGAGCGACGCGATCTGCGTCCCCGTGCTGATACCGCCTGCCGCAAGGATAGGAGGGCCGCTGGGGATGGCCTCGAGGACCAGCCGGAGCAACTCTTCCGTGGGTGGAGAACTGATGCTTGCATGTCCTCCAGCTTCCTCGCCTGTGAGTCGTTGTTTAAGAGGGCTGGAATGCGAAAAGGCGATGGAGCACACTTGCCTTGTGCAACGATCACGTCGGCCTTCCACCTGTTTGCAGCGCGTACCGCTTCCTCAACAGTGTTGACGGTGATGAATACGAGGGTTTTGTGGTCGTGATCGGCGTCGTGCGCGCGAACCTGGGCGACATATTTACCGAGATTGTGGCCGAAGGCAAACCAGACGGCAGCAGGTTCCTTGTCGAGAACCGTGATCAGACGAGGATCCGCCTCGGTGTTGAACTTGTCCAGAACCCATCCGAGGAAACCAACGCCGACAAGGTGTTGCTTGTCCTTACTGAGGGCGGCACGTGCCTGGTCAAGGGCTTCTGCTATCTTATGGGTGGGCTCCAACCCTGCAGTGTGGACGGTGAGACTACGATATGACTGCGTAAGGGTCAGGAACGTATCTACCTGCAGCGAGAAATCCGAGCCCTCCGCCATCGATGACAGATGCAACCAAAGCAGGAGTTGTGGCGAAAGCCATGGGAGCCGACACAATCGGGCTCGTGATATCTACAAATGGGTGAGAGGCTCGTCTTTTTCCTAATCGAACAGGACTCACTAAATAGCTTGGTTAACTGGGTGGAGATTGGGGTCGTCATGTTGAGGAGATGGAGGAAGAGCTAAGAATGAGCAAGCTTGCGGATGGGCAAGCATGGCGGCTATATGGAGGTGGGAGGAGTAATCAAGTCGCACCCAGGTCCTGCGGTGCACCCAGACTGTACGCTAAGCGCCCCTTTGAGCACCCAAATGTAATGGTCACATTGATGGGCGGTCACGCCTTGACTTAATCTTCCTTCTATTCACTATGTGCGTCCGCCGATATCACGGGACAGACTGCTTTCTTTAGTGTCAGCGGATACTAGCAGATCACACAACCAATCTTCGCGTGAAACACACTCATATTCACAACATTTAGGCTAGGGACGGCGCATACATAGAAGAGCACATCTCCGCTATTTGCTGTCATTGTCTCGTTTTACATGCTGGCTCGTGGTTCGTTACGACTCGCCCCTATGCGATCTTATTCTGAGCGACCATCCTATCTGGCGTTCCTCGCTTTTGCTGCACTTTGAATCTGCTGCGTGCGCTTCAACGCTTTCTGTAGCTTCTGCTCATGAATCGTCGCTATCTCCTCTTTTTGTTCTGGGACCCACGTCTCCGCCTGAAAAGTTCTGGCGTGGGGGTGACGAAGCTGGCAGAGAGGGTATAGGGTCGTGCTTATAGATAGCAGCGGTAAGGCTTGAACCCATGATTGGGATATCCACGTTGCTGATCGTTACGTTGCGGCGCGCGGCAGGATTCCCGACGTCCTCGACGCCCGGACTTTCCAGCTGGTTGTGAGGATAGTCAAATCCTCTTTTGAATCAGCTGTTCTGATGTCCACGTCCTGTATAACTGGTAAGCGTGCCAGCGTAAGTCGATGATCCCCCATCCGCACTTCACTCACCGTAATCATGGATGAAGCCGATTCCTGAAATGTGTTTCCTGAGCTGTCGGGTCCGCCCTGAGATGCGCCATCGGTTGCAGTGCGGAGGTCAGCAGGAAGCTTGTGGCCTTTATTTTCTCCCAGAGGACGCACGGGTACGCCATAGAACCAGGCCCATATCTGGAGGAGGTAGCTGAACCAACGTCGTTCTCCCAAAATGATCCGTGATCAGCTCACCAGTCGTCTATGCACACAATCTCCCCCTTCCCCCTCCCCATTGGCACAGTCTGCCGGACAGTGCCCGCTGTTGTCGCTTCGATGTGATCTCCTCAATTGTTAGTGGCATCCGGGCGGCAGGCGTTGTATGCGACCCTGCAAGGTCGAATCCGCTTCAGTGGTGTAGGATCTTTTGGAGGCGGTAAGCACGCAGGATGTTACGGACTGACGTATATCTCGCTAACGTACTGCTTGATCCCTTTCGGCCGTAATTTCCTGTGTACTTATGCAGCCGGTGCCGCTATAATCATACGTTTATGATACGCTACCCGGGCGCGGAGTGTCCGGTTGCTCGACGCGCAGTGGGCGCTGCGCCTCTTTGTGTGTGCTTGAATGCGTGTTCTTGTCTTTTTCCAGGGAGTGGCCATCGTAACAAGGCCTAGATGACGAGTGTGGCGCGTCTCTGCAGCTGGACAATGAGACGAGGGCCGATCAACACAGGACGTCAGTCAGTGCACCATACATCGGCAGCAGATTCATGCACTAACTGGTCTCCTGCGTCCTCTGCAGGCAGTTGATGAAAGTCGCGATAAGAAGGAGGACGTGCCTCGAGAGGGCGAAAGCACGACCACGTTGGCCTCGGGCGCCAAAGTAACCGTGTCCGGTTTAGGATATTGAGTGGCATCCACTCACGGAGTCTCAATGTTCGTGCGGTGTGTTCTTATTGTCAGACAACATGGGCTTGAATACGACGGTATGTTCTATATATCATAGCGGGGCAATATCACTAAGTACGTCTTGAAACAACTTCTGCGAATTCTAGGACCTTTCTGACATATCTACGCCATCCTCCTTGCACCCCCTCTATCTTCCGATATGCAATCCCTCTTGTTCAATGCTTACAGCATTCCGCAACCGGGGAGGATGTCCCCACGCGCATCCTTTATATCTCTCTCTGCAATCCTATCCTGGATGTCCTCCAACCGTACCAAGGACTCCATGGCTTCTTCCAATGCCTCAAAATCCATTCCGTCGAGCATAGCATGAGCAACCGTTGGACCCTGGAGGAGAGACGTCAAGGACTGTCCAGAGGGAATAGCCAAGTTGGGATAGCCGGCTTCCCCGCGGTTGTCGAATTGCTGATTGATCCCCCTTCTCATTGAGAAACCGGAGGAAGACGAGGACAAGGAGAACCAAGAGCCAGAATCTCGTGGAAAGTTGCCTCGACCGGAGTTGTGCATCCCCTCGCGATACTCGCGCTGCCACTCGGCAGACCATGGGTCGTAGGAGTCGATGCCTACCCGGCTCTACGAGCGTTGGTCAAAGATCGCTTTCGTCGCAGATACTGCGTCGCTCACCGACACAAATTCAATTGCAGCATTCTGCGCTCGCGCGTCCTCTTCCATCCAGCTCATTCCGTCATCATTGTTCTCGTAAAGATTAAATGTTTCTGTGATTTCCTGTTCTCTCTGTAGCCGGCGCATGAGATCAACCGGGGCAAGGGCCATCCTAAAGAGCTCTTCGTGGACCTGCGCATTATGTGAGTATATAAAGCAAACGGCTTCCAAAGACAAAGTGACTTACCGTGCAATGGAGAGATGCTCGGTTGTCCTTGTGAGGAAGGATGTATTGCCAGTCTGCATCATCGCCCCCGGACTCGTCAGAGTTGGTGACGGAGGACAGCTGTGGCAGCGGGTCGGATAGTCCAGACATCGTATGGTGAGTGCATAAGTTAACACGGTTTGGATGGAAGGCTGACTTACCGAGTGGTCATCCGTCCCGCTCGTTTTAACTTTTGTACTCTGCAGAGTAACGGTCCTATAGATGAAGGGAGTGGCCTGATGACCACGCAGAGCTTCCGACAGCTTAGATCGGGGCTTTACGATAATGATGTACGGTAACCTCTTCGTGATTGCATTGCGTGCTCTCTTCAGAAAACCGAACGTCATTGTTGACAAGTGGACGCGAAGATCGAGAAACGAAGATAAAGGACAAGGGACAGGTAAAGCAGTGGCCACGTCGATGCGATGCGTAGTGAATCTCAGTGAGCTGTTGTACGTGGTGCAGGATCTGTCGCGCAGGTGCGTGGCTCGTTGCTCTTGTCGCGGTGAGAAGGCAAGTGGTTAGAGGGTGGCCAAAGCGGTCATAGCTGCTATTTATGTAGGTGCTTTTTACAAGCGCCTGCCACCGAGTATCGAGCCACAGTCGCAGATTCTGCGCCACTGAGTGGCCGCGCTGAATCATCTGGCTTACATACCTATCTGCCTCGTATCTGCCCTTCTTCGATGCACTCTGATTTCGCGCATACACAAGAACTAAGGATAATGGTCTTCGGATGTATCAGCTGTTTTCTCTGCGCGCGTCGTCTAATGAATAGGTTGCTATAACGTTCATAAAGACTGTTGACAAATGCTGTTGATTCGTTGCCTGCATCTTCCTTCTAAACATGTGTTTCTTGCACGCTCTCTCAGGCTGGCCCTTGTGCAGCTCACGCTGGTTTGGTCCACAATTCCAAGGAATACGATTTGATTTTCTGTGGCAGAGATGTATATGGCTATGGCCGAAGCGGATGTGGCCCTGGGTGTCCCACGTTTCGGGTCACCTCAGCATGTTTAGCTAAAGTAAATCCCAGAGTGAACTTTCTATCCTCGCATATATATCGCTCGCGCTCAGCCACCGCCGCGTCGCGTCGTAGCATCACATCACATGATCGTGTTTGTGCCCACCCAGTGTCTGTTATCTTGGACTCGTCGGAATCGGGGCAGTGTTGACAGAGCACTACTCGATCACCAACATGTCCAAGTTTGCAAGCTTCAACTTATATGCAATTCGAGACAGATTAGCTATTTATTAGTGTGCATGTCGCCACAAACAGTGCTGCGATATCGGTGGTCTGGGGAATTGTGCATTATATTCTGTGTCGGCGAAATACGGTTCCCACCTCTCCGGGTTCTGGAAACGATCAGAATGAATCGTTCAATCATTATCCTCCGTGCATAATGAACTTCAAGCATATATCCAACGCCGCCGAGCTTTAATACTAGGCCCGATCGTGGTACAATGCATCTAAATACTGTGACCTCATGGTGCATGTAAAGCATATTCTGATAGACGGGGTTATCCAATAGGCCACACCACCACGGTGCCACTGCACCAGTGGCCCTCGTACCCCGAGCGTCGGCCAGCGCGCGTTTCGTGTTTGCCGAGTCCGTCATGACTCTGAGGTTTTGATTGGGACATCCCACGAATATTGCGCTATCCTGTATCTCCGTCTTCTCTGCTGCCTGTGTCAGTTCGCTTCGAACGTTTTTGTGATAACAAAGCGACTCATCGCGTCAACGCCTTCCAAAGTATGGGGTAAAATGCATACATCAAGCAACATTTAGCGATACAGAGACAAGATACTCAGTTCTTGTCGTTTGCACTAGTATCCCTCACTACAGATTTAACTTCTGCATCTTTCCAATTTTGTTTCAGTACCGGTATATTCAATCCAGATACGCTGCGTACACTTCTCGAGCTGGCACCTCTTTCCAAATATATTCAGTGCGCTACCTGTGCAACTATAACATGCAAATACGCTTGGATATATGTGGCCAACGTAGAATGCAACGAAATGGAGCGATGGATTGGACGGGAAGGTCGATGCAGGAATCGTCCCATCGAATGAGTTGCGTAAGCCCTCATATTTTCCCCATTCTAGGTCACTAACATCATTCCAATTTTTGATTTTTAGAATAAGCCGCTTGTGCACACATTCCGAACACAGCCTGCAGAGGCAGCTCCTCCGCGCTCAATGCGTGCCACAGGCGCGTGGATGCTGGCACACTCATCACGAGATCGCGTCGTGGCTCGTGCGAATTTAGTACCTGGCGTTGCATCTTTGTGCCAATCTACGTCTACCTCTTGCCCAACCTGTTCAGCTCCAAATTTCTTCTGCCTCTCCTCTCTCCTCATGCTGCTCACACTTAACGATGATGTGGTACAAGCATTAATGTCGTACTTGACGCCGTTGGCCGCACGGCAATTCGCCATGACCTGTCATGCGGCATATACAATCGCGATGCCTCGACGTCTGCAGAATATCACCCTCAACTACAGAGAGGACACGTTGAGCTTCTGTTCTTTTATTTTCTCCGACGGACCCCGCCGAGCAACGTGCATCAGGAGCCTCAAGTTCAGCGGCACATCCCTCGCTATGAGCGATCGCATAGGTGTGGGGAAGCTCGTGTCCGACGCGTCCCTCGCTTATAAGCTCGCAAGGGTGATAGCTCTCGCAACGGGTCTGAGATCCGTGCGCTTTGACAACACGTTTATCCCATCACTTGGGGCCGTCTTCGATTCCTCGCCTGCGCTGGCGGATGCTCTCGCAGGAACCACCAGTCTCCGAGAAGTACAGTTCTACGTCAAAGATGGTGGATGCCTCACCTTGCTTGCTCGGATGAAGAACCGCCTACATTCTGTAACTGTTCTCTTTCATAGACCCAAAGGGGTCGTTGCCCAGATGCGGGCCCTCCTTCAACCTGAAACCCACGATGCGATTATCCGAGGTTGTCCATCTTTCCTTCATAATTTCACCGACTCTCTGACCAGACTATCATTCGTTTCATGTGCCGGCCTAATAGAAAGATACGGACCCGGCATCACCTGGCCTGCCGTACAGGATTTGACTGTGTCGGGGACCATCAAAAGTCTTTCGACACTTTCCCATGCGTTCCCTAATGTGCGGAGCGTTGATGCAGTCGATCTGAGGCCCGAGGGCACTGCGGGAGGCAATCTTTTACACACTGTGAACGGCAGTCCTGTGGGCACTGCAGATGACTGGACCCAATTGGACGTAGTGACCTTGGATCGTCCCATCTCATTGCTTCACCCAGTCCGTCACCTCAATCTAACTCGCGTTTACGTGGATAACACCAAGGGTTGGTCTGCCACCGCGACGTTGATCAGCTGTGCATCTCCCGTCATTATTTCTCTCGCAGTATTCACCACACGCTTCCTCGAATGGATCGCGAAATTCGCCACATGCTGCCGCTATATGCGCATCTACTCAGAGAATGTCCGCTTGTATGATTGGATCGTGCGTAGATGCTCCTGACAACAGATCGTTAGAACACAGGCTGATACATCTACTCTTGTATCACAGGATCGCTTCGCCCCTCTTCTCTCATCGGTGCCGCTGCATGCGATCCTTCTGATCGCCTGGGGCCACCGGCTTGACGATCGATCATCTTTGGTGAAGCAAGCGAGACTGATTGCGGCTTGTATCCCTTCGCTAGTGTACATCAATATCGCTCCAATGCAAAGCATCGAGGGGCGCATGGACTGGTACTATCGGGTTGAATCCCGTGCGCACGAGGATGGACCACAAATCATTCTTCTCCCACATGACAAAGGCGACATACTTAAGCAGATTCTCCTTGAGACTGCTCGGGGTTGATCTCGGTACTGATCTCAACCATTTCTGCATTTTGATTAAGAACAAGGTGCGACTGTCATCAATGCTATTGGGCGGCTTCCTCTTGTGGCCGCCTCCTCCTCAAGACGCCGACGACGCACCCCACCGTCCAATCGTGCACAAACACTTATAGGCAAAATCTCTTCATCTATGTCTATCAAATTCAAGATCAAAAAAAAACAGACATCCACAGTTGTCTGAGAAGAGGCGAGCTGGAATCTGAGTACCCCTTCAACCTAGACACTGCAGCTTTCAAGCAGCCGTTTCGTACCCTCGCACTTTGCCCTTTTCGACGATTCATACAGGACACCGAATGCTATATTCCCGTATCACTGTCCGCAACGACATAGCCGTGATCTGGAACATGCATCAGAGCAAGTTTATCACGCATCTGTTGGGTTGTGCAATCCTAACTTCGCTCTCCTACGTGACGATCAACGTGGACCATCAATGGACGCGTGAAACAGACGTACGCCTGCTGGAACACGTGTCCACATCCGCGTCTGTTCACAAGATTGACAGAGGGGCGCAATTTCATTCTCATCCTCGCATAGTTGCAACGAACTGCCAGAAGAACGTCTGGCGGTGCGCTCAACATACCATACCGCACGTGGATTGGGATATCAGATTCACATTGACGAAGCGCACCGCCATCTTCTTCCCGATCAATGAGGACGGTGGCGGCAAGCGGCAGGAAACCGGATGTTCGATGTCCAAACGCTCGCCAGCCATGTTTGATCACGCCAATAACCATCTCATAACTGCCTCCGCCTATAGCGCAGCATTCGCAAAGACTAAGGGACGTCTGCAATTTGCTTCAGTAATCAGCACGTAGTCGACAACACTCTCTCCTCTGGAGTCTGGGAAAAGAGAAAAAGGAAGAGAAAACATACGGCGTGTCCGGAGCGCGCAGGCATACGCGCCCCGCCCTGTACTCGGGCCTCTTCAGCAGCCCGCGTCCATACTTCTTCATCCGCTGGAAGAAAGTCAGGTCCGGATTCGGCCTCTCAGATTGTCCCGCACGCCTCAGTGAGGGTGTGGCTGATGGCGGCGGTGGGGACACTAGGAGAGACATGCTGGATGGGTTGCGCGTGTGTGAGTGCTGCGAGTGGAAGATGTCCTCCGCGTCTTCATTATCGTCCTCCTCTTCGAAGAGCGGGGTGGAACGTCCCGCTCGTGCCCACGCCGGGCAGCCCGGGGTCGTATGACGACTCCTGCGCCGTTTGCGACCACGTCTTGCCCCCTTCCTCGCAGTCATAAATTTTGCCGGTCTTTCTTTGTCGCTCATGAAGCGTATATGCATTGTCATTCAGAGCTGAACTAGCTCTGCGGCTCGGCTGACTCGAGGCGTGAAATTGCGAGCTCTGAAGCGTATAGAGTTTACGATGCGACGGTTCGTAGATTTTATCAGCGAATTACTCCACCGCACCCTGAGTGTAGTCGCATATATACATATACATTAATGCTTCAGTGAGAGCAAGCAATATTGAGCGAACTATAACAATCTGAGCCACGGCCTGAGCCGCGCCACAGGGCTAGCGCGGCGCCAACGCCCATTGCGCCACCAGCTCGAGCGCCGGGGAGAGAAAGCCTTCCAAGTTCTTCACCTCCACTTCATGATAGCAATCCGCTCGACATACCAAAGCTTTTCGCCGTGACGTTTTCGCCTTAACTATGTACCACATGTGTCCAATCAAGATATTAGCCCAGGAGACCGCACGGCCCGCCATGGAATCAGAATCTAGGACACCGAACTGTGATCCTGTCAGCATTCGGTCTCCTCACGGAATTAACAACACATGTTCGCAAGTATGATAGGATAAAATCGCACTGAAATGCGAGAAGAGAGGAGGGTCTTTGTTGTCGTTTGTAGGCCCTGTTACCGCTCCTCATGATTTTGGGTCTTGATAGATCCCTCCATCCTCTCACCCGCAGGAGGACCTTAAGTGCAGCGTATCGAAATTGTGATAAGACCAGCACGATTCCCGCGTATCAGACGATGTCAGAAAGAGCATCGTATGGGTAGAATTGCCGATCCTCGCCTTTGCCGGTCGGCTTGTGATCGTTCCAAGGTTCTCTCACCTGGTATGGGTGGAGGAGAATGGAATAGATTTAGAGCAGCTTGGGGATTCCACGATGGTACGCACCTTCACAGGAGATCTTGGATCTGTTGCATTTATTGTCGAGTGTGTTCCGCAGGTTGCCGACTACGTCCGGACATTGATCGATCCCGCGTCAGTGTTCTGTTCCGGTAAGCAATCAGGATGGGATGCACCTGTGTCTGACGTGTGATTATGGCCCTGCCTGCGATATCTTGGTATCCCCAGTTCCCGTGAAGAATCTGATCAAAGTCCTCGCGAGGGGGCATAGGTCGTGGCATACTAAGTTGGACCGTCGCCATTTCTGAAGCAATCGGCCCCTCAGAGGACTCGGAGTCACCTTCTCGCGTCTGTGGAAATGTATGAAATGGCACCTGCGGTAACCGTGAAGCATCCCATTTGGTAGATTTTGGCACGGTAAGCGCGCAGAATGCCACGGACACCGTCAAGACGGGTAACTCACCGATCCACTGTTCATGACCGTGCCACTTTGTGTGTTTGCAAAGTTTGCGGTCACGTCTGGTTTGTCCGCGTTCGTATCAGTGTCATCTTCGGCGAAATCCTCTGGCGACTCGCTGAACGATAGAAACGATCAAAGCTCTGTCCAGATTGCCTTCAACATGACAGCAGCCACAGGTTTGCAAGAAATGGTCGGCCCGATGAATGTGGCGGGGAGCGCCTCAACGAGAAGGATGGGCTGGTAGCAGTGGAAACACGCGAGTCTTCTCTCAATCAACGAGCACCCGTTCGCGACAAACGCTATCCGTCGGTGTGGATCGCAATGGCCACAGTCTGTCGTTGGGGGAAATGGCTGAAGTAGAAAGAGAACGAACACAGTGCCACCCGAACACGTTGTTTTCTGCAAGCGCGTAGGTGCCACAGTTTGGCCAAGCAGGCTGGGCTGGAACTCAAGGCGGTGATGTTTCTTAACTGGATGAAATGCAAGGTTGGTAGGCATATTCGCACTCATCCTATTCGATCGAGCTGATTTGAGTAATTCACAGCTAGTATACGAACGTTCTTGGTTATTGATCATACGTTCCGATACATTTTAAAGCTGGTGTTTTCACACCCTCCTGGTGAAATCTATACGACACTGTCATTCCACGATCCCTCAAAGTCATCTCCGAGCAGATTTTTGATCTCTCGATACAAAGACTTAATTCTCAGCTCACTTTCTGCCAACTCCTCTGCGCACGACATACATCGTTCGAACGGCGATCCTGGGCCTCGAATTTGAGTTTCGCCGATATTGGCGGCGAGGCCTTTGTCACCATCGGAAAGGGACGTCATTGCTGTGAAGGTGTTGCTGGCGGACTCAGTGATCTTCTGCATGTCAAGCTCCCAATGAACTATCTTGTTCAACTCGGACGTGTTGTGTAGTTCTTGGATCTCCTGAGCAAATGTTGGATTCGGAGCTGGGGGCATCTACCGGAGGCAGGAAGAAGTTCATCCACTGTAATTGCCAGCAGAATTCGGGCATCATGCTTACCGTCTCTTCCGGCTGGCCAGCAGAAGAATTTTTCTCTGGTGCACGAACGGCCATCTCTTCATGATTACGTGTCGTCTGAAGACATTCGTCAACTATACGCCTTGGACACAGCACTTGGTTCACCACATACCTCAGACTGGCTCAAGACGGCTAATGCCGTGTCCCCCTTCGAAGTCTGCACCTCTTGGAGACCCCAGCTACCTTCAAGGATGGTATTGTAGCATTCACGAGGCCTGGTGGCCGTGGGCATGGACAACGGGACCGTTCGCAGGGGCATCTCCCTCCACGTAGCGCCAACCCATCCTTCCTGTTGACAATGAGATCAGATTAGCGTGGCTCTACACTCTGCCGATACCACGTACTGTCTGGTACCACCTGACGTAGTTCTCGTCATCGTCGACCTCGCTCGCCCATGCCCAGTACCGATCTCCTAGGTACCAGTCCCTCTTCCACTCCTCCGGGACGGTTTCCATCCATGTCAAGTGGGACCACTCATCTCTGGACTGGAGCATATAGGTAAGCATGCATGAAAACACGAACGTCGTCGACTTGGCTAACGCACCGCTCCGTTGTTGTCGCTCGTGTTCGAATGTGTGCTTTCAAGGTCTCCATCATCGCTGAAGTCTTCGATATCCGCAAAAGACTCGATGTAACCAGAGCTGTCCCAGGAATCTGGCGACTCAGGTGGCTCGAATGTCTCTGTACGACGTGATTGTTCATGGATTCGTTGTGGTTCAGGTAGCCGTGTGGCTAGTGGCGCGCCGACAAAGCGACACAATGAGGTCGAGAGCAATATGGAAGTAAGTTGCTTACAGATGACTGGAGAGAGCAAAACAACAAGTATGGGCGGTAGTTACAGGACGGCTTTTTAAGGTCCCGACGATGAGTGGCGGATATGGAGCGAGTGGCAGAAAAGCAAATGCAAGCGTATCCCTGGCACGTTGTCAACGAGCGCTAACACGCCTGTGGCGGTTGAACCACCGCGTTCAACCACCGGCACATGGGAGACGCGTCCCATTGTCATGCGAGGGTCGGACAAAAAGCCATCTGTGTTCAAGCAAACACAATAACGATTCGTCTATATAACCGCAGGACAATGTAGATGAAAACAACTGTTCGATGCAAATTCTACTTCGAGCCCTTCGCCTTGGACTCCCGCTCTAGTCGTTGCCTCTCCTCACAAGCAGCGCGATAAAATTGCCTCCCTTTCCTTCTTCCTCTCCTCCAAAGCCCTTTTGGACTGCTCGCGGGAATGATCTACGCGCTTCTTCATGTCTTTCAGGGCTTCGAGACAGGCAGCAAGCTCCTCGGCATCATCTCCATAGTCATCTCGGATCGAGGAGCTGGGTCTGGTGATGGAAGATGCTAGGGTTTCTGACGTGTGCGAGATGGTCGAGCGTGGCGAGCGACATCCTGGGTCGACAACTGCGTTATAGGTGCAGAGGATGTTCTCGAGCCTCTCCAGCCTTTGACGAATATCCGCGATCATCAGCTTCATCCAAGTGCTCCTAGTCTCCTTTGAAACAGTCGACAGTAGGTGGTACTCCTCGGTATCCTCTTCCGCAGTGTTGGAAGCGAGTTCGGCGCGGCACAAAGTAGGCGAAGAGGCATCCGAGTCTGAGCTTCCCGTTGGGTTCACTACTCGCAGCTCATGCTGAACAGGCACAGCAGGAATTTCATCGGAATAGTTCACAGAAGAATATAGGCTCTGTGAATGTAGACTGATCATTATCAACTCAAGGTCTATGGTGCGCGGCTAACTGACCCACGGGCTGAAGCTCTCGATCTCCCCATCGCAGCACGACTGTTGGTCGTGAGTCGAATCCGTGGTCTTCTCTGCCGGGCGTCCGCTGTCATCATTGGCTTGCATCTCGCATATCTTCTCAACGGGAGGATGGATGGAAGGAACAAGGCTAACATTGACCTATTGGTATGTCAGTACATCATGTACAGTTGAAAGTTGCAGTGTGACTGACCGCGTTGTATGATACCACAGAGTCAAGAGAGTCTTCAAGATCTTCTGCCCAGGACGATGCATCACCTTGGTATTCATCTAAGTACAGGAGATCCAAGTACTGAGCCGGTCAAAGGAGATGTAGATGGGTTTATTACTTTGGTAAGCACAGTGATTGTTACAAAGATGGCTTTGGATGACTTACGGCTTCCTTGTACTTCTTTGTAACTATTGCTGTGTTAGTGAAAGCGACGGTCTCGAAGTCGCCTTCATTGCCGGCGCCGTGGCCTGATAGGTTGGGATGTGGTTGCATCATCATAAGTATGAAAGGAACCTTGCGCTTGAAGGCCGCGCCAGCCCGCTTCACGAAGCCTGGGATCATCTTGTGGTGGCCAGTCGCGAGTGTGGCGCTCTTATAGTGTCGATGAACTTGTTAATGGCGAGGTAGATATGCGGTTACGGACGCGTCTCAGACAAGCGTAAATCAGTGGCCAAAGAAAGATAAGCTGGACACTGTTCCTCTCGTGTGTTGTGGTTGGGAGCAAGTGGGGGTGGAGTGGCAGCGGATGTCGGAGTTGCCTCTATATTTGGGCGCTTATATAGTGGCCCGCGGGCTAGATGCTATCCAATTAGAGGCAAGTGCGAAAATGGCAGACAATGGCGAGAGTGGTGGCACGCAAGCTGCCGCTCTGTGGCTGCATCCCTTGATACCCATATCGTAGTATAGGCGCAGCTACAACGGTACTGAAATCCATTTGATCTTATGCTTTGCTCGTTGTCAATCTTGCGTCAGTGGTACCTGCAACTATTTTTTCAGCGAGCTATTAAGGTTGCTTGCTGCAGCTAGTGGTTGGCTTGGAAAGTATCTTCATAGTGGTCCCTTCGGCCTTGGGAGGACCGCAGATATCGGTGCAATTTTTGTGCGGCGCAAGACGATTGCAACTTTTTACGCATACAAAATCTCGCCACATAAGCAGAGAATAAATGATGGAACGAGCATAGAGCGATGGTTTATATACAATGTGACCACGACCATCCGGGGTGTGTACAATCCCAGTGTCTGTGAGTCGGCATTAGGAGATCGCACAGTAGATAATAGCAGTATATACAGCTGCTTCTTCCCTTGACTTCAAGACCGCCATCTTAGATCCCTACCTGCTGATGTCGCACGTCGTAAATGTCCTCTTCGGCAATCCGCCCGATCTCTCGAGTAGTCGAGTCCCTCATTGAGGCAATGGAGTAGCCACTCATGGTACGAGGCCTCCCTAACACGCGTAACGCCGCATCAGCACGCCTTCGGTAGCGCTGAATCACAGAAGATCTTCACCTTGGCCTCGCGTCTGCCTTCCGCCGATCGCACGGGACTCAATCATCGAATGGCGGCGGTACTCCCCAAACTCAGTTGTGTTGTACATGCGGCTGCCACGTTTGGCCGCCGGCGGCGCCGTCATGAGCGACTCTGCGATCACTTGGCTGAGGAGGTCGTAGCTATTTTCGTCCGCGCAGGAATTGCGGTCTCCGCGCGCACCCCGCGCACAATGGCAGCCGCGGTGCCGGAAGGCGCAGAGCACGCGGGATACCCGTCGCTTCGCTGCTTCGCGGGTTCTTCTGAGCAAGTCGGAGCCCATCATGGCGCTGTGGCGGTACGACGACGATCTCGTGGTGAATAAGAGTCAGGACATAAAAAAATTGGGACGGTTTGTCGAGTAGACGCACTGAGGTGTCTTGGGAGGGAGGTTGCGGCCTCTGGTAGAGAAGGGGAGACTGCGGGCCTGCCACCTTGCGTGGTGGCGGTGAGCAGGTGCACTGTGGCAAAACACGTTCCTGATCGTTGACACGGGGCGCTTACGCGCCTGTGGCGTGTGCGCTGCATGCCATTCTAGGAACAAACAGAGCTAAAGACTCATTTGTAGTCGTACACGCTAGAGTTTATTAGTCTGTAATAAGGTAAGCGAACTACGTTCTTCTATAGCACATTAACGCGTTTGTGGGATACCGAAGGTGCAGAGACGTGTCAGAATTACTTTGCCCACCCACAGTGAAGAGAAACGCTCCTCCCGTCCCATAGCAACGAGATTGCGACACTCCCAAGCACCTTTCCCGTTTGCCGCATTGTGTCAACGCGAGTATTGCAGTGCGCATCTGCATGAGGATACGTATGATGAACAGGATCAGGTGATCAAGCAGCCGGAGAATGTTGCGAGGTCGCATGATGCTGAGACGGACATTGTCCTCGCGGTGATTAGCCCCGATAGAGTGCTCGGTTGATCGTTCTTCGGTGGAAGGTGGAACGCCGAAGCTCAGGCCATGACGGTGTTTTGGACCCAGGGGAACTGTACCGTCTCGCTGTTGATGATGGCCAGAGTCATCTTCGCCCAAATCGGCAGAAGGTCCTCCGCGCTGCAACTGTTGGTCAACATACCTCGAAGACATAAATTTTGCCGAAATTCTTCTCACATAGTGAGCGAGGCTCTCAGAGAACCATGGCAGCGATGGGCTGGACACGCTGCCGAACGCTGACCTTCGAGAGCATGTTGCCGCTCGTTGGCTGTTCCGGCGCACTTTGCGATGCGCCAGGGGATGTAGAGATCGATAACAAGCTTTCATATCTTGTCGAACCTTCCTGCTTCTACTCGAAATTCTGAGGGGCCCAACAAGCGACCGTTGATTTCCTTCGGATGCCTCGATATCTGAGGGAAGAAACTGGAGTTGATCGCTCTGGCAGGGCGATCTTGAACTCCAGTTTCTTTCACCGGCATGAACATGCCGAACAGACTGGATACTGCTTTGTGAGTTGCATAACCGCTGCATGCGTCGCAAATTGACGTACATATCTGTAAACCCGTGGTGCAATGGGAGAGCCGATGTCTGTCCAAGCCTCGCCATCCTCGGGGGGCTCCATCTAGCGCCTGTTTGACCGGTAGTAAGTCGCGCGCAACGGCGTCGTTCAGTTTCAGAAGCACATTCTTCACGAGAGTCCCGATCCGTACGATGACTACGTCTTCAAGATCCTCGAGCAGGAGCGCCTTCGCCGTCGTGTCACGAAGTTGTCTGCCAAAGACCAGCGGCAGCAGCTCGCCGGCATCCAAAAGAATCCTAAGCCATCGCCCATCGAGTCTCTCATAGTCGCTGTAAAGGCCCAATCAGCCATCCAAGGCATCATGAACCTCCTCCCGCGAATATCCTCGAACAGCACAATCGTCCTCCTGCACAACGGCATGGGCGTGTACGAGAATCTCATCAAGGCCGTCTTCCGCAACCGCGAGCAGCGCCCCAACGTCGTCGTCTCCGTTAACAATCACGGTGCATTCCTTAAGCAAGAGGGGCACGTTGTGCACACCGGTGTGGGCGACATCAAGCTCGGCATCGTCCCCGACCCCAAGGGGCGCGACTTCGAAGTGAGCCTTGACACTTCCCTTCCGAAGGAGGACCAGAAGCTCAGCCTCGACGACATCGCGCCGCTCAGTGGCGACCCTCTCGCCCAGCGTTACTCAATTTGTGTTTGAGTGCAGTGACAGTGTCCTTTCGCATGGTGGGGAAGTCCGTCATTCAATATGACGATCTGTCAGAGAGAATGAAAAACTAGATGAAACCGGAGAACGGAAGTAGGCGAAGGAGGGTGTGTGTGCCAACGACCAGCGTTGGCGCGACCACTTGGGGGGAGAGCGTATATATACCCGTGCGCTGACCAGTAAGAAGACAAATTCGTTGCACAGAGATCAGAGGTAGGCTAGGCGCATCGTCTTCTGAGGTATTATTAGCGCTCCGTGCGCTAAGGCGTTTGTGGTATGTATCCCGAGAGATCACAGCCCTCGTAGTCACTGTCCGGTGACGGTCTTCATATGAACGACACGGTGTTTCTTGCCACGATTTGGTATCAGCTCGACTGTCTCCTGGAACACCGTACGGCAAGCAAGAAGACCGAGGCAAGAAATGATCTGAGTAGTTCGGCGAGGCCCCTTCTTTGCCCGAAACATAGATTAGATCAGCGAGCAACAATCGTCAGAAAGACAAGAGATGAATAGATATATTTGTGAGCTCACACAATACTGTCAGTGGAGCCAATCGACGAACGGACAATAATTCAACATAACGGTTTCTGAATGTTGATGAATCGCCCTGAGTGACCGTTGCTACCGAAATTCTCGCCGCTGCATGTGTAGGTAGAGTCAGCACGTTAATTCACACTGACAGAGTAAGTCTAGTGCAGTAACAAGAAGAACCTGTAGCGAGTCTTGTAGGCTAATTCGAATAAAGTTGTCGGACAAGAACTCCTTCAAGATTCGAGTGTTAGTTTAGCGCCCGTGTCCCATGTGAGCCACGTGCGGACGCGACGCGACGCGTAAGCGCTCGCTCTCTGTGGTCTAGACTCTAGTGCGTCTGACCCGCCTTGCACCACATATACTCGGGCCTCTCGCTATCGCTGCTTGTCGCGTCTTTCTCTCTCGTTCTATTTTCTCTGTTTTTTTTTTCTGCTCCTAGGCTCTCATCCGGCTCGGATTGGCCAGTGTGCGACGCGACGCCACGAACTAGTGACTGCTCATGCGCGTTCCCGCAGTGAAGACATGACCTTCCGCGCTCAAATGAGCGCTCTGCTAGAAGGCATTATTTGGTGACGTGAAGGACCATAAATATGCTGCGCGGTCGGCATTATGCTGGTGAATGCCCGTTGTGGTTGAATACCCTAGCGCCGAGATGACCGACCAGAGCGTGTTGTGATCAGCCAAACGGGCTCGTTACGGCGTGCTCACGGAGGTGAGCTCGTAACCTGCATATTCAAGACAATTGATTGAGGATCGAACACACCAGTGTGATAGCCAATTTGCTCTCTCGAAGTTCGAGTGAGGTCATAAGGCTGCTTCGAGGACGTAGACGTACATACACGCTGTTATTTTGCCATATATGCGCGCAAATTCTACCCCTGAGCCTTCTGCAGCCCTCCAACATCTAGTGAACGAAGCGTCATTCAAGCAGTCCTCACGTAAGTGGTTCCTTTCTATGAAACAGCGTGTACTTCATTCCGGTGAATTTTCAGGTAACAATGCAGTTGAGGTCGGTTCTCCCACCTTCTCTACATGTGCGTGCGTGAGTACCACATTTTCTCAAGTCCTCTGAATTGCACACGCTGGTCATTTGTGAACTTGAGACGTCTCCTTCTCGTGCCATGATCGAGTGTCATTCACACAGACGGATGGTTTTTGTGGAATACAATCCGCGCTGCGTCTGCGTTTGATGTGTGTCGCTCAGGCGTGATACCGGCCCTGCTTTCTGTTGCTTTCTCCAACGGCGCTTCCTCTGTTGCTCGCTTAACGGTGTGTTGCTAAGGCGCTAGAGGGACCAGCCGGTGCAGATGTCCACGTTCCGCTCACATTACCACGGATCTTGTACCATGGTAAGCTTTTGCAGCCGGTGAGCTTACTACATACACCTTGGCAGCGCCTTGTCCTCGTGCAATCGGAACCGTCGGACCTTATACAAGACCTGGTGACTCGCGGGAACGTCTGACGTTGCCGCCGATGGGCCACGCGCAGGCGAGGTGCATGTTGTGGAATCGCTTTCTCGATAGCGTCTCGCCTAGCTATCGGGGGGCTTGCCACCTGCCACCAGCCAATTGATTCTATCCACCCGCGTTGGGTATTTGGCGATTCAACACAGCACCGCTATGCTATGAATGGTGTGATCTGCCACCTCTAGGATAGAAACACTGCTATTCGAGGGTGGCTCAGACAATGGTGCGTCTCCGTTCGCATGTTAGCAGATGGTGCGATGAACACGATTTGCAGTTAACAATCCATGAATTTCTTGCACAGCATATTCCAGGTGATGGGCTCTGATCAAAGGCGGGCTGCAAATGCGCCGTTTCGCCGAAAGAACGGTATGCCTCTCTCAGCTCCGCAAGTCAATGTCTAGATCCTTTTCTGGCCACACGGCGTCACTGGCTCTACCGCAGCCTTCGTCCATCGTGCCTTTCATTGCTCCAGCCAACTATTCACCGGGCGAAGTATGATTAGAGATCCCTCCGACGCCGCTGGCGGGATTTTTTCTGTCACATGCCGCGTCTATTTGCTGGTTCCGCTGCGGACGACATCAGCATTGTCCAGGCTATACTCGAGCGTAATATGGTGGCCTAAACTCATCTGGGGTGATCAGCGACAAATCCCGTGGACGATATGGATCACTGGCAAGTCCTCCATCCCTGTTGTTCTTGGGATACATTGATGTTACTACTGGCAATATGAACTTTTCGCAAAGCTAGTCTGGTCTTCCGAAGGGCACGCCGCTGCAATGTGGCCGATTCAGCACGCGAAGGACGGAACGCTCAGAGCCTATCGGTGAAACAGGCGTCTATGTGAGATTGGTTTAGGGCCGGTCGCGACGCGCGTGGGTATAGACGACTGCCGTTTCAGGCAGGGCGAGACAGCGTGGCAAGACCCGCACTAGTCAATGCCTCGGGCGGTCCGAACTTTCTCGACCATCCGCTCGTTCCCAACTACCGCGTGTGCGCTGTATTAACCTCGCACGGGCAGCTGGAGTGGGTTGTCTTCATCCTGCCGCTGCAATACCCGTAACCCATGGCTCCCCCGCCACCTCCCCCGCCACCGCCACTATGCTTCCCGTTCTCGAGCAAGCCGAAGCGCAGGCTCACGTTCTCGGAGCAGTCGGCACGGGAATCCTACGACTCACAGCGGTCGAGTGTCGACCGCCTCGACCGCAACCGCTTGGATCGGTCAGGTTCCTACTCTCCGACCGCCACACTGACCTCGCGTGCGGAGAAGCTTACGTTCACGTCGGAGACGGACTCTTACGCGTCTGCGCGTAACTACTCGAAGGAAGTGATTGAGGTCAAGCCGAATGTCCTGCGGCGCAATACTACTAAGGGTCGGATCATGAAGGATACTGCGCCCCCTGCACAACCCACTCAGGACGCCCCGAAGCCTGCAGATGAGAAGCCAAAACGACACTTTACGTTGCTGGGGTATGGATGGGGGCTCGGAAAGAAGGAGAAGGAGCGTCAGAGGGAGCTCGAAATGCAACACCAAGAGGACTATGATAGGGAAGAGGACCTGATCGACCTAACGCGTGATGGAACTCCAGATAGCCACCTACCGGCGTACCAGTCGCCACGTCCCTCTGAAGGAACGCAGAAGTCCCCCCGTTCGTCAAACGGCTCATCGCACCACTCGTCGGAGAGACGTCAACCCCTGAACCCGCTCCCCCCACACATGCTTGAGCACCGGATGAATAACAGATCCGATTCATACAAGTCGAACTCGAGCAGGTCCACGGATAGGTCGGGAGGCTCTGGTATGAGGAGCGGTAGGAGTGGTGGTAGCAGCAAGAGACCTGGACTGGAGTCATCGCAGTCGTCTGATACGCTAGTGGGATCTGCGTACGAGCGGAAAGTCAGCGACCTCGACCCTATCCCCGAGAGAGTGGACACGACCGGTCGACTAACTGCGTTGAGAGAGTTGATGCAGAAGGAGACGTTGGACTACTAGTAAGTCTACCAGGTCCTTGAGCTGCGCTCTGTTGAATCGTGAGCGCAATGTTGCACAGTATCATCCCGACTGAGGATGCGCATGGGTCAGAATATGTAGCTATCAATGACAAACGTAGAGAGTGGATCTCCGGGTATGCTCCTTCATGCTTCAAAAAGGCTGAGTATGACCTGACCTTGTTGTAGGTTCACTGGGTCTGCAGGACAAGCTATCATCTCCAGGACCAACGCCTATCTCGCCACAGATGCTCGTTACTGGATCCAAGCGCGCGAACAGCTCGACGAAAACTGGATTCTCATTGAGGCAGGCTCCGTGGGCGGCCCAGCTGACTGGATATCCTGGCTCTCCGATCGGGCCAAGGACGCGCGCATTGGGATTGACTCGCGCATGGTCTCGTACGAGAAGGCGACAAAGCTGAACCAAGCACTCGTTGGGAAGAGCTGCAAGCTCGTCTATCCGCCGCAGAATTTGGTCGACCTCATTTGGGTAGAGAAGCCATCACGCTCGAAGGAGCCGATCTTCGTGCAGCCGCATCAGTTCACGGGGAAAGAGGCAGGCGCGAAGTTGGCGGAGTTGCGTGCATGGATCGGAAACCAGGCGCCGACGGTACCGTCGTACTCGAAGGAGCCACCAAAGCCGTCGCAGATGCAAGTGGCAACGCTCATCTCGTCGCTACCGAGTATCGGTACGTGTGTTGCGATGTGCTTTCGTGACCCAAACAGTAACACTGCGGTGCAGCATACGTGCTCAACTTGCGCGGAGACGACATCCCGTTCAATCCTGTCTTCCATGCGTATTTGTTTGTGAGCTTAACGCAGGCAATTCTCTTCATCGAGCCTGCCAAGGTCAGCAAAGAGGTCGATGAATATCTGCAGTCGATTGGCGTGGAAAGGATGGAGTACAACGAGATCTGGGGCTTCATCCGGCGGAAACCATGGGGAGAGGGCAAGGTATGAAACCCCTTATACATTACAGCCCAGCAGGAGTTCATACGTGCGCAGGTCATCATCACGCCGGAAACATCCTACGCCATTTCACTCATCCTAACAAGCTTCCGGTACACGGTTCTACCGTCATACGTCGACGAGATGAAGGCGATCAAGAACAGGTCGGAGATCGAAGGGCTGCAGCATGCGTACCTCCGCGACGGTTGCGCCTTCGTGAGGTTCCTCGCCTGGTTGGAGGAGAAGATACGCCAGGGTTACGAAATCACTGAATATGAGGCTGCATGGCGTCTTACGGAGTATAGAAGGAAGCAGGCGCATTATATGGGCCTTGCCTATGAGAACATCTCGGCCAGTGGTCCCAACGCTGGTGAGTAACCTAAGTTATTCGCGGTTCTCACTGCTCATACTTTCCATACCACTCCGCATCTGCAGCTCTACCGCATTATAGCCCACGCAAGTCGACCGCTATATATATAGACAGGAAAACACCGTATTTAAAGTAAGCCCGCAGGTTTTTCACGTGTCACGACTTATACTCAACATGCATGCCCACAGCGATTCGGGCGGACAGTACCAGGATGGCACCTGCGACACCACTCGGACTATACATTTCGGCCAACCCACGGATGCGCAGTGTGAAGCGTTCACGCGGGTTCTCCAGGGTCATGTAAGTTTGCAATCTATCAAACCGTGATACCCGACCTGATGTGTTTGTGTGATAGATTGCCATTGACAGCGCCATCTTCCCCGAGGGAACGAGTGGCGCCAAACTGGATGTCTTGGCTCGGCGGGCGTTGTGGCAAGATGGACTGAATTACATGGTGCGTAGTCGCTTCCCTGTGTATCAGCCGCTGCGGCGCCTCTGCTGACGTGCCGCTTGTCGCAGCACGGGACCGGACATGGGGTCGGGTCTTACTTGACTGTGCATGAAGGTCCGCATGGCTTCTCCTCGGACGTGCCGCTAAAGCCTGGGCACGTCATCACGAACGAGCCAGGTTTTTGTAAGTACAATACTCCGCAATCATTGTGGTCATATTTGACATACGAGCACAGACAAAGAGGGCGAATGGGGCATACGGATTGAGTCTGCCCTCTTCGTCAAACCTGTGACAGTGAGTCTCACGATCGCCTACGCTGATCGCCAGCTGAACTGACAATACTCCGGTCAGACCCGCGGCGAATTCAACGGCGCTATTTGGCTGGGTTTCGAGCGCCTCACCTGTGTGCCAATTCAGACCAAGATGGTCAAAGACGTGATGCTGTCCAAAGAAGAGCGGCAATGGCTCAAGGTTCGTGTGATTCGTATCAGCTTTGTTGCACGGTGCTCATAGTAACTGATATCGCTCGCAGTCTCACAACGCGCGCTGCCTCGATCTACTCACGCCTCTTCTCCAGGAACAGAACGATCAAAGAGCACTGAAATGGCTGCGTCGCGAAGCCAGTCGTGGTATTGGCGCTGCCAAATCTGGTCCGGGCGGCATCTCGATCGACTGGGACTGAATGCCCGACCCCCCTCATTCTCGTGTTGCCGAACTCTGTACGATCTGTTACATTATCTTGCTCACCTATCGAGAGGATGCCACCGGGCATCCCCGCTGTATGTAAACCTTATCTTATACCCCTTGTGCATGCTCGACCGCGCATCCAAGTCTTGGAATCCCCGGATTACTTATTGCTTTTATTGTTCGTCGTCCTGCCGTTGTAGCTTATCTGTGCTGGATGTAGCTTCGTCGCTCTTGTCTAAATGTATGAATGATCATTTGTCGCCTATTGCACCTTTTGTGTCTGAAATTGAATTCGTGCAGGGTGAAACGCATTTGCAGAGAGAAAAAAAGAGTGTCTTATAAAGGCATGATATACATCGAAAGGAAGACGTGAAGCGAGCTGGAAGTAGACGGCCCTATCACCGGCGATTCGTCTTGCCCATCTTCCGCTTGCCAGCAAAGAGATGCTTCGGCTGGGCAAATAAATGAACATTAGGACAGAACGGCGGGATGGAAGGCTATGGAATATCACCATTTTGGTTTTGATTGCGCGGTCGCTTTCGCCGGCCCTCGCGTGCATGTTGCGCGCCCTGTGGCCCAGATCGCGTAACTTGATGGCCTTTGAAGCTTGCTGGTGACAAATCCAAGAATCCATGAGCCATTCTGCCGATGAATGTGTAAAGGTGTGCCACGTACCGCCTCGTCCCGCATACCTGCCAGTCGTCTGTCCGACCTGGGCTCCCGCTTTCCCTTCGTGATGACAGCGCCCGAGTTCGCCTTTGCCCGCTTGTTCGGGGCAGGCGCTTCCGCCTCGTCCACGTCCATCCACTCCGCCTCGCCAACCTCGCCGCCCTCCACATCCTCCACGTCCACGTCCATCTCCGCGTCCTCTTCGTCCTCCTCGCGCTGCCGTTTCCGCTTCGCACCGGCGACCTTCGCGAGCAGCGCTGCACGCTCCTGGATCCTGCTCGGGTCCAAGCCGGCCTTGGTCAGCTCCGTCGTGAGCTCGCTGAGCGTGCGCAGGCCGGTCGTCCGGGGCATTCTTGCGTGGTTCTTCATCGCTTTCTTCATGCTCTGCGAAGTCACTTTATGTTGTCGCGCGATCTTCGCTTCGGCTGCTTCTCGCTCGTCCTCAGAGTCGAACTAGGGAAAAGAAGTGATTGGGGAGACTTTCGGGTAAGAAAGGCGGGACTTACCATGTCCTCCTCGCTGTTGTAGAAGCCCTCCGCCACGAGCCTCTCCTCTTCCCGCTCCAGGGCCTCGAGCTTCTCCAGGATGTCTGGGTCGATGAAGTCTGCGACGTTTTTGCCGTCCATAATTTCTGGCATGATGTCCATCTTCCATTCAGGATCAGCGAGCATGTAGTTCTCTGTAGAATTGATCTAGAATTCAGTATCAAAGCCTTTTGCGATTCCGCGTGCAACATACTTCTGAGGTTGATGTTGTACACTCCAGGACCACCCTCCTCAGCCTCGATGTCCTTCTCCAACCGTCGCTTCTCAGCATCGTTCTTCTCCTGTTCCCTCCGCTGCTTCACAGCCTCAGGAATGAACGGCTCGCGAACGACGTCGTCTCGCGCCCTCGGCTGCGCGACGTGCAGCCTGTTGAGGATCGAGTTGACCTTGTTGCCCTTGAGCTTCTGGTCGACGCGGTGCTCCAGCAGCGCATCGCACGCCTTGTTCTTGAGCTCCATGACGCCCTCGTCCGTATAGCACGACACTTGCACGTGCATGACGCCCTCGCTGTTGACGATCTCCTCGACCAGCGTGCGGTTCTCAGGCGCGAGGTCCTCCAGCCGGGTGACGTCGACCTTGTTCATGACGAGCAGCGTCGGCTTGTTGGCGAAGAGCGGCTTGATCGAGTGGAAGAGCTTGCACTGCGCCTCGATGGTGTACCCGCACTGCTCGGAGAGGTCCATGAAGTAGAGCACGCAGCTCTTGAGGTGCGCGAGCGCGGTGATGCTCTGCATCTCGATCGTGTTCATGTCCTCGAGCGGGTGGTCGAGGATCCCCGGCGTGTCGATCACCTGCCAGCGCATGTAGCGGTAGTCGAGGTGCCCGATGAAGAGCGACTTGGTGGTGAACGCGTACGGCTGCACGTCGACGTCCGCGCGGGTGACCTTGTTGATGAAGGAGGACTTGCCGACGTTCGGGTACCCGCAGATGAGCAGCGTGCGCGCGGTGGGGTCGATCGCGGGGAGGCGGGAGATGTGCTGCCGGACCTGTTCGAGGTAGGCGAGGGGGTCTTTCTGGCGCCTCATGATCGTCGCCATTCTGTGGGAGGGTTCGCGATGTGGCTCGGACGTGAAGGGCGGTGTACGCACCGACCGAGTGCTGCCCGCTTGAGCTGCTTGCAGCGGTACAGACTGTCACCGAACTTGAGGAGACGGACGTAATCCTTCGCTACTTGGTCAATCAGATGCCGTGCCGTCCGAAGCTGGCCAAGCGCAAGTTTGTAATGGTTCTTGTCGTACAGGACGTTCATGAGGGATGAGAGAAACGGATGGAGGTCCTGAGTTCCAACACAAACGTTCAGGATGTCTAGCAGGACTCGCACGCATAGAACGCACGTCAAGCATAGGGAACTCTTCTAGGATCGCGCTCAACTTTTCATCGAATGAATCCTGCGTGAACTTGACCTTGCGCATGTAGAAGTTCCGGATACGACTGATTTTGAAGTTTTTGTGGATGACCTACATCTCCACGTTCAATCCTTCTACACGCAAACTTCTACAGACCCATGCTCACCGTGGGGGTCTTCCGCTGCGTCCTCGACAAGACAATGTCCAGGAAGTCCGCAGCGGTGGGCACCGGAGAAATCGCCTTTAGTCCGCTGGTCGACATTTTGAGTAACAAAGCCCGGTGAGTGAATAGCGGATTAGAAGCGTGTACTCGTCGTCTGTACCGGCGCCGCCGTCGATGCAGATGGCGTCGGGAGTGCGCTCAAGCTCCCAGTATGGTCTGAAAATTTGGATTACGTAATGAAACAAAAAGTGTCAGACTTTCGCACGCGTATATCTCAGCTTGATTTCTGCAGATAGTCCTTACCTGAGGCAGACCACGTATCACCGTGTTTTACGAACCAGGTCAAGTAAATCAATGAGATGTGCAGAAAGCATATATTGTACACATTGCGTCTTCGCAGCAGACTCTCATTGACTGGCGGGGAAGTCGCAGGTCCTTCACATTAGCCAAAGCCGAAAAGCATGCGTGGATTCAAAGAAGATTATGATGTCACGGCTGAAGGAACATCTGCGCATCATTAAGGTGCATCGTCTACCGCATGCTCGCAATCATTCCGCCAGTGCAGCATCCGGGAGGACCACACGGTGATAGCAAAGCAACGTATCCCCAGATAGAGCGATGAGCCTCGCGAAGAGAGTATACTTTACGCGGGATTATGGCTTGTTCGCATGGGATGATAACGGAGATGAGAAGGAAGCTCCGGAGATACACGCGCTTGAATAGCTCTGCAGCTTCTTGATCTCTGGTACGTCCTATAGAGTGAGAGATGCCAAGGAGGCTTAAGAACGGCAAATGGCCAATTATTAACCTGGACCGCTGATCGTCGCGGGATCTATGCACATGGCCAGACGAGCTGCGCCACATCATCCACGGGAACGCGATGATATATGCAGCGGAGTTGACAGCGTTGATTGCCAATTGCATGGACTGCGGTCATCGTCGCGGAATCTGCTTGAACCCGTGCGGCCACATCTCCAGGTATCTACACGATAGTGACTGAATAGTTTGATGGCAATCTTCCCAGCCTACACCGGAACGGGATGTCTGCATACGAAGAAGCTGCTAACGGCAGTCTCGGAGGCAGCACCCTGTCCTGCTCCGTCACATGGTCTGCATTGCATTGCGCACTACCCAGATACGCAAAGCAATGTGGCTTCTCGCTGGAGAGATCCGGAGTGGGAAATTTGCAGTTACTGCGAGGTTGGGGAGGCAAATGCGATGATATCAATGATCAGTGTCAGAGTCAGACAACGTAAATGGAGAAACGGCAAGTGTTTCCTTGCACCTCATTGTGTCGGAGATGAGCGCAGTGGGTGAATTGTGATCGGAGCGAGTGTACCTGACAATCAAAGGCGGTGCACCGTATTCGCATCTTCTCCATCAAACACGCAGAGTTACCGTGTGACGCCCTGCCAGCTTATTCACCATGTACCACTCTCTCCGCTCTCCCATCAGACTCCTCCCGCCCTACATATGAGTGCACTCGCCATCCACCCGCAGTCCCCGGACGACCAGTCTGGCTCGGTCATGACCGTCCGTCTGCCCATGCCCGCACGCTGCTCCGTCGACGACGCGGAGGCAATTCGCATAAACAACCAGATCGACGAGGAGATAAAGGTGTGTTCCTGTACGTATCCGCGGCACGCACGTGCGAAAGCTTGATGCGCTCTGCCGTGTAGCGCGAACATGAGTCTCTCAAGCGTCGGAGGCCGAGAGAAGTCAAAGGTGCGCCCAGTCTACACTAGTCTAGGAATGATCTTAGCTCTCCCAATCTGGATTGCGCATCATATAATCGCGCTGTGTCAAACCTGAGCTGTTTATTGCGCAAATGGAGACCGTTTCAAAACCTCATATTTCATGATGTCAATCGAGTTCTGACAGCGTGTCTTATCAGTGATGCTCCTGGGACAAGCAGAGTCCGGAAAGTCGACTCTACAAAAGCAGTTCCAGCTATACTACGCATCCCAAACACTCGACTATGAACGTCCTTCCTGGCGGCCCATCGTCTACTTCAACGTCCTCAAGGCCATCCGGATGATCCTCACCGAGATCGACTATGAGTATTTCTCCAACCAAGGGCCGACCGCCCCGGCGATGTCTCCCTCCTTCTCGAGCAACTCCTCCACCAGCCTCTCCGGCTCGCCCTCGCGCGCGTCGACGACGCAGAACGGCATCGACCCCGCATGGATGCTGGAGCTCTCGCAGCTCCGCAGCAAGCTCCTCCCGCTCGTGGCCTCCGAAGACGCGTTGGCGTCGGAACTCAGCGGTGGAATCACCGTGTCGGGCGGCCGCACGGGCGTGTACGTCCGTGCGGGCTGGCAGGCCCTCAGCACGGCCACGCGCTCGTGGCCGCTCGCGGATATCAGGAGCGGTTCGGGCCCGAGAGCGCCTGTGATGACAGATATTGTCGCGAAGACGCTGGCGGCGAACGCGTATGAAATCGAAGATTTGTGGCATCACCCTGCGGTGAGAACTCTGCTGGCGACGAATGATCTGCGCTTGGAAGAGTATGCGGCGTTGTGCGTTGTTTCGTTTTTTGGTGGGGGGTCGGATGGTGCTGACGAGATGCTGCCAGCTTCTTGGATAGTATTCATAGGATTGCCCAGCCGGACTATCTTCCTACGACAGGTAGGTCAATGCTGAACATCCTGCATATTGATGACCTATCCGCTCTGCAGAGGACATGCTTCACGTGAGATTACAAACACTGGGCGTCAAAGAGCACTCGTTCGACGTCGACATGGCCGGCACGAACTACACTTGGCTGTTATACGACGTCGGAGGCGCGGTGCGTAGCACTTGCTCTCCAAAATCCTCTCCGTGCAGTCACTAACGAAACCTCGCTATTCATAACTGCGTATCCCACAGAGAGGCCAAGTAAGTGTCAATTCGTGTCCCACGCGGCGATCTCCCCGCATGTTCCCATGGACCCTTCCACGATTCGATTCCATGCCGCTCCGTATCACTGACTCGTCTCCGCGCTTCGCAATAGAGACATGCCTGGGTGCCTTACTTCGAAGATGGTGCGTCCTCCCGTTCCTTCGACTGACGCAGAGCGTGCCTGGTTACGCCTCGTGCGGCGCCTTCCATGCGATCTTACATACATTCATCATTTCTGCTCGGTGCTATCTTGCGGTCGGTGATCGCGCTATTTTGTGGCGGCGGGTGCGGCCGACGCGACATCCCAGCCTCATGTCTTTCTAGCTTTACGTCCGTCGTGCGTGGTGGATGCTGACACGTCTCTCCTGCAGCCACGGCCATCATCTTCCTCGCCCCGATCAGCGCTTTTGACCAGGTGAGTTTCATATCCGCACTCCCGCCTCCACCATTGCCAATCTCGTGACCTTGCCCGCTCGCGGATCTGTCATTATCCCTGACTGGAACCCGACAAACAAATCAATCGATGGAATGTGCTCGTTCGGCGTGGAATTGGAATTGACGACCCGACAGTACCTGGAAGAGGACCCGCGGACGAACAGGATTGACGACTCGTTGCAGCTGTTCACCACGATATGCTCGAACAAGCTGCTACAAAAGTCGGCGCTGGTGCTCATGCTCAACAAGGCGCGTGCCCTTTCTTTCTCACCGATGGACCACAGTTGACGGCGCTACCGCGTCTTTGCAGACGGACCTGCTGAAGCAAAAGATCGACGCTGGGATTAAAGTGCGGAAGTAGTGCGTGAACTGGGTTTTACGTGCGATGGGATCCGCTGACGCTGATGGGGATGGGGATTTAGCATCTCGTCGTATGGGGACCGGCCAAATACGTATGAGGAAGTCTCGGAGTACTTCCGCGCACACTTCATACAGGCGCACCGGCGGAAGGACGTCTACCGCAGGTCGCTGTTCGTGGTGCGTGTATCAGTGGTTTGAATGTTTGCCGTGGTGCTTAGGATCAACCGATGTTGGCTTTGCAGCACTTTACCTCCATGCTGGTAAGTGTGATGAGGCTGTGGACGGAGGTTGATCTAGGCTGACGGGCGGCGGATCTTTAGGATATCAAAGCGACGCAGAGGATTATAGTTAATGGTGAGTGCCACGACGTCTTGCCATCATCTCCATCTGTCTTCTAACGCCGCAAGCATGGCAGTGAACGAAGCCATCATGCGGAAGCATATGGCCACCATCGGCCTTGCATAGCCGCACAGGCACTGCAGCGCAGATGCAGATGCGACGTGTGAAATGCCGCGTACGAAATGCTCGTGACGTAACCGCTTTGTGTTGCTTCTATCTGTGAATGTGGATGTGGAGGTGCGGTGGGCTGTGTAGAGTAGGAAGGTTTTTGGTATGGTGGTTGGGATGGGGAATGGAAGGCTGTCGGCGGGCGGCGGAAGGCGGAAGGCGGTGGCCGGGGGACATTTATGAGTGGTGCTTGGATCGGATATATCCTTCTTGTGGCTGTAATGTACGTTCATGTAAGTGCTGTTTGCTGATAGATACCTTTGGTTTGGCTTGGGTCGCTGGGCTGTTGCGTTGGCGTTCCTGACCGGCGACGTTGGCCGGTGTGGACGAACGATGCAGTGCACCGTGCGATGCGCCGAGGTTACATACGGCGGACACGGCAGGTTCCATACGTATGGCGTGCTGAAACAAAGGGAGTGGTGGATATCCAGATATCCAGAGATCACGATCACTGGGCAAGTCCCGTGGGCGGCACTACATAGATCGGATGACGACTCGGAGGTCAAATTGCGATCGTTGCTTGCGGTCAGCAGTCGTCGGTCGCCGATCCAGGACACCGAACTCGAGCGCGTTCCTCGGGGAGACCGATCGTTGATTTGTGAGTGAGCTCGGGGAGTCGGGTGTGGGTGTGTGATGACCGCTGGTGATGGCGTCCCGGGCGGCGAGGTGTTTAGTGGAGGGTGAGTGTGAGTGTGCATGAGAACGTAAGGGAGGGGAGGGAGGGCCAACGTGTCGGGAGAACGTGTCCGCGAAGATCCGTTTTGCCAGGGGAATTACGAAGTGTTCCGTCCATTGCGGGTGAAAATGTTCAGCGATGAGTGCGTGATGGTTGCAACGACATTGTAGGGACGCACACTTTGCATGGTCGGATCTCACGCAGGCATATTCTCATGTGTGTTCTTATACCATTGATACTAGACGGGTGTCTGAGTAATGGCCTCAAGAAAACAGGATACATCTCAGAACGCTTGTGGCTACTTGTCGACATCAAAAAGACGGTAAGTCTTAGGACCTTCTTGATCGAGACTTTCCTTTGGAGTACATCTTCTCGCTGGCTTCTTGCCACACGCCTCTGGGTCTGTGCAAGCCAACGCCAATATGAAAGAGACGTTCTCGAGGCACAAGACGCTTTGACTTTTCCTGACGTATGTGGTAGTCACGGCGCATCGCCGATGGATATTGATGTTGATGAACAAGGTTTTGGGCAACTCGGACTGTCAAACCACCCGCGACATTTTGTTTAGAGGACAGCTTGGAATTACAGGTAATCGAAGTCTTTGAATGCTGATGGATTGTTCTGGATTGGCTTGAATCGCTGGGTTGTCATGTGAGAGTTTTCAACCGGCGACGTCAACCGGTGTGGACGATGCAGTGCACCGTGCGATGGACCGAGCTTACCGTGGTTTCATACGGCGTGCTGAAACAAAGGAAGGATGGATATCACGATCACTGAGCAAGTTTCGTGGGCGGCGCTCTACATAGATCGGATAACGACTCGGAGGTCAAATTGCAATCGTTGATTGCAGTCAGCAGTCGTCGGTCGCCGATCCAGGACACCGAACTCGAGCTCGTTTTGAATTCGGAGTAGACCGATTTGTCGATATGTGATTTGTGATTTGTGAGTGAGCTCGGGGATTCGGGAGTGGGTGCGTGATGACCGCTGGTGATGGCGTCCCGAGCGGTGAGGTGTTTAGTGGAGTGTGAGTGTGAGTGTGCATGAGAACGTAAGGGGGGGGAGGGAGTGGCCAACGTGTCGGGAGAACGTGTCCGCGAAGATCCGTTTTGCCTGGGGAATTACGAAGTGTTCCGTCCATTGCGGGTGAAAATGTTCAGCAATGAGTGCGTGATGGTTGCAACGACATTGTAGGGACGCACACTTTGCATGGTCGGATCTCACGCAGGCGTATTCTCTTGTGTGTTCTTATGTCATTGATGTTGACTCGAACTTCTGTGGCTCGCTCTGAGACGTGAGCGGTTGGATTGGCGACAGATTCTTCTATCTCTGCAAATTGCCATCCCTTACCAACTTGGCTGACTCCTGCGAGACCGGAATTGTAGTCTTGCACAGGAAAGATGACTCAAAAGGTTAAATAGCTTGCAGCGTCGGAGCAGCTCGAAACGTCGAACCTGAGAAGAACCGTAGCGGATTTAGCTCAATCTCTACCTATGTCCTCTGACAGCACGAATTTGATTTTTTTGCCGACAACAGTAGACTGCGTGCATGAACGTCGTAGTTCTGACTTGGTGCGAGCATCGCCGTTTGAAACAAAAGAGAGTTGCCATATATGGGGTGCTCGGGTATATCCGCGAGCTGAACTTGTCCGATGTGGGTTGATAATCACAGAAAAATACGCACGCGTCGGTTGTCTCTGACCAAGTGCTGCTGCTGGCTGTCTGCGACGCTGCCTGTGTTGTCTAGAGTCGAACAGAGGAAGCGAGAAACTGAGCGGAGAGTGGGTGCTCGCGGGACGGGCGCTGGAGAGGATAAATACTGGGATTTAGGTGAGACATAACCGCCTCGAGCTGATGGCGACACGGCAAAACAAAAAGCGAAAGGGCGTCCGCAATGTCATCAACCGAGAACGCACGGTCACCACGTTGACTGCTGGCCCCGAAAGCGCGTTTCTGATCCCAACCACCACTGAAGAACCAGGCGCAGCTCTCATGTCTGCACCTTTTCCTGTCTCCTCGTCTGCTGGCGGCGGTCCAAACATGCAGCAGCCTGCCTTCCCCATGGCCCCCAACTTTGCTCCTTTTTCCTACAACAGCTACATGCCTGGTCAAGGCTTCGTTCCGCAACATCAGCCTCAGCATTTCTTCCAACCAGAGCCAAACTTGCCGCCGGGACAGAACGATCTCGAGGTGTTGGAGAAGCTGAAGGAAACGATCAAAAGCGGTCAGCACGAGCTCTTCCAGCCGGTTCCACAGCCTGCTGCTCTTGCCAGTCTCTTCCTGGGTCCCAAATACGTCTCGAGAGTGCCTCCTCATCCTGAGCAAGTGCCTGTGGACTATCCGCAACGGCATTTTGATGAGTCTGCTCATCACAACGATATACCCAGCAATCCTGCCAACGTTAACAGTGCTGCCAGCAATGTTCCTGAGCAAGACAACCGGCTGCCTTCTCAGAGCTCACAAGCGTGGGATGGCTCAAGAAAGCCAGCACCTCAGCCCGCGGGCGACTCCAAGATAGCTGATAATGTGCTAAATTCTAGTAATTGTCCTGTATTGGTCGGCCGCTGATACTGTGTTACGCCCTCTGCAGAAATCAACGCTGTCGCCGCCGGGTGCTGTGTCCTCTGCACCCCACATGGATGCTAGGCACGATGTGAGTACAGGCTCTGCGCCACTAGTAAGCAACGACTCGGCTGCAAGGTCGTTGGATAGAAGAGGAAACGGTCCCAACAGCCCTCTGGATACCACGCAACGGACAGCTGGCAATGAAAAACCTGATGACGTTTCGCGACAAGGCCCTCCTGGGTCACAGAGGTTTGAGTCCCGCAATCTGGAAAGATCTCAATCGGACAAGGCTCTTGGTCATGATCATCCGTCTGATCCTCCCCCCTCACTCTTGCCAACCAAAACAGCGTCTTTGGACGATATTCGGCTTCCACGAGACATGAACTGGACCCATCGCAACGGCTCTGACGATAGGCAACGCCACGATTCGGATCGCGGTGCTCCCATCAACGGACGGTCCCATGGCGACACGAGGTACAACAACAACGGGAATGGCGGTGACACGCGTGGCCCTGGGCCAAGCCCCAGGATGCACGAAAGGGAGAGAGACAAAGAACGTGATCGCGAGCGTGAGCGGGACAGAGACAGAGACTGGGAACGTGAACGGGATCGCGACCGGCGCGCCGACTACGCCCGGTTCAGAGATGACCGGCGGATTGACGATCGCCCAAGAGCTCTGGACAATCGACGCGCTCCTTCCGAGCAGCGACAATATGAGCCGCGTTGGTCAGAGCTCCATCGCAGACCTGAATACAAGCCCTCTGGCGGGCCTCCTGCTGGCCCGCCGCGCGTCAATGCGCCCGACGAACGGAACACTCATCTTGATACTCGGCCACCACGCTCACTAGGTGAAGAACGCTCCATCAACAGGATCCCTGATGCTGCTCCGGCTAGAGCTCCCCCGGGCGATCGTCGTCCGCCATCGAGTGAAGACCGTGCTGTGAGAGCCCCTGTTGATGACCGCCGTGGACCTCTCCCTCCCTCATCTGATCGTCAAGCAAGAGATGCGGAAGATCGACGACTTCTCCCTCCACCGTCCCCTGCTGTCTCTGATCGTGTTGTGAGGCCACCTGAGGATCGACGACCACCTGTCCCTCCACCTGCTGCTGAGCGTCAAATCAGGCCTCCTAGTGATGATCGCCGTGCACCTGTCCCTCTTCCTGCCAATAGCGACAGACAGATGAGACCTCCTGAGGACAGACGGCTGGCGCCGCCGCCTCCTGCTGCTGTAGATCGACAATCGAGGCCAGTTGATGACCGTCGTGCACCTCCTCCAGCATCATTGGCGGGAGATCGCCAGGTAAGGCCAGTCGACGACCGACGCCCTCTTCCTCCTCCGAGCATAGACAGACGTCCACTTGTTGATGATCGACGACCGCTTCCTCCTGTTGATAGACCAATGAGGCCTTCTGACGACCGCCGTCCTCCATCTTCTGAAGACCGTAATGCACGTGGCCCCACAGGTCCGCCGCCTGTTATGTCTCGTCCTCCTGTTGAAGACCGTAGCATTCGTCCTCCACCAAGCAAGGATGATCTGAGTACCCGTCCGCCTGCTTTGCTGGAGGAGCGCATCGGCCGTGCACCGCCGTCCTTGCAAGAGCGGATCGCCGTGAGCAGCAGTAGAGCGGACGATAGGTCAAACCACCCTCCACCTGTGCGTGCAGACGATCGCACGGGTCGGCCTGTACCTCCTTTGGAAGAGCGTTTGTCCCGTCCTCTCCAGGCCGTAGATGACCGCGGAGCCCGCCCGCCTCCTGCTGAAGACCGTTTAGCTCGCCCCCCGGTTCTGCCTCCTTCGACCTCTGCTTCTGACCGCGGTGCCCGTCCTGTACCTCCCGATGACCGGAAAATCCTCCTAGCTGAACCTGCACGTCCGCCTCCTCTATCTGGGCCGCCCGACCGCGGAGGGCGTCCTAGCGATCGCGAACTCGATCGCGGGCGGCCGCCCGTGTCAGACAGATTTGCTCGCCCTCCGTCCCCAGCGGTTTCAGCAAGCGGACGCGGGCCCCCTCCGTCTCGCGCGGTATTTCCTAGCCCTGCTCGTACGGCCTCCGTTGCGCGTGACGAACCGCGCGTGTTTAGGCCGCGGTCGCCGGCGCGTTCTCCGCCGCGGTCTGACGCGAGGGACTTCCGCCCTGCTGCTGAGCCTCCTCGTGACCGCGCCGATATACGGCCAGCGTATCGTCCGCAACATGATAGGTATGCTAATGATCGCCGTCCTGACTTGATGGATACCGATCCGCCGTCTGGTCGATTCAATGCGCCTTATCGAAGGCCTGCGAGTCCTGTGGGCGCGAATAGTTTGGAAACATACGGCTCGCGTGGGCGTTCTTGGCTTCCTGCAGGCGAAGCATATGTGGAAGACCCGGTGCGACGCCCGGCTCCCCAGGATGCGCATGGATATGGACGTGAGTGGCGCGAAGACGATCGTGGATATGCGGATGACTGGGACACAAGGAACGGACGCACCTGGGATCGGCCGGCGTATGAACGAGACCGATTCTTGGAACGCGAGCCAGTGCCGAACAACGGTTGGGAGACGCGTGAAGAGCGCGAACGCAGACTGTCTGGCGGCTTGCTCCCACCTCCGCCACTCGAGCCCACTGCGGCACCGCCGAGATCTTTCGATTCGCGTCCTCTGAGTTCTCGTCTGACGGAAAAATATCCAAGTGAAGAGCGTGGTTACGGAAGAGATTTGGAACGTGGAAGGTACCCGCCTGTGGATGCTCCTCCGTCAACCTATTCCCGAGTGAGACCTCGCAGCCCGAGCCCACCCCCGAGAAGGTCTGGCCCCGTTGATGACTTGCGCCCGCCCATGAAACGTGCTCGTGACGATTATGGACCTGAATACTTCACACCTGCGCCGCCTGTTAGTGACACTCGCGCTCCGCCTCCTGCAGACTACCCTCCGCGTGTTCGCTCGCCGGTGGCAAGCGGCTCAGCGTACTATGATTCTCGGGCGCCTCCTGCGTATGGCAGTAGCCCTGGCGGCTTGCCTCGTGAACGAGATTACCCAGATGCGAGAGACCGTCCTGAATATCCAGCTTATGATAGACGAGTGCCGACGGCGCGGCGCAGTGCTTCGCCGTATCCGCGGTACCCCCGGGACGACAGAAGATACGGTGTTCACCCTCGTGGTTGAATGAAGTGAGTTGTCTGGTTTTTCCGCCGTTGAGGGAGTGGCTCATCAGGGACGTTGGTTGAGCAGTCTAAAGGACGATCTGCAAAATATCTATCGGATGTCGATTTGTGCTCGATTTCTCTATTTGGCGCGCAATGCGCCTTGCGACTTGGATCGGAACGTCAATATGCCTCTCATGTCTAAAACATATACGCGGCTTGCTTGTATATCTCCATATCTTGTTTTGAAAGTAGCTCCGTTATAACAATATATGACATATGCCCATGTATTTGTTGGCTGCGAATTTTTGTTGAAGTTCCTAGAAAGCCGGAGGATTTTGGAACAGTGGCGAAGTTCTCCCACGATCATGCTGCCTCAAGCGCTCTAGTCCTGGCGGGGGTGGCGGTGAGGTGATAGACAACAGCATCTGTTCCGCATCCAGCACAACATCCATCATCATGACTACTGTATCGCCCTTCGCTCGCAGTAGTGTGTTCGACGAACCTCGTCTCGGCGGGCGTGAGCAGACCGTAAGTCGGCATTATCCATGCCCTGTGTCCTGAGACGTGAACTTGAACAGGAAACGCTTCGTCATGCTTGCAGATCGAGGAGATGTACAGCGTGCCCGAGAGCTTCTTGGAAATAGAGGTGCGCAATCCGCAGACGCATGGTCAGCAAATCCTGCGACATGGAGACTATAGGACACTGAGCTGATGGTGCTCATTTAACAGGGTTCGGACGCAAAATGTATACTGATTATGAGATAGTGTGCAAGGTGCGTTTCTACTTCTCCTGCTGCGCATCTGCACGCTGCAATGATTTGTCTCTCATCCCGGCAGACCAATATTCCTGCGTTCAAGCTTCGACATTCAGTCGTGCGCCGACGGTACTCGGATTTCGAGGCGTTTCGTGACATCCTAGAGCACGAGTCCACACGTGTCAACATTCCTCCTCTGCCGGGCAAGGTCTTCACCAACCGCTTCTCTGACGAGGTTATCGAGGCGCGGCGTGAAGGCCTTGAACGCTTCTTGACGGTGGTGGCGGGTCACCCTCTGCTACAGGTGCGTCGCCTCTTGTAGGGTAATCACCCCACATTCTGATCAATTCACAACTGCAGACGGGAAGCAAAGTTTTATGCGCATTCTTGCAGGATCCTGCTTGGGACAAGAACCTATGGCAATAAATATGCGTGTGCCATCATCCTAATCGTCTTGCCTATTGAGTTTTCTCTGCCATGTTCCTCCTTACCCTGGCATTCGCTCCCTCATCTTCCTTTGTTGTAGCTTGTACAAAGTCCTACCTTTTCTCCAATACATGTCGTTCTCTCTATGTTTACCATGAGATGCAAGGCAGGACTACGCGCATCTGTAAATGTACCATACTACCCAATGGAAGTTTACTTATTAGATCGTCTGGACAACCATATGACCCTCTATGATGGCTCTGTCGGTTCGACGGGAGGTTCATGAACAACGACGTCTATGACCGAGCTATAATCGTTATTAGCTCTGTACGCCGGTAAAGGCCTATCGCGCTCACCGGAGGTGCATCGTATAGCCCGATTGGACATCGGTGAGAACAAGTTCATCGATGGGGTGCACGCCAGGCGTGAGCGCAAGGAAGTCCATTCGCACAGACTGACACGTAGACGGCAGGAGAGGTCTTAAGATCAAGGTTCAGTAAATCATCTCTTAGCAGCATTTACGTCCATGCTCACCCTATCCGCACCCTGTTTTCCAGCGGTACAATACCAGGACCATCAATTGCTCCTTTCTTCCTCTTCTCTGTCCGCCCCTTCCTTCGACGCCGCCTCTCATCCGGATGACTCACCTCGAATCTCCTCGTCCACGAAGACTGGTTGAACACAAATATATCCAGAGTGAACTGGTCTAGTGGATATATCTCTCCGTCACGACGGCTTTTGCTCTTGCTTTCGCGAGCGGTCGATAGCAGTCCCACGGACACGATGATCGGTTCCGCGCCCGCCTCAGCCTCGGCCTCCACCTCTGCGCCGAGCTCAGCGCTCGTTGGGAAGCCCAAGACGTTCACTCCCGGCGTCGGCAGTATACTCTGGCGATCCCGCCGCATGTCGACACTGGGTCCTGGCGCGCTCGCGTTCTGCTGCGACAGCGGTGCCTGCCAGAATGGCGTGGGAGGCACGGGCAATGGCGACCCTGGATATGCAGGATACGCTGGCGTACGAGGGGTGCCCGGCTCCTCGACAATCGGGAAACCTGTCACCTGCCCGGCACTACCAGCACCCAACGCCGAGAATGAGAAGTACGTATCTGGCGCCGGCATATCGTACGTCGTCGTGGTAGGCGCAGGCGAGCGTGCATAGAGGGACTGAAGGCCCACGGAAGGCGGGAGTGAGCCTCTGTTTCCCGGAACGTTCAGCATACCTCCGGATGTCGGGCTGGATGTGGGCGTCATGGGTCCTTGAGCAGGAAGCTGCGGCTGGTTGGCCGGGTTGAGCATCGCGGTCGGGCCTTGGTAGTTGACCGGCGACTTTGCCTTGCGGACCTGGCTGGCCGAAGCTGGAGACTCAAGTGCGCTTAGCGTATAGCGCTTGTTGCCTGCGACGGACTGCCCTTGAAGAGACATCGGCCGCGACGCGGGCGGCGAAGTGACAGTTGGAGGCGCGGACGCAGGCACGGTTGGGAACGGCGAAGCAGGCGTGGGCAGCACGGTTAGCTCTGTCGGGTCGGCCTCGGATGGGGCGGCGGATGGGATGGTCAAAGCGGACGAGAAGTTCAGCTTACAGCTCCAGTACGACTTGTAAACTTTCGTGGGGTAGGTGATAGTCTCCGATTCCGGCGCTCTCTCGAATGGCCTCACGCTGATGTTGATAGAGACAGAACGGTGCATATCTTGCGAAGATGCGGCTGTTTGCATGCTTCCACGCTTTCCTGCGGCTGACAAGCTTGTCCTCGAGCCAGCGCGAGGCCCACTGGGCGGAGGAACCGGACATTCATCTAGTTCGGGTCCCCGCAGGAAAGACACAGCGTAGAGGAGGTTAACCTGTTCGCGAGGTGCGATATACAATGGAAATACGGTGTCGTTGTCGCCCCACGAGACAAGCACTGTCTTTGCACCGGTCCCGCTGACAGTGACGTCTGCACGCTCGATCTCAAAGCTGAAGTTAAGTAATGAGTCGGCGGGCGTGTCAGGGAAGCTGTTCTCGATCTCGACGGAAAGAATGACAGTGTGCTCTTCATTCCCTGTCTCACGTTGTTCACGAGCATACTCATCTTCTTCATCCTCTGAGTCTGCCGCGGCCGTTACCTTGCTGCCATTGCCATCTGTCAGTTGCTGCTTGCTCTTGCCGTTCCGCGGAAGTAAGAAATGCGGCACGAAGACCGTACGCATGCGAACGTGAAAGCCCGATACCACTTTCATCGTTTTGCGATACGATTTGCGGAAGGTCGCGCCGGCTACCATGTGAGATGGCTTGCCATACGACGATGGTGGCCGTGCTCCGTGATGCTGAGAGGAGGCTGACGATGGAGGGACGGGAGGAAGCGAGAATGCATCATGACGGGTCTTCGGTCCAAGACGGGTGGAAGGGAGGTTGAGAGGAGGATCATCAGAGGATGTGAACGTAGGATCTGTGAATATATGCGTCATATATGACACTGTCATGACAATCCGGATGGCGTACCTGCCTGTAAGCCCTCCAACAGATTGATCTCTTCAAGCCCGAGTAGTAGCTCATCATCCTCATCTTCTTTGCCGACAATACCACTCGGTCGCGCCGGTGACATTGGATTTACGAGACCAGGGAGGCCGCCCGCCTCTTCAATCATAGAGGAAAGAGTCCGTCGAGCGGGAGTCACAGGAAGCGCTTTCTCGCGCAATGTAGCCGACACGGTGAGCGACAACAATGGGTCAGGGAATCTGGTATTCATGAATCCTGCGCGGGACGTTGAGCTGGTTCTGAGTCGGCCGAAAGAACGTAACACTCACGTACAAGGACCGACATCCGGTACACAGCAACCCACTCGTCATTCTGATCGTTCCAGAGTAGCGCAAATGCATCAGAGGATTCTCGCGCTCGCGCGATCTTCTGCTCGCCCCATATGCCGGAGGAGAGTGGTGTACCCTGCGCCTGCACATATTGGCGGTCTGACTCCGCTGCAGAAGGGATCGGATGTGGAGTCGATGGAGGGAATATGGAAGGATGCGATACGGCGAGCAGAGCGGCGGGCTTCACCTGGTTCATAGATGTCGTGCGCAGCGGAATGGGAGGCCGTTGAATCTCTGGCACATTGACTGGAGGGGCGGATGGAGAGATATAAGAGGCATCGTAGGCAATCTGAAGGTGGGCCAGGAAGGAAAGTAGGTGCATTGGCGGCTTCCCGCCGTCAGACCGTTCTGTGTCTATCCCAGAGGTTGGAAAGCGTATGATGAGCAACAAGTCGATGTTCTCATCTGCGATGAGCCACGGACTGTCAGCGAGATTAGACGGCTCAGCAAGAACTAAAACCCCGACCTACCGAAGAATGCGACCTTCCTATCCGTAGGATCTGCACGTAGTCGTGATAGCCATTCTGTGGCCCTGTCGCCGGTGTAGCCAGCCGGAAATTCGAGGGATGTTTGCGGTGCAATTACCTCCAACACATTGGAGTTAAAGAGCTCCTCGAATGTAGCCATAGTACGACACGCGAGATCCTTTGCTTTCTGACCGTACCCTTAGTGCAAAGTTGCAAGGTTCCAAGTAACAGTTCGATGACAACACAAGCCAATTTTGCGAAACTTGTGCAATAACGCGCTCACCAGCGACCACCTGAGAATGCTGCAAAGAATGGTTGAGCTCGCGTTAAGTGTTCAGGCGGACAATACAGGCTGTAATTGCAGTTAACGGTGGGAGAAGAGACGAAAGCACGTTGTGAGGCGCTCATTGCAGCGACGCGACGCGTCCTGTTATACGAAGACAAGGGAATGAGCAAGTTGGACGGTCGCGACCAAATATCTGTGCGAGCACCGATTACAATGCCTCCAGAGGAATATGTAACTTTATGAGTGGTGAGCCTCCGAAACCATCTATCTCAACAATACAAATCCCAATACATTAGATGCGCGTAGATTTCTAGCGAATGTGCGGAGCGTGACGGATACTTTTATTCATGCTGTCGTAGGAAGGCATGTGAACGCTGCAGAAGCGACGTGCAGAAACGACGCGCAGAAGCGACGAAACAAGCAAGACAACGTATGCACGGTCATACATATTTTGAGAACCAAGGGATGAGCGACTGTGCTAAAGTGTAGCTGAAGACCAGCTTGGGACCAACTACCAGGATCTGCAACAACGCCATCAGCATGTTTTTGTCATTTCCGAGATATTGATGATCAACTAACTTTCGGAGTAAGGCCCTTGAAGAGCGCAGTCACGCCCTCGTTCCTGATCAACTCCTTGACCACGGTCACTCCGCTGACCTTCGTCTCGAAGTTCGCGTTCTGTATCCGCGTTTTGATGGTATCGAGTGGAGCGGCGACGCTGATAGACGCCACGGCACCTGCTACGGATGCAACGAAGTTCTGGCCCCACGTAGCCTTGGAATAGTCCTCGATGCCAAACAGGTAGTCCTTCGCCACCGCCGATGCGCCGAAAAGCTGTGAAGAGTGCATATGTTAGATCGTAGAATGAAGATGAGCCGCTTAGGAGCACGTACAGCGAAGCTACCGGGTGCGTTCCGTGCCATTGTCCATTCCCAGCCTCGGTAAAGCGTAGTTCCTTCCTCGAGGAAGATACGAATAACACCCCGTCCTCGGAAGGCATCGGGGTTGACCTGACGCTTGATCTTAAGAGCATCGAGTGGAAGCAAAATCTGTATGGCCCGCAAACATCACGATACAGAACCTGTAACAATCGATAGAGCAACGTACGACTTCACCGATACCAGTCAGACTGAGCAAATCCGTTCGCTCAGTCTTGCAGTCGACACTGCAACAGGTACATGCACGCACCTGCCAGCAGTCGCCTGCATCATCAACTTGCCCTTCCTCTCGCCAAAGGTTTTCGTGAAGTTCGCCTTGTAGTTCCGCGAGAGGATGTCGCTGAACCACGGCTGCCCACCATACTTGTAGATACGCTGGGTAATCTTGTACCCTGCGGCATAGCCAAGACCAGGGAATAGAGATAGCAGCCTCTTTCCGAGTGGCGCAGCCGCATACTCCCTGAAAATGATCGAAGAAAGAGTGGACAGGGAAACCTGCGCCCAGAAATGTGAGGACAAGCATGCAAAACATACGAAGAGTTGTACGTACCTTCGACTTGTTGCTCATCAACCGCTTCGAGATGGTATCTACCGGATGGAAGACCAGCAGCTCAGCCACACCTGCAATTCCGAAACTCAATTTCTGACATGCAGCCTTGATCCAAACGCGCGACGCGAACCTGAGGCACCCGAGCCCAGAATCCGCGCAGCCCCCGAGTCGCTTCCCTTGACGTTGATTATCGGGGCCATCTCAAGATGTACGATACACGAGGTCACCGACGGAGGTCTGCGATGTGGGCTGGGATGAGGATGTCTGGGTAGACGGGCAGCAAAGTCGAAATTTCAGAATTAATTGAGCGCTCAATCAGCGGTTGGTCACGTGCGCTACGCCGGAGATCATCAATCATCTTTAATTTGGTATAACACACGATCACCATATCCTCACTCCCGGCATTCCCTACTTCCATAGCATTTCATCATTTGTCATGCACGTTCATGTCCATGTGTCAATATACGTTGAGGCCACGTTCCTGCCAGCATCCTGCTGTGTTTATCTTCCTGTTTTCTCGCTTAATTCCGTTCTTCATAGATCCTGCATCATACATTGAGTGTTTTGCCAGTGCTTTGGCCTCAACTCCCTCTCTGCCACATCAGGTGTTTCCCCAGATTATATGCGCATCTACAACATATGTGAGCACAATTGCAGAAGAGAATCAATTGGCGATGATGTATCAAAAGCCGTCTGCACATCTACAATCACAACCTGCAACGGGGCAAGTTTCATGGTTACGCTGGCTGTCTTCCCCGTAGAACCATTGCAATATATGAGACGCATGTCCTCCATGTCGACATGTCTGACAGAAGACAAGCGCGTCGTCAATGGTGTCTGTGACTTCTTCCCATCAGCTGCATATGGGGACAGGCTGCGAGTAAGACCACAGTACCTTGCGAATTCGAACGTGCCAGCGCAGCATTCCTGGCAGAGTCTGGGAAAATTGCCAAAGTCATTAGACAAATAGAGCATCGCGGCAGAGGTCGGCCACAATGCGGGCATGCAGTTGCCTATGGCACGGCATCAGGACTGGCAATCAGCATTCGAGCTGCAATAGAACACCTACACGGGGATTGTTGGCTTCCGAAAATGATAGGTCCATTGGTTTACCACAATAATTGCACCGTAACAGGATCTGTTTCGGAGCCCATTCGAACTGCAGTAGCTCCATGTTGTCTATCGCATTTTGTAAGATGTGCCCGCGCTCGACATCGAATTGGCATCTGTAGTGGAACAGCTTCCATCCGTCCAGCAAGTCCCGGTATGCATCCAGCCATCGTTCGACACGTTTGTCGTGTGCTCCGTAATGAGTCAAAGACGCGAGTATCGACGCAGTCTGCACGTCCCCGGAAAGGTCGACATACGTTTGTAGGATGTCCAGCCCAGCCGATGTCAGGCCCGTGACTATCAGCCCTTCGATGTCCCCGTCGTGGCTACATCGGTCTGTGACGCGGCGGAGGTAAGAGGTGAGCTCCTTGTCCTCGAGAAACTGAAAGGCTATCGCGAGACGCTCGCGCAGTGGAAGCGCATCTTCTTGCAATACTTCTGTCCAGTCTTGTATCGTAAGATAAGTGAGCATCGCCCGGAGATAAGGATCTTGTAATCGCACGACAAGCCGTTCGCAGTGCTCGATGAAATCAAGATTCTTGTGCGCATGCCCCGAGGTCGAGGGTATCAAAGCGGCCAACATGCCGGACATCATATGCAATGACTCGTCTGCAATCGATGTAAGCTGATGACGACGAAATAGTGATATGCTTACCATCACTTCGCATAAGCACCTCCACCGCACGCTTAAAGTGATCTGTGAAAACCAACCAGCAAGCGGCTTGCGAATGCTTGTTCTCCTTCTCCCACCTATCATGCCTATCAGCACTGCGTCTGAAGATCCGTCTCAGAACCTGTACCTTTTGATCGCAGACGCCAAGTCCTCTTCAGCCAAACTCCACCCGCACACTTTCAGTGCAAGCTGTCTTTGTGCCAACTTCGCCGTATTTGCCACCGGCTTCCAATCCCCGATGCCTATCCCGTTCCTTTCGTTTAACGCGATAATCGCGAGCAAGAAGTCATCCGGTAATCCCGCATTTGCAGCTTGACCGTGACGCCGCCGGCTGCTATGCCTTGACATCGTTCGAGTAAGGCTCTCAAGTGGCAAGGGGGACAGCGAGTGAACGGGAGTGTTGGGCAAGATATGCCGTCTGACTACGCGGGGAGTTGTGTGAGTCGAGGTAGATGCCTGAAGCTGTGATGAGTGGAAAGACTCCCAAATTCCAGAGAGTCCTTGGTAAGCGAAATTGTATCCTTCTAGGTAGGGAGTCGGATCAGAGAGGATTTGTTGAGAATCTATGGCACGATGTGTGAACATTGACTGCCAGTGAAGGTCAGCGAGGTTCGACACTTACGATGGATCCATCGCCAGAGTTCTGATAATGCTATGTCATCAGGTGATATTTCTCGAGCAACAATTGCGTTGTGTAATGGCTGAAAAAGACAGGAACATGAGCAACTGCAATCATCTGGGAACGTTCCTCAAGCATCTTACGCTAGTTATCCCGTATCCTTGCACAACTCTTCTTCGCATGACCATTGAAATATCTTCTCCCACGATGTGCTGCATCGCGAATCCCGGGACGGGTAGTTTGGGTGTCTTGTTGGCATGGTCCATCCCACTTGCCTTGCGTCGTATGCGTCCGCCATTGATCGACAACGCGTCAACTGCTCTTGGCTCATGCGAATCAGGCTCGATGGGCTCATTCACCCGGCTCTTCTGTGGGGAAGACGAATGTTCGAAATGTAAGTTTCTCAACGCCGCAGGACTGAACGTTCGGACTCGACCCCTCGAGCTACCCGGCCGCGTTGCCGCTAGGTTTGTTGCTACTTTCAGTGGCAGTGCCGAAAGTGCAGGGAATCCGTCCTCGTCTCCTCGACCAAATAGCGATGGAGGGCTATGGACCTCTTCGCCAGCCCGGTCCCTCGTGATAGCGCCCTCTTTCTCCTTTACGCCTTGTCTACTGACTGATGGCATCTTAGAAACTGGCACAGCAGTGGGTAGGAGAATGGAGATATCCCACGGTTCCGGTGGGGTTTTTTGTTCGGTGAAGCCAGGGAGCACGCGATACGAGCATCCCAAGCCGATAATCAAGTCACCTCGTGTACTCCACGGGGTCAGCTTCGGAGTATCATGCACGGCGTACAATTCCAGGTCGCCCTCCTTGTTCACGACCATAACTTCTGAGGTGAGGGGATGCATTTCGGCACTAGGCACGAGAGCAAAGGAGGAAAGGGGTTTATTGAAGTCTTTAGCTGAAGAACGTGCAACCTTAGTCGCTACGTAACGTTTGTATATGCGAGGAAAACATACTTTTTCGGGTGTCTGACAGCACAATTTGATGGGAGGTGCTGGCTACTGCTTGGTTTGACGTTGACAAATGACTAGTGCTCGCGACTGATCCACCCCAGGGCAGAATGCTAGAAGCATTCGGCCAGGAGCGCGTCACTTTACCGGACTGGGAGGAGTCTCTGGAACGTGTTCTTTCCGCGGAGATCGACTCCCGTACTTCAGCCTCCTGCAAATCCCAGAACCTGACATGGGACGCCTCTTTCTCTAGTGTTGCAATGGTTCCTCTTCGGATGCTCGAGAATTCTACAGTAGTGAACGTGGCACCTGCCCGCGGACGTGCTCCATCTGCGCCGGCATCTCTTCCAGTGAATGTCAGAAGCCCTCCTTCAAGTTTGCGCGTATCCCAAACAGTGACAGTGCCCTCCTCGAAGCAAGCTATTCGATACGGGTCAAGTGGATCGGTGACAATGCCGTTCACCTTAGTCGCAATGGTTTTTGGTGAGCTCTGCGGAGCACGCATATCGAACAGTTTGAGCCACCGGTGAGACATACCAGCGAGCAACTGCGTTGGCGACGACGGAAGGAACACGATTGAAGTAACCGTGTCCTGATATGCTTGCATCTGTATCATACGCTGATCCGCACGTGAGGAAATATCTGCTCGAGGGTTCATTGTGTGTGGATCAATGCGCGAAGTAGATGTAGCTTGAGCTTCGACTGAAGAGTCGAGCGACAGGAGGGGTGTAACCGTGTGGAGATCCCAAATCACCAGACTGGAGTCATTTCTGACTTTGTCTAGTCCTACCGCGAGGTAATTTGGGTCTGCGGCGGAGAATGCGAGAGCGTTACAGGATCGGGAACTACGCGCGGGAAGAGATTCAATGCGACCGCTGGAATAGATATGGTCTTTGGAGTATCTAGTTGCCTCCAAGCGCATCAAGTCCACCTTTCCTGAGCCCATTCCAATAGCCACAAGGTCGTCAAAGGTAGGGTCGGGCGACCATGCGAAGCACTGTAAGAATCATCTGTCGGTCGCCCTGGGACGAGATGTACAGTCCGACTGCAAAGTCACCTTCATGTGGTTCAAATCAAGTTGAGACGTTACTTGCTTGATCTGGAAAAGTGTCGAATCCCACTCATAGAGCGTCACTTGGGAACCGCCGCCAACGACGAACCTGTTCTCATGGCGAGGATGCCATAGAAGACGCTTCTCCGTCTGGACGACCATGATAGTTTGAGTCCTTGGCCCACACACGTCAAGAATTTACCAGCCAGATAACTGAAACTGCCAGGAGTCTGGTTGGAACAACTGGCGCGTTCAATTAATACAGCTAGTAGGCGATGAATGTGGGCGACCTCAGGGTTCCAGCTCAGAACAATCGGGGTAGTCAGCCTCTTTTGGGAGTGGAACAAGAATCCGTGTTAACGTTGCCAATCAAGCTCGAGACAGCGTTTCAAAGCGCGAACGGCGCTGCAGTGGGGACGTGATAGTCACGGTTCAAGGCGAGTTAGACGCCGAATTGTATGTAGCCAAACGGCGAACCCAGCCACTGTACGATCTCGAACAGCAAGCACGACTTAACTGTGGATTCATTCGCGTCTGACTTCGAGAGCAAATTACGGTGAAAACCGATACGGCTAGGACTGCGTACGTTGTAACATCTCATCAGTGATGGTACTCAGGTACTAAAACTTAGTGTTACTAAGTTCGCTTTGAAAGCGCGGGCTACTGCCGTCCAGTGCAAGTTTCACCGACGTTTGACAACGCGGACCATCTACTCTATCTTTGCGTGAGTCGTATATCGACTTATTAGAAGGATCCTCTGGGTTCCACTCAAGTCTTCTGGGCGGAAAGGCTCGTTCAAATCCTGCCGTTGTTTAATCAAACCAAGATGTCGACGATTCTCCCTTTGGAGATCTGGGATAGCATCATTGACCAACTATCCGCCCATCGCAGTGCGCTTTCTGCCTGTGGCCTAGCATGCCGCATGTGGGTGGCCCGTACCCGTTTTCATCTCTTCCGCTCCGTGGAAATCCGAGACGGCTTACGCTGCGACTCTCTTGCAAGTGTCATCGAATTGTCCCCGCAAGTATTGACTACGTTGCACCCTGGTATTTCCCATTACATCCGTCAAGTTGCCATCTGCCCCTCTTTCGATTGCTACTTTCCCCCACTCGAGGAATACTTTCGCGAACTTTCTGCTTGGCTGGCGCACTCTCTACCCTCTGTTCTAAGAAAACTGGATGCAATGACAGACCTCAGTCTGGCAAATGTCGATTGGACGTGGCCGTTCATCGTTGAGAATCTCTACCCGGCTATCGTAAGAATCAGCGACAGGTTAGAAACCTTGTGCTTGTACCGTGGCCGATTCATGAGCCCTCGTCAGCTGAACAATTTCCTTTTCGTATTTCCACGACTCTCCAGCCTTGTCTTGGAAGCTGTGCACTTCAAATCGCTGGATTTTTATACAGCTCCAAATACAGATTCCGCTACGCTCATGGTCAATGACGGCATGGCAGGCATTCATTCCAATTTCCCACCATCTCACGATATGCGCCATCGACAACATCGAGACAGCAGCGCTAGGCCATTGGTCGATGGGCACCCTGCAGAGCCACGCCTGCGTAGACTCGATTGTAGCAGTTCTCTCCCAATGCCTTCAATGGAATTAGGACGTTGATTGAACAGTCTGGACCCGCACTCCAAACTGTCCGGCTGAAGCTGACGTTCACTTGGAATGCAGTACGGCGTCGTCGTCTAGGTATGCTCGCTTCTCATATGTTCTTGTCGTCACGCATTTATGATATTCACGTCATTGATAGAATCGTTCCTCGACCGATTTGACTTATCGTGTAATACCGGAATAGAATGCCTGAACATCACAGTAGTCGATTCTGCGTTGAGGCGGCAGACTATCCCATGTCATTCCTGGATTGCTTCACTCCTTGCGACAACCCATGCTCCCTCCCTTCGTGAAGTGGAGGTATGCATCTGCCGCTACAAGGATGGCGTAGGCGCTGACTGGATCGATTTACCGCGCCTGATAGAAGCCCTGGAACTCTTGCGGCAAAAATCCCGCAATGCAACTGCCCTGCTTCGTTTCCTCGCCGGTCCTAACGAGCCTAGCGGGTGGTGCGATGACCTAATACGTTCGACGATGGTGACACTTGTTGGTTGGTCCGTGACGAACCAAAGGTCCTACAGAAAAGAACACGACTTGTCACTATTATTTATGCAAGCTGGAGTCGCCGATCGCGTTTATTACATATCCCGTTGTACACCCAGTGTTACTGATGATTCGATGTCGTTTACCACCGTGATTTCATGAGGTGCGGTGTTAATGCACTCTTTGCCTATCTATGCTGATCGCGGGTTGTGTGTACAGCCTGTTTGGTCTTTCACCTGCTTGTTCAATGGGCCTGCTGGCATTCCACCATTCCAGGAGCTCGCTCTTGGTCTGTGCAGATCACTGCTGCCAGAGATGTTGCCATGTTCGAGAGATTACGAGTATCAGTTATGGGAATGCAGAGGGATGATGCATTCGTTGCCACAGACAATGCTGATGGGCTCCGCTACTTTAATTCATTTCTCCTGTTCTTAATTCTTATAATCAGCGGAAATGCTGGACATACTAGTACATATGGATCGAAAAAACGTTGGAACATGAACGCCAAATTCGCGCTCTTGCCTCCGCGTGTGACGTCTGGGACGAACAGCGTGACCGTAACTCTGTCGTGTCACTGTAGGACTTGGCACTGACACTCCAATCTGGGATCTCACAGTCATGAGCTTGGACGCTCTTCTTCGTCGACGACGCCGCACTTTCTGGGAGGACTTTATCTCGTCGCCACTTGTATTTTTTGCTCGTTATCTGTACCGTCTGTTCGAACAATCAGCGGCCGAATCGCTACTGAGCAACGCGCTCGACTCAGATTCTATACGTGTCGTCTGCATATCTGATACTCATAACGCGCATAATGAGCTCCCTCCACTCGACAAGGGAGACGTTCTCATTCACGCAGGCGACTTGACTAATTCTGGCACGCTCGAGGAGATTCGTGCCGCGCTGGGGTGGCTGAACGCACAGACACATCTGCATAAGGTGTTCATCGCAGGGAACCACGACACTATCCTCGCCGACCTGGATTCAAATCAGCGTTCAACACTGCTTGCACAGTTCCATGGTCTCGTTTATCTGCAGGACTCGTCAACAACGGTAAATGTGCGTGGGCGCGAGCTTGTCATCTACGGGAGTCCACAAACGCCCCGGCATGGCTCATGGCAGTTCCAATATCCCCGTGTCCACCCATTGGAAGCAGACTCATCCCCTGTGTGGAGTGACATACCGCCGATCGTGGACGTGCTCGTCACTCATGGGCCACCAGCTCAACATCTTGACAACGAGGGTGCGGGTTGCGCTGCACTATTACACGCCGTATGGAGGACGCGTCCCGCATTGCATGTATTTGGACACATCCATGGAGCGCGCGGAGTCGAGCGCGTGAGATGGACACAAGTACAGGAAGTGTATGAGAGGATTTCCGCTGGACTAGGTGGTTGGTGGGATCTGGTCGTAATGATTGGGGAGATGCTTCGGAATAGAATCTGGATGATGAATGGGCGAGAAGGGAACGGTACGATTCTGGTAAATGCCTCTGCGCTTGGCGGATTGAGGGACGAGAAGCGGAGGGGTGCAATTGTCGTTGATATTTGAGAATTGTGCTCTAAGGTCTGTGAGTTGAATTAGCATCCATATATTCTCTATCGTGAAGTATGATCCTGTCGGTGGATTTCTACTTACATGTACATACGATATGAAGACATTCATATATACGCATACGAGTTTCAGCGACGCGGCCACACCTCGAAATCTAGCCGACAACTGTAGCCTGGCGTAGGAGGGCGTATTAATTAGGCCACACGTCGCCACACGCGTACGCGCCCGCGCAATCCGAGCGCCCGGTATTCGAGCTCATCCTCGACCTACTTCGACCGAGTCATGGCCTACCATCCATCATACATCCGCTATAAGGCTACCGACAAGCATGTCCCCCTTGATCATACAACTGCGTTTCAAGACTGGACTGAATCACCATGATGGCAGCACACCGGGTCCGATCCTCTATCGATCGAAAATCTATTCACCAGAACTACAGCGGCACAAGAAAAGGATAGCTAACAATGTGGTCCAAGTAAGTCCTGCCATTATCAAAAAGGCTACATCTGATGAGCTCCATCGTAAGTCAGCCTGAGAGCTCGTAGAGCTAGAGCACCAGCATCTCAGACCGTATCATCACGTATTACTTGTGTCGCAGGGTGGGCCACGCGAATAACCGAAGGAGGAGCCGTTTCTCTGCGTTGGACTACTGCCGCGATCCTGCCAACGTGCTGCATGATGGGACCTTGCTGGACGAGATCGAGGAACTGGTGACTTTCTTCTGTATGCCAGTAAACTCGGTGAGCACCCATACTAATGCTGTAGAACTGCATGCAGAACTCACCGAAAAGCATCTAGGCTGCGGTCCTATGGGTACCTCTAGCTTGCTGGACGAGATCGAAGAACCGGTGACTTTCTTCTGTAGGCCAGTAAATTCGGTGAGCATCCGTGCTAATGCGATAAAGCTGTATGCAGAACTCACCGAAAAGCATTTAGGTCGCGGTTCTACAGGTACCTCTACCTTGCTGGACGAGATCGAAGGATCGGTGACTTTCTTCTGTAGGCCAGTAAACTCGGTGAGCATCCGTGCTAATGCTATAAAGCTGTATGCAGAACTCACCGAGAAGCATCTAGGTCGCGGTCCTACGGGTGCCTGCCTCGGACGTTCCATTCCTGATCGTGCCCTGGTGATCTGCAATACCGAAGGCGTGCGTTCGGTATTATCTGGTGCACGAATGATCCCAGGTTGCCTGGTGATGACGATCCTCCCATCCTCTTCGTGGCAGTCCCAGTTGCCGAAGCGGATGGCGTCGAAGCTCTCGCGTGGGGGAACAGGTTGCGGCATCATCAACCGAATGGCCCGCGGGCCTATGGCGTAGGATTTGCTACGGCCAGACTTATCCTTGAAAAAGCTTTCTCCGGTCTACAAGCTAACGGGTCACGCTACTTGCAATCATATGGAAGCACTACAGGACTCACTGCACTCCAGTAGGACACGAAGTTACCATCGTCGTCCGTCAGCTTGACCCACTTCGACCATCCCTCTCCTAGGTACACACCCTCGGTAGGCATGACCCAGAGCGATGACGGACGACTGCCGGAATCATCGAAGTCCTTCAGGTCAATGGTGAGTGCACATGACAATACGGGAACTGATAAGTTGGCTGACGTACCGACTCGCTGCTCGTACTCGTATTGGGGTGTGCTCTCATGAAGTCTAACATTTGCTGATAGTCGTCTGCCGAAGCGGGGTCATCCTCCCAGTCGGACCATTCGCTGGGGGAGACTGCTGGCACATGTAAACCTTCTCGAGGGCCTACTTGAGGGGCATTCTCTTCGTCGCTCGTGGGAGGAGTGATCATCGTGATGCGGCAGTGAGGAGCTAACGAGTGGCGAGTGGCCAGACAACAAAGGGCGAACAGTGAGAAGGCGGTGGACAGATTCGAGCTCTGTGCGCGAGGACTTTTGTGCAGGCGTGCGGAAGAGCTGATGGGGGAGGTGAACAAATGGCGCAAGTATGGCCGCCTTAAATAGCCGTGGCCGGAGTCAAGGCTCAACATGAGCCAAACAGCGCGCCCTGCACACGTTGTTAACGGGCGCCAACGCGTCTGTGGCGGTCGTTGCCACTCGCTTAGGGATCCCTCCGGCCAAAGATTCCCGGGAAGTAGTGGACTACATTGTGCATACATGGTACATCCATTTATTCTGGCCTGAATACTCAACATACTGAACGTTGCTCCTGCAGAATGCTAAGCGATTGGACTCATGGTGGATGCTCTCGCGCTCCCGCCATTATCAAACATTTAATCCCTCAAGCTCGCCCGCGTTTCTTTTCGCCACTGACATCTGGCCCTAGCATGGAGGCACGGGCATAGTCTCACGTCGCCTCGCCTCGACACACGTTCGCCTCAGCCCCTCCTGCTTCTCGCGGATGACAATACTGACCTCGTCAAGAGCCATGATTATGCCCCATGCCTGGCTCTTGGCGGCCCAGCCGACGGCTTTTTCACGCGCTTTCGCAGCTCGTTGCATGGCCTCGAAGCACGCACGGTACTCCTGGTTCAGCAAGAAAGGACGACTTCCTACCATATCGTCGCTCTCGACAGTATTCCCCTCGTCCAACTGGATGCAGACAGCTCCAGTAGCGTCCTCGACCTCGCATATTCCGAGCTCCTTAGCCTGGATATGTGGATGAGCACATTGCCACCCGTGATTGTTTGGTTCAACTCACCAATTGCGCAGATATTTTCACTACGAATTGATCATCGTCCGATTCTCTCGTCCTTCGAAGTCCCGCCTTTTTTCTGAGGTGCGCTGGAAGTCGTCCGGTGCCGTATCGGGTGGTTAGCAGACACTTGAAGGTGGCGGCCATGAACGCGTCCCACGCCGCTGTCTCGTCGATCCACGGACAAAGGCTCGTGATGTTTTCAGCTACAGAGAGCGGAGCAGCAGGGGCATGAAGAGCCTCTGCCTCGTCGAAGTCCATGATGGAACCCACACTCAACGCAGCGGCATGCACAGTCGTCTCCTCGCTCTCGAGGTTGTCTTGTCCATCTACATATGCATTGCCGACGTATCCCACGTCTTCTTTGAAATCCGGCTGTTTGGATGAGAAGTCGAAGGACGAGGACGCCAGGATAGAGAGGAGAGCCGACTCCTCCGACCCGGTGGCAGAAGTCTCCGCGGTGTCGTCCTTATTGACAGAGTTATTATCGGCGGCATCGATTTCCGAGGCTTCATCGTCCTTCACAGAGAGCCCCAACGCTCGTCGTTATTTCCGACTCGAGCAACACGTAGGGCCTCACTCACCATTAGCATAGCGACTTCCGCCCCTGCCGTCCTTTCCTCTGCCGCGCCTTTCTCTTCCGCGCCTTCCTCTTCCGCGCCTTCCTCTTCCGCGCCTTCCTCTGCCACGATCTCCGTGAGCGTTGCCAGGTCGTCGAGATAAGAGAGCAGACTAGTACTTGGTCCGGAAGCCGGTGTGTCCGCCAGAGGCTCAAGAACTGTCCTGAACAGAGCGATTTCATCCTGCAGCAGTGGCCACTTCAGAATGAAAATGGTTGTGGATGATTCCTGGCTTACTATGTCGCCACAGATAGCAGGGCAATCCATGTCTTCGGTGGCGTCAATCCCGTCCAGCCAAAGAGGTGCCATGTTGCCGTTGATGAGGATCAACTGTGATGTCGAGCAGATGGGAGTACGACGAATTGATATACGTTGGTGAGCACATGTGTTGTTACGAAGTTGTCGATGAATTGACTGACCAGGATGTCGTCCTTATCATCATTCGTATTAACACGTGTGTTCGCAGTGATATGCTGGAATTCAATGAACGTATACCGTTGCATGCAGTGAAGTTCAAAGGGTTCATATAGTTTCAGCGTTTTCAGGACCGCTTTCTTGGCAGCCACTCGAATCCTGTGGAAAAGAGTAAAGGACATCGCCGGCTGGCACACCCCAATAGCGGAGCAAGAAAAGAATGAGATGTTGGGTGGAGAGAAAGACGCCCTGATGGTGGTCGAACGCGAAGAGAAAGGCGACGCGTGCTGGGTGGCCAAAATGGCCGGCGCTTATATTGGTAGCTCGTGGCGCGCTTGCTCCGGGCAACACGTTTAGCATTGTATACCTTATCCGGGTCACGCACAGCATCAGATCGAATGCATTTATTTCGAGAACACTATATCGGTACGTTGAGGTCTAACTGTGTAGATGAAGTTGATCCCGTCATTCTTAGAATACTGTGCTCTTCCACTTGCGTGACGACGCTTTGTCTCTGTAGCGGTAGGTTCTGTCATTACGTCTTCGGTGCCACTCCGTGCTTGTTTGCTACGCACTCTCCACGTGAAGATGGGACGTCTCCGTCGCAGTGGTGTCGAAGACTGCTCTCGAAGGCACCTCAAACACCTCAGCAACGTTATCAGTAGTTTGTACAGTCATGGAGGTTCGCATCACCACGCATAGATGTCGATCGTCGCCTACAGGAGCTGTGCAACATTCGATTTTGCTGCTGGCAGAATCGATGAAGGCATCTGAACGCAGAGGCTCTGAGGCGCTGGCTGCTCATTGATTAGTAGTATGTTATTGCCCTCTGGGAAGCGTACTGAAATTAGTCACGTGACCGCGTCGACACACAAGCGCTCCTGGGCAAGAATCGACTATTGACGCGGCCCTGGCCAGACGATGTCGTCATCTTGTTCCCTTCGACGTTGCGATATGACATATATGTAGCCTTGTACATTGCATCGATGACCTCAATGACGACATGTACCATCGATTGACACCTGTCGAAGAAGATGTAACCGATCGGAAGTCTACACCGATCGTAAACTGAGGTATAAAAACCCAGCACGGAGGTGTCGTCGTCCTCTTCTCCTTTCTCTTCCCCCCCACGGCGCCCTCTTCCACTGCGCAACCATCTCCTTGCTGAATCCCCGTCTGACCGACTTGAACGATCCAAACGGGCCCGATGCCTCCGGATGCATCTCAACAGCGCGTATGATCTCCGATAAGTGGGATTACTGTCCCGCTGATAACTTCTGCCTATAATTACCATGGGAATCGACTTTCTGTCATAGGCTCGGAGGAAACGGGGCGTTCAGTGGATGCTCCGTGTTCTTCGCGTTCATTGGCTTCCGATCTCTTGCATCTCCCGCTGCTGCTTTCGAAACTCTCCGAGAAGCAGACGACCTACGGAGGCCAATACGAACGGTTCCCGCCTATCGGTTATTCGACCCACCGGATGGCGTGTATCGTGTATGTCACCAGTGAAAGAGCGAGCGGTGAGTCTGTGAGCTACAGAGATCGGAGGCGCGCTTCCGCTCGGAGACCGCAGCTCGCCGCCCGCCGGGTTTGGCTAGACTCACGTCGGGAGTTCGATCCGCGAGCTGAGGTGGCGCGGTCAGCAGACCTCTCACTTGGGCTCGTCTTAACCTCTGGCTGCGCTCGTTTACTTGCCCTATCATCATATCCTCTCGCATCCAGTCATCTTCACTCTTCCAGAGCAAAGGGAGATTCTGCTGGTCGGATAGCATGCACTATGAACATTTGTGAATTGTAATATTTGCCAGTTGGATGCAGACACGTCTCTGGGCTGTGACAGAGTTGGTATGGAACGTGCCTATTGGACGATGGAGTGACGAGAGCTCACCCGATAGCACGGGCCAGGCCGTAAGTCATCCTGCATGATCTTAGTGTTGGTGATTGATCGCCAGTTCATCTGGTCTAAACATATTTGATGGTGCATACTCCGCACCAAGTCGGGCGCGCAGGAAACCGTGCCGAGCGGCACAGCAAGGAACTTACAATGATAAGCCGCTGAGGCCCGACTGGCTCTGATTAATGACCATCCCGGTCCCGGAGTACTGCCAGCTTCGCGAGACTGCGAAGTTGCGAAATCATGCTTCATCAGGGACCGTTTTTAACGAGAAATGACTGCATCTCTACCGACTCTGCAAGTCGCCTGTGCATTGGGTTGCGAGCCAGGAAAGTCGCCGGTGAAGAATACAGAAATGTGAGGGACCAAGCGGTGTTGTGATCGGTGTTAGACCGTAAGTGATAGAGTCGGCGGCATGGGTCTGAAATGGTGAGTAGCTGATTGAAGCACGGAAAAGGTCGCTAACACTTTTCATCGACGTTTTGATCCGAGTGCCATGTCGGGCGTTGAGTTCGTCAGTGTGCGGGATTTCCGTGAATTTCCGTGTGGGGTAAGCTCCCGGAGTGGAGTATGATCGAGAGTGACCTCCTAAAGCAAGTATGTGAGGCAAACAGGGGTTAGCTGGATCTGCGTCTCCGCATCATTGCTATCGTTGGAGCAGCAGCGAAATGCTGAAGCAGCGCGATTGCAGCTTCGAAGGTTGGTGAAACGTCCAGGACCACTTCATCGGAGGCACCGGTATTCGGGATGAGCAATAGCCCTGGAGGAGTCGGTCACGTCCGCTTCATCCGAAGAAGGCCATCACGTCTTACGGCCGCAGGGCAGTCGGGCATCTTTGCGCAGAATTTGGGAGCATTTTGGTGGGGACAGCGACGGGAGCTCACTTGCAACGGCGAATAAATGGGCGTCGGGGAGTCGGGGCGGGCACGTGGGAAGGGGCGGCGCGGGGGTTAGCAGGGCTGAGACTGACTGCGGGGTCAGGCGGGGACGCCAATCAGGACGCGTGATTACCCCGCATTTGCTATGGCCCTCCAGTCCGGGTCCATCCAGCGCTATGCCTTTCCCGGGTTCGCTCGCCGTCCTGCAGCGCTCACCCATCCAGGGCTGATTACCTGCGACTCCCGCATATAACCTCGGCGACCATGACCAGCGAACCGAAGACCTGTAAGCACGCCCTCCTCTCCTTCTGCCTCTCTCTCTTGCCGTCTCTGCCCCACCTTCCGCCATGGTCCTGCTAGGTCTCACTCACCCGAACATAGTCACCAAGTTCCAGGCCCACCCGCCTGATGGACGCACGTTTTCGCGCCAGCACGAGCTTCCCCGTCTTCCCATCCCGCCCCTCGAGGACAGCTGCCGACGATACCTCAAGGCACTCGAGGGCCTCCAAGATCCAAGAGAGCATGAGCACACGAAGCAGGCGATCGAAGAGTTCCTCGTAAGCGACGGACCAAGATGGCAGGAGCGCCTGAAGGAGTACGCCGATGACAAGGCGAGGTGCGTGCCATGAGCCTCCGGGCGTTATATATGTGAGCGCAGTGTGGACTGACTGTATGGGGTTGCGATCGGGCAGTTATATCGAGGAGTTCTGGTGAGCCCCAACAGCGGCTTCTTCTTACCCGTTTGCAGCCGAGCTCATCGTACCACGTTCTCGCTTAAAGGTATGAGTCCTACCTTTCGCACACGGACCCAGTCGTGCTCGCCCTCAACCCTTTCTTTGTCCTCGAGTACGTGCATCCTCTCTGTGCTGCACGATATCGTCGTCTCATCATGTCCTCACAGAAATGATCCCACGCCCGACCGGGGCTCACAGCTTCCCCGCGCGGCCTCTCTCATTGTTTCCTCCCTTGGCTTCATTCATGATCTCCGTGCCGGCATGCTCGAGCCCGACAGCATCCGCGGCACTCCGCTCGACATGGACCAATACACAAGGCTTTTCGGCACCGCGCGCATACCCACTGAGGTAGGTCTCCGATCCCGTTGCTGTGCCTGAGAATTCAAGCTAATCTCACTGGGGATCTTCTTCAGCGAGGCTGCAAGATGGAGATCCATTCGGACTCGCGGCACATTGTCGTCCTCCGGCGTGGCCAATTCTGTGAGCCCTTTGACGCTCGCTTGGAAAATGGTCGCCTGATCGGTTCACTTGACGCTCAGATTGGTTCGACGTGCTTGACGATGAAAACCGGCCCGTGCTCACCGAGCGTGAGATACTGCGGAATCTGCAGGCCATCGTCAGAGACGCGGATGAGCTGCCCGTGCACGAGGTCGGTCGTTACACTCTAGCAATTCTGTACTTGCGGCTGACATGCCTCTCGTAGGTTGCACGCAACTCGATAGGTGTCCTGTCTACCGAAAACCGCAAGCTCTGGTCCAGCCTTCGCCATCAACTGTCGAAGAACGGGAATAATGACTCGTGTCTGCAAATCATCGACAACGCGCTCTTCGTCGTCTGTGTCGACGATGCGACGCCGGAGAGCCTCGCTGAGCTCTGCAATAACTTCCTGTGTGGAACATACAATCTGAAGAATGGCGTTCAGGTTGGGACGTGCACAAATCGGTGGTATGACAAGGTGGGTTTTACGATATATACGCTTGCAATCTCTCGTTAATGTGGAGCTTACATGCAGCTGCAAATCATCGTATGTGCCGATGGCTCTGCTGGGATTAACTTTGAACACACTGGCGTTGATGGCCATACCGTCCTTCGGTAGGTGCTCAACAATGCTCGTACAGTCCTTGAGCTCACGAGTTCGCTCCGCTCTAGCTTTGCTGCTGACATCTTCACCGAGGGTCTCATGCTGCTTGCGCGTTCTATCAACCCCTCTGCCCCGACCCTCTTCCACGCGACGCTCTCTCCGTACGCCAAGTCGTACAAGCACTCTCGTGGGTCCGCCGTCGCTCCGCAGCTCAGCTACGTCATCGATACCGTTCCAAAGAAGCTCGAGTGGGCCCTCTATCCTGAGCTGCGCGCCGCTATCCGGTTCGCGGAAACCCATCTGAGCGACCTTATCTGCCAGAACGACTGCCAGGCGTTGGAGTTCAAGGGGTATGGGAAGAACTTCATCACGAGCCATGGGTTCAGCCCGGATGCGTTTGTGCAGATGGCGTTCCAGGCAGCGTACTATGGGTTGTATGGTGAGTGATTGGCTCGTACAAGGTGTTGCAATGTGCTCATGGTCGCTGCAGGCCGCATCGAGTGCACGTACGAGCCTGCGATGACGAAGCACTTCCTACACGGCCGTACCGAGGCGATCCGCACGGTCCAATCGCACTCGGTCAACTTTGTCAAGACGTTCTTCTCCGAGGTGCAGCTCGCGCAGAAGATTACCGCGCTGCGGACCGCATGCCAGGGGCACGTCAAGCTCACGAAGGAATGCAGCCAGGGACTCGGGCAGGACCGCCACCTGTACGCGATGTACTGCCTTGTGCAACGAGAGCGTGAGTCGATCCGCGAGGAGGATGAGGCATCTTCGTCGCCTAGCGGGAGTGTGAGCTCGTTCACGAGCACCGCGAGCGAGCGTCCAGCGCTGCCGTCGATCTTCACCGATCCGGGCTGGAGCACGCTGGGCACGTCGATCCTGTCAACATCGAACTGTGGGAACCCGGCGCTGCGGCTGTTTGGGTTCGGGCCCGTCGCGGCGGAGGGATACGGCATCGGGTACATCATCAAGGATGAGGGAATTTCAATCTGTGCGTCGTCGAGGCACCTGCAGACGCGAAGGTTCTTGGACACGCTGGAGGGGTACCTGCTGGAAGTGCAGCGGATGCTGATTCAGTTGCACCTGAGCGCAAACCCGAGGCCAGAGCCGTTTGTGGACCATGCGGGTGTCCTGCGCGACTCGAAGACGGGACGGCCGATGAATGGGCAGGCGACCGGGTACGGGGAGTATGACGACGGGAACATGATGCGTACGTTTGTTCTTCTTCTAGGTGTGGCGTGCGATGGCTGACGGGATGTCGCTATCAGCTGGCTATTCGTTCTTCGACAGCATGGATGTCGAGCTGCTTGGACGGAGAAAGCGGATGCCGAAGTATTACAACACGGGGAGGATCATTCCTCTCGCCGAGTATTAGCTGAATTGCGCGCGAGGATATCTTGGCTGCATGTGCGTGTTTCTTGGGTCGGTGTCGTTTTTGCTGGGGGTTCGAGAGGAAGTATCTGTAGTAATGCCCCGCTAACTATGTAGACTGTGCATGTAGGATTGTGATTTTGGATTGCGATTTTGGATCCGTTGGTGTTGTATCTTGTATGTCGACCCATATGTATTATTGTATGTATATGATGGAATTTCTATTAGATGTTTAAAGAAATCCTTGCGTTTCCGTATGGGCTGCTCAAGACACATTTCGCTCCTTACCTAGAAAACGCATCGTCACATTTGCAAGCCCCGCGTATACGAATTCTTTACGGCAAGCCTTGAGATCTGACAATCCGAAGATCAGATATTGACGTCTTGATATATATATGTCAAATCCCCTCTCGAATTGTGGATTGGCCCAACGTACTCTTTTCCTACCTTCCTCAACGTTAGCGCTGCCATTCTTCCACATCAGCATCTGGTGCGTATGGGGAGGCCTATTGCCCTCGAATGGATCCGAAGCTGTTTTTCCCCCCTTGACCAATCGTATGGAGTTCTCTGCAGGTTTTAATTCGATAACCGATGTGAAATGTCGACAGAGTCGATAAATGGTGAGTCTGGAAGTAAGTAGTCCCGCAATCGGTCTTGTCGACCTGAGTTGACTCCACGTCCTTGACGCCTTGTTCCATGCCTCAAAGCCATATAGAGCCTAGCACGCTGCAGAAGATCTGTCACGGTTTTTTCGGGTACGTTCAGTTGCCGTCGCCAACATACTTAAGCTCGATGGCGCTGACCTCCGAATTGCCATGTGGGAACCACGAGGGCCTCCAGGAACACAGGCCACGGCAGCGATCTTCACATCTCCTTTGCGGTGTTACGGCCCATAACGCAGTTCGTCGATGTGCACCTTGTGATGTTGTCATGCTGAAACGCGGAAGAAGAGGAGTTGCGCTGTGGCAGCGTGAACGTGTCGTTGGGATCAGTCATTTCTGCACAGCTCATTATCGCCACACGGCGTCTCGCCGTGTGGACATTACTGGCCGATCTGCGACAGACGCTCCTTAAAAGCTTGTCGGATTTCCGTTTAAGTATGCAGTCAAGGTCGGAAACTCTCTTCGAAATCTGATGGTCGTTGGAACGACCACGCGAGCGGCGATGATATCGGATCTGGAAAGAGCCACATTGCGAGCAAAGTTGTCGTCTTCCTCTCCATTTCCTGCCAGATCGTCTACGGTCCTTGTATTGCGGGAAGCTGTGCCTGTCGTCATCTTGCTATCTCATCTCGGGCGGAAGATTTCATTTCCCAGCCAATGTCCGTCGATGTGTCACCGCCAGATTACTGCGCGTAGCGCTGATTTTCCACACTGCCAGTTCGATTCAGTACCCATCCGTGTCGCAGTCCTGGGAGCTCTTCTTGAGGCCATCGTTCGTCTCCAGCGCGCTACTGCTCTTCCCATGCTCTGAATCTCACCATACAACTACTTTTCCGCTCATGCGATATGCTAGCGTGGTTGCGATCTGCCTCATAGCTTCTTCTCTTCGTGGCGCCGCTGCAAGCATGATTGTGCGTATGATCGTCATCCCTGGATTCGCTGCGACTGACCTCACGTTTGCCCTTTGCAGATGCAATGCGACGCGGCGGATCATGCTCTGGTGCGTTGTGCTCGGCGGCCATACGCCGATGCTTGTTCTCTTACGGGTAACCACCTAGGACGAGGGCGGAAGCGAGGAGTCGCCTTGGATGGGAATGCCCGAGAGGCATCACTGGAGGATGCCGTGTGAAGCGGTAGCCCGTACGTCTGCCTCATCTCACCTTGCGCGTTCGCTCTCACCTCTCCTTCCAGCCTTTCCTCCCTTCCATCCATGGCTTGCCGCGCAACAAATCTATCAACGTCCGCTTCGCCAGGCCGCCTTCGTCATCTCATTCCGCGCATTCTTCCGTGTACCGTTCGAGATGGGCACGGACATCGCAGATAGCAGCGGGTCTATTCAAACCCGTAGGTCATCTATAGGCTGAAAAGTGCCCACTGCCTTATTTGTTTCACTCTGACTGCCCAGGTGAAGTGAATTGGACCACAGTTCAGATCGCCACCGTCATCTCTGTCGGCGTCTCCGTCGCCGCTGTTGCCTCGTTCGCATTCCTATGCTATCGCCGTCGGCACCGCCGGCAATACCACACGCCCTCGCCCACGCCTGAGCAGGTCTACGCCATGTCTCCCCCCGCCGATCCGCATCCGCGACCCCAGCTCCTGACACCCGGCGCCGAACCCGTGCGCGTGCGCCCACCATACTCGAGCTGGGTCCAGGTGCGGTTGGCGGCACCCAAGTTCTTCTTTGGCCTGCTGCCCGGCACGCAGACGGTTCGCTCGCGCGAGCGCAAGAAGGACCCGAGCTGGGAGATCGATGACCTCCGCCCGGGGGAGGACGAGGAGGGTGGCAAGGCGTGGTCGCATACGGCACAGTCATCGTACGACCCCGGGCTGCCCGGCGCGGGCGCGAGCGGGACATTCCACCCGCTCTTCGCAGAGGAGGACGAGAACGAGGACGCTCACGACCTCTTCCACTCGCAGCGCTCACATACGCGCAACCCATCCAGCATGTCTCTCCTCGCGCTGTCCCAACCGGCGCCATCCGCCTCGTCTTCATTGCGGCGAGCGGGACAATCTGAGACGCCGAAGCCGGACCGGACTTTCTTCCAGCGGATGATGAAGTTCAAACGCGGGCTGCTGAAGAGCCCCGAGTACAGGACGGGGCGCGTGAGCCCGCGTGCACCGGACACGCTGTTCAGGATTGACGCTGGTCCTGGGGAGCCGGCGACGCCAGGACCGAGTCGGGGTGGGTTCGGCGAGACGGGGCTGGGATTGAAACAGGGCAAGGCGTCATCTGCGCCGATGACACAAGGTGGTGGCATGACGGTGGACGCCAGGGCGCGGGACGCAGACGAGCGCAGCGTACTGTTGATCTCACGCCATCCTGGAGAGGACTTTGATTTTGATCTCGAGCTGGGCGAGTCGGAGGCGGGGTGAGCCCGACTCGACCGAACGCTGTCATCTGTCGAATGCTGCGGGGATTGCGCCGGCTCACCCATCCCTTATCATCGTGTCTTCATGCAGCCTGCGCCCATCTTTACCAACCCGTCCGCGTCGGCATATCCCCCCCAGGTTCTCATGCTCCGTTCTCTGCCTCGCCGACGTCTCCGGCTTTTGCATTTACACACCAGGTCTCATTCCAGCTATCACACTATCATCTCTCTCATCTCGGACTGTGGAACATACGTTAGCACCCGGAAACTGACAGACTGCACTACTCCTACTGTAACTTATCGTGACTCATTATGTTTTCTCTTCCTTTTCCTCTTTTCCCGGACTCCAGAGGAGGAGGGTGTTGTCGACTACGTGCTGACTACTGAAGCAAATTGCAGAAGTCTCTTAGTCCTTGTGAGTACTGCGCTGTAGGCCCGAGGCGGGTACGAAATGGATACTGGCGTCGTAAAACGTTTGGTGAGCGTTTGCACATCGAACGTCTAGTTCCTTGCCGCTCGCCATCACAGTCCTTATCTGATATTGATGGGGAGGAAGATGGTGGTGCGCCTCGTCAACATGGATGTGATGTCCCAATCCACGTGCGGTATTATATGCTGAGCGCACCGCCAGACGTTCTTCTGGCAGTTCGTTGCGACTATGCGAGGATGAATATGAGGTTGCGCTCCTGTGCCAATCTTGTGAACGGACGCGAACGCGGACACGTACTTCACCAGGCATACATCTGTTTCACGTTTCCATTGATGATCCACGTTGATCATCGGGTAGGAAAGCGCAGTTATGATCACACAACCCAATGGATGCGTACGAAACGCTTGATGAGCTTGTTTCGATACATCTTTAAGATCACGGCTGTGTCGTTGCAGATAGCAAACTGGGAACACAGCATTTGGCGTCCTATGTGGGTCGTCGGAAAGGGCAATGCACGAGGGTACGAAAATGAGCGCTTGAGAGCTGCACTGTCTAGGCAGAAAGAGTAATAAATTCCAGCCCGCCTCTTTCCGGACCGATATAAATGCTTGTCTTCAACTTTGTATTGGGAGACGTAGATGAAGAGATTGTGCATGTAATTGTTTGTGCATGATTGGACAGTGGGACATGTCGGCATGTTGCAGGTGGCAACGAGATGAGTCCGCCCAATAGCATCCATAACAGTTGCACCTTGTTCTTTATCACAATGAAGAAACGGTTGAGCCCAATATCGAGATCATTCCCGAGCAGTCTTGAGGAGAGCTTGTTTAAGTATGTCGCCCTTGTCATGTGGGAGAACAATGATCTCCGGTCCGTCCTCGTGCGCACGGGTTTCAACCCGATAGTACCAGTCCATGCGGCCCTCTATGCTTCGCATTGGAGCGATATTGATGTACACTAGCGAAGGGATACAAGCCGCAATCAGCCTCGCTTGTTTCACCAAGGATGATCGATCGTCGAGCTGGTGGCCCCAGGCGATCAGACGGATCGCATGCAGTGGCACTGATGTGAGAAGAGGGGCGAAGCGGACCTGTGATAAAAGAGCAGATGCATCAGCATGTGTTCTACCATCTATTGTCAAGAGCATCTACGCACGATCCAGTCATACAGGCGGACGTTCTCTGAGTATATGCGCATATAGCGGCAGCATGTGGCGGATTTCGCGATACATTTGAGGAAGCGCGTAGTGAATACGATGCAAGAAATAATGACGGGAGATGCACGACTGATCAACGTCGCAGTGGCGGACCGACTCTTGGTGTTATCACCGTAACTGCCAGTCAGGTTGAGGTGACGGACCGGGTGAACTAATGCAATGGGACGATCCAACTTCACTACGTCCAAGTGGGTCCAGCCATCTGGAGTGTTCACAGGACCGTCATCCACAATGCTTGACGGATTGCCTTCCGCAACGCCCTCGGGTTCAGCGACAATCAGCCCGACTGCATTAACGTTCCGCACATTAGGAAAGGCTCGGAAAAGTGTCGAAAGACTGTTGATTGTCCCCGACACAGTCAGGTCCTGTATGGCAGGCCAGATGATGCCTGGCTCGTACCCTTCTATTAGGCCGGCACATGAAACGAGTGATAGCCTGGTCAGAGAGTCGGTGAAATTGTGAAGGAAAGACGGACAACGTTGGATAATCGCATTGTGGTGAGGTGCACCAATGGATGTGGTTGCAGGCTGAAGGAGGGCCAGCATCTGGGCAATGATCCCGTCAGGTCTATCAAAAAGAACAGTCACAGAACGTAGGCGGCTCTTCATTCGAGCAAGCAGAGAGAGGGAGCGACCGTCCACGACGTAGAATTGTACTTCTCGGAGACTGGTGTTTTCCGCGAGAGCATCCGCCAGCACAGGCGAGGAATTGAAGACAACCCCTAGTGTTGGCGAAGACGTGTTGTCGAAGCGCACTGTCCTCAGACCCGCTGCGAGAGCTAACACACGTGCGAGCATAGAAGCGATGGACGCGTCGAACACGAGCTTCTCCATACCTATGCGACGGCGCATAGAGAGGGATATGTCGCTGAACTTGAGGCTCCTGATGCATGGTGCTCGGAGAGGTATGTCGGAGAAAATAAAGGAACAGAAGCTCAACGTGTCCTTTCCGGTTTTGAGGTTGATATGCTGCAGACGTCGAGGCATCGCGATTGTATATGCCTCATGACAAGTCATAGCGAATTGCAGTGCCTCCAACGGCGTCATGTACGACAAGGTTGCCTGCAACACGTCATCGTTCATTGTGAGCAGCATTGGGGGAGGCAGAAGGGATTTGGAGTCGAATAGGCTGGGCAAGAGATAGATGTGGATTGAGACAAAGATGCAACGCCAGGCGATTCGCACGAGCCACGACGCGATCTCGTGATGAGTGTGCTCAGCGCCTGTGGCACGCATATATCGAGTGGCTGCCTCTCCAGGCTGTGTTCGGAATGTATGCACAAGTCGCATATTCTCAGAATAAAAAATTGGAATGATATTAGTGACTTTGGATGGATGGCGAAACAGGTGGGCTTCTACAATTCATTTGATGCTGATTTTTCACTGAGCGCCTTTGGCATGCATTCATCAGTGGCTTATTCTTAAAATCAAGAATTGGAATGATGTTAGTTACCTTGGATGCCAAGCCGCTGGCGCAGTGGTGTCCTGGTGGTGTAGTCTACCGGATAAATTACTCCAGCGTTGGCCTAACACTCCGAATTAGAAACCAAAATCTTCGCGGATTCTGAGCAAAAAGCACGGCTCTCTCAGCATCAGAAGTGGAGTTGAATATAAGCAAGACAAATCATATGGCATACTGCACTCCATCACAGGACAGAGCAGACTGATTACAAGTTTTATGAGGATGTGCATCACATGCATCACAAAAGTGACTGAGCTGCTTCGCATTAATCTGTGATATCACAGTACTAGATGCATTGTATCACGACGACTCCGGGCCTAGTATCCAAGCTCGGCAGCGTTGAGTCTATGCTTAAAATTCATTATACACGGAGGATATATGAATGAATAATTTATCCTGAAACCGGAGAGGTGGGAGCCGTATTTCGTGGGCACAGAAGATAATGTACAATTCCCCAAACCCTATCGCAGCACTGTTTGCGGCGACATGCACACTAATAAATAGGGAATTGCATATAATTTAAAGCTAACAAACTTGAACATGCTAGTGATTGAGTAGTGCTCTGTTAACACTGCCCCGATTCCGACGAGTCCAAGATAACAGACAGGTGGCACAAACGCGATCATGTGATGTGATGCTACGACGCGACGCGGTGGTGGCTGAGCGCGAGCGGTATATATGCGAGGACAGAAAGTTTACTCTGACATTTACTTTAGCTAAACATGCTGAGGTGACCGGAACACGAGACACCCAGGGCCACATCCGCTTCGGCCACAGCAATACATATCTCTGCCACAGAAAAATCGTGTTCCTTGAAATTGTGGACCAGAGCAGCGTGAGCTTCACAAAGGGCAAGAGAACATGCAAGAAAACATTTTTGAGGAAGAAATATGTAGGCAATGAGTCAACGGTATTGTCAAAGAACGTTATAGCAATGTATCTAGTAGACGACGGGCGCAGAGAAAACAGCGAATCACCCGGACATTGATATCCGTGTTTTTTTTGTGTATAAGCGAAGTAAGAGCGCATACATAGGCATGAAAGCCGAACGCTTCAGTGCGGCCACGAAGTGGCACGGCATCTGTGGCCGTGGCTGGATGCTCGGTGGCAGGCGCTTATAGAAAAGCACCTACATAAATAGCAGCTCTGACCGCTTTGGCCACCCTCTAACCACTTGCCTCCTCATCACGACAAGAGCACGCACTGCGCGACAGACCTTGCATCACGTACAACAGCTCACTGAGCTTCATTGCGCGTGGCATCGACGTTGTCACTGCTTTACCTGTCCGTTGTCCTTTATCTTCGTTTCTTGATCTTCGCATCCGCTTGTCAACGATGGCATTCGGTTTTCTGGCAAGAGCGCGCAATGCGATCATGAAGAGGTTGCCGTACATCATTGTGATCATAAAGCCCCGGCCTGAGCTGTCGGAAGCTGTATGTGGTCATCAGGCCACTCCCATCGTCTACAAGACCGTAACTATGCGTAATGGAAAAGTCAAAACGAGCGGGATGAACGACCAGTTGGTACGTCAGCCTTCCATCCAAACCGTGTTAACTTTTGCACTCACCATACGATGTCGGGACTATTCGACCCGTTGCTACAGTTATTCTCCATCACCAACTCTGCCGAGTCCCGACGCGACGATGCAGACTGGCAATGCATCCTTCCTCGCAAGGATAATCGGGCATCTCTCCATTGCATGGTAAGTAACCTTGTTTTTGGAAAACCACTCGTTTTATATACTCACATAATGCGAAGGTCCACGAAGAGCTCTTTAGGATGGCCCTTGCCCCGGTTGACCTCATGCGCCGGCTGCAGAGAGAACAGGAAATCACGGAAGCGTTTGATTTTTATGAGAACAATGATGATGGGATGAGCTGGATGGAAGAAGACGCGCGAGCGCAGCATGCTGCAATTGAGTTTGTGTCGGTGAGCGATGCAGTATCTGCGACGAATGCGGTCTTTAACCAACGCTCGTAGAATTGGGAGAACGTCGACTCCTACGACCCATGGTCTGCAGAGTGGCAGCGCGACTATCGCGAGGGGATGTACAACGCCGGGCGAAGCAACTCTCACTGGGCTTCTGACCGTCGGTTCTCCTCGTCCTCGTCCTCCTCCGAGTTCTCAATGAGGAGGGGGTTAAGTCAGCGACTTGACAAACGCGAGGAAGCCGGCTATCCCAACCTGGCTATTCCCTCCGGACAGTCCTTGACGTCTCTCCTCCAGGGCCCAACGGTTCCTCGTGCTATGTTCGACGAAATGGACTTTGAGGTGTTGGAAGAGGCGATGGAGTCCTTGGCACGATTGGAAGACATTCACCGCGTTTAGCGCCCCTGTATCCAGGGTTCGGTGTACCTATACATAATTAAGCTGTGCAGGTGTAAACAGAGGTAAATTTACGTTAGATAAACCGACTTCGTGTACCTACCGAGAATCTGAATACACGGAGGTATGCGAATGCACGTACCAGTCATAGCCAGGCATCCGTGTACATGTGTAGCCAGCCCCTATGCTCAGCATGGTGTAGAGGCCAAAAGTTCACATGTGTGTACCCGAGTGTAGGTCATATATTTACAGGTTAATCTACATTTGCGTAGCAAGACCACGGCGCTAGCGCCCGATTACCATTCTGGGACATTTCGCGCCCACGTGATATGAATACCGTGCGCGCCACAGGCGCATACACCCACTCGCTCCTCGTCGTTTGCACATTCCACTGGTTTTTCCATCATGCCGCTACGAGGATGGCATCCATCCTATCCACCTCCACCTACTGGTCCACCAGCAACTCTCCCGGGGGCTCCAGTACACCCAGAAATCCAAACAAGTGTGACCTTTTTTCACCAATATCAGCTTTTTGCTGCCGAATTCCAGAAAAACACACCTCTAGGCATACCTATTCCATCCATACAGCAGTTCGCAGAGTTCCAGGGCATGCTCTCAGGTCATATTCCTCATCAACAACCCCTCGCAGCCCCTGCAGTCCCAGCAATTCAACCTCATCTTGACATGCAAGCGGACATTGCTCAGCTGCGTAGAGAACTACAGGAGATGAAGGATAAAGCAGGTAGACAGCATGAAGAGAACGAAGGGACAGATAGCGAGAGTGACGCACCTGTTACAAAGCGTCGCAGAAAGACATGCAAGTCTGTCACAGCCAAGAGGATCTTGAGCCTTGAGAAGGGGAATCTGTCGAAAAGGCAAGCGGAAGTGCGTGAAGAGCTTCAGGTGCAATCACACTTCTAACTTGATATGTACATCAGCTAATCTTGGATGAGCGTAGGAAGCAGTCATTGGACATTTAAAGACACTCACTGGCCTTCGTCGCAATCCTTTTCCATTGCAAGGAGACGTCAATGATGAGAATGATGATGTTGATGGTTCGGCGCAGGATAAGCCGAGCATGGAATTCAATTTTGATGAGACTGTGACATATGAAGAGAACGCCGCGATCATTCGTCACATTGCAGATTTAGTGTACAAGGAACAGACGGTGCGCACCTTTTCAGCTTTCTAAACACGTCAACGATATTTAATGAGTATTCTAGAATGATGTTTCACGCACGATAACGCATCCTGATGTCAATTTCACGAAGCGCGACTTAGAAGAATTCGCTAAGACACGCTTTCGCACCTGGAAGAGGGCTTACCAAGCACAAAAAGATGAACTCAAGAAAGCGGCGCAGTTGGCAAACCAGGCACGCAATAGACGGCGTAGACGGCAGGAACAGGTTCGTTGCAATAATATAGTCATTTAACTGCACTAAAAATCTCAGTAAAGCTCAAACAACTGCGTGGTACAGCTGTCAAGGCGTACCAGAAGAGGTTCAAGGTTGACCCAAGTCCAGTCCTTCTCACCGACTGGATGAGCGAGGCATGCAGTGACTGGAGTGACGAAGAAGAAGCTCGAGATGTTCATCGACAGCTGCTTGCCACAAAGGCTGGACTCACCCAGGAGGAAATTGAGGAAGGCGTTAAGGTACTTGAGCGGCGCTCGCTGGCTTGGCGGTCTGGTCAGGTACATTTCGAAGATATCTAGAAGAGTATGCATATGATTGATCTTTTGACATCACTAGCTGTGCAGCGTGCTTGCGAAGCTCGATCAGATTGTGCAAACGAAGCGCAAGGGACAGGGAAATGCACCAATCAAGATGAAACGTGTTGACCTCCAGCGACCATGCACAGGGGTACCACCCAGCAAGATCTATCCATTCGCAATCAGCATGGCATGGGTAAAGGAACATCCAGAACTTATGGATGAGGTTAGGATGTTCAAGAAGAATCCACCTGGCTTTGAAGACGAGCCTACTGATGTTGAGATATCCTCATCATCTTCGTCTTCATCATCAGAACGAGAGGAGCAGGAGGAGGGTGAAGATGTTAACAGCGAACACATGAACAATGAGCGTGAGGGCGTAGACAGTGAGGTTGAGGGCCTCTATCATGATGGTAAGATTTCTATGTAATCATGGCATCCTGCGGGCGAATATTGATCTGATTCCACGTATGTGATCTGAATAGATGCTACGTACTCTTGTTAAGCCCGTTGTAGCCCAAATCTTGCGAGGCACCGATGCAGAATTTTCGTGTCTGGCATTATCTGAGTCGCCGGTCTCATATCCTTGCGGCCGCACCGGAAACTTCTTAATCGTCACACGGCATGCTTGAGACTGGATGTATGATGCTGGAATGAGTGCCGGCGGGCCAGATACTAGAGGATCTTGATAGGTATTATACTCCCAGAACTTGACCTCCAGCTCAGGACTGTGAAATGTGTCATTAATTCGAACTCAATAGATGAAAAGCCACTTACTAAGGTTCCCATGCACTTGTATCCATATTGGCTAAGTCAATGAACCACTCAACATGTACCAAGTGCTGAGATTCTTGAATATTAACCTGTCGATGTGTGATGATGGCGCGAAGCTCGCCAACATAGCGCGTGTTTCCGAGATTGATTTGGATGATAGAATTAGGAGCTTTCCATCCCACTCCTCGTGACGGTGTGATGCGACGTCCATCGAGCACGAGATAATCATGAACATAAACGGTTGTGGTGAGGAAGACTGCACCTTGTTGTGGTGACATCGTCGAAATGTCAACGATTTCGACAAGCGGATAATGATCAGAATAATACTGAAGCAGCATTTTCTGCTGTGCTCTAGAGAGCTGCTGCCGTTTACCAGCGCCAAGTGTCAAACGACCATTATGACTGCACCCTGGCCGAAAGACTCAAACTAAGTGCAGGATGCGAAAGCGACAAAACATTACTCACAGTCAGCCATAGCTTGCGGCTCTGGGTGTTCGAGTGCTGCCAGGGTTCCTCGTTGATCTTTCGCTGACTTCAAAATCAACGTCGCAGCTTCTGCAGTTGCAGCTGCCTCAGCGCTTTGCTCGCCGTTGACCTCCGTTGGTATAGCGATGTCATTGAGCTAAGAAAATCAGTACGCACATACTAATTCAATGAACAATGTTGATATAAACTCACTAAACGACGCAATCGCACATCTCGTGAAAAGCCACGAAAGAACGTCACCTCAAGCTCACCTCCATCATGATTATTCGTGGAATAGCTCTTTAACACCTTGTTTAACCGCTCTGAAAGAAAGGACCAGAATCCGTATACAGGTCCGTAATCATCGATCTGGTCAAATATGTGGGTGACATAGTGAAAGTTGGGCTTGACTTTGTCGGGGTGTACCTGCAAAGTATCTGACGATCATTGTATGTTCATGATATGTAAATATTGACGTACGCGCTGATAACCTTGCAGATACTCCTCCAGAAGTACCCGTGCACGATCTAATTCTGGCTGATATACAGTACGTGCGAGAATGAGCTTGAGAGCAGTCGCAAAGCTCAGAAAGTTGTCAGCGTCATCAGCGTGCATACGACGCTTTGGTTTTGATGCAGGTGCTTCCTCGGTGCCATCCACTCTTCGTTTACCTTTATCTATCCGACGTTTACGTGCTTCCTCCTTTTTCTTCCACGTCTCGACTGCCTTTTGATATGCCTTCTCTGCAGACGGCTGCCATTCTTGCCAGATTAATGGGACCTATCAAGAGCAATCTACGAGACAATTCAAGATCTGAAAATGAAAGACGTACCACGACTGGCCCATAGTTAAGCACGAGGCCCTTCCACTCATCTGCAGTAAGTGATCCTCCTGCAGGGTACCCTATCTCACTCGGCAGTCGTGCAACCCAACGAGGCATTTCAAACTGGCGAGATAGTGCAATGAATCACGAGACGACACAGAGCAATGGAAACTTACATTCGCAAGGTATTCGTGGACTTGGTCCAGTTCTCGCTTGACTTTCTTGCCTTTGGTTCGCTCTCGCAATGCATTCTCATCAATCCAAACATTCAGCCATTGCGTCTTGACTATGCCTTGATATATTGAAAGATTAGTAGTACAATTACAATTCGGAGTGAGCGAAACACGTACCAAGCAGAATGTTATGCATTGGATCTATGATTGACATACGCACCGCATCGAAGTAAGGTAAGCGCGAGAGCTCATAAAATCGCACTGCATGTAGAGCGAAGAGTTCATCGCATTTTTGACTATCCGTTTCACATTGATATTCAAGAGCATGCCGGCGATGTTCCTCTTCGTTGCGTGGTGGGAATGCTTAGAAATGGAGAGGTTAGGTACCTCAAAAATAGGTTCAGAAGGTCAAAAACTCACCGTTTATGCTCATGCCTGCTTGCGTCGAGAGTTGATCACGAGGGATTTTGCACTTTGTACAGAAAGCTGTCTTGGTGTTGTGGTCACCAAAGCCACACATGCGGCACAGTGCTGGATGATCACATATTACGCCTATGAGAATAACGCGCACTCGACGGCCTATATCCAGTGGAGTAATCAGACTGAGTCATTCAATCTGTTATATCGTGCTTTACCTTCTGGGAACAGCGGCGTCTTCACTACGATTCCATGCTCGAAGAGAAGCAGAAGATCAGTTACATACTCTTCAAGAAAGAGTTGTAACTCATCCCCCGTTAGTTCCCGTGGGCCCGGTGATAGGCCACATAGGATGAGATTGCGTGATTGATACCTGAAGTCGTATCAGCCACAGTGCATGAAAATGAACTAAAACACGTACTTTTGCTCTGTATCGAGGTTTGCAATACAGTTTGAGAGGACGCCGGTGCTATGTTTACCTGCAAACTGGCTTCGCTGATAAACAAATCTATATAAGGTCAAAATCAGCATCGAAGCGTTATAGATAATGTCATCGTACCCGTCGAAGCTAATGGTTACCGCAATGCGTAACTCTGTTGGATCAAGGCGATCAGGACCATTGTAAAAAAATGGCTGCGATTGACCTGGTGGCCCAGGAAGCGATGACCACAGCTTGCCGTCATAGACGCCTCGCATTGCGCCAGGCCGTGGTTCGCCTTTCAAACGCCATGAGTCGATAGACTCTTCTAAATGAGTGACATATCCAGGAAGTTGCTCTGACAGTAGCGAGTATGGGACCTGTAGCTTCGGTGTGGACATCATGCGAGTAGTCTGTGTTTCATCTACAGCATCAGAGAACATCGAATTGGATGGTTTGAAGATCGAAATGCTGCACTTAGAACACTGAAGATCAGGAGGAGAATTCGCAGGATAGAGCCTATGGCAAGCGGGGCACATGGCCTTGACCTCGAATTGATCTGTAAGCGCAAGCCGGTTCATTGACGTCGTCAGAGTAATGGGAGTGTCAGATGCCTTATCAATAAGCCCAAGAGCCACGAAGATGATGCGTAGGACCTGGAGTATCAGAGCGCACGCCCGGAAGGGCAGATGGTACTGTAGGTAGAGCCAAGAACATAGCAGCATTAGTATGCGCCAAAACCAAACTTCGCTAGAGCTGAGCAGAAGTTCGGTTGATGTTGCGTGATGGTCCACTGAGTGCTCTTGACGTCGACGATGATCTGCATGAGTAGGCACTCGATCTGGTGTGGATCGATGCAGCGGCAAAGGGACCGGCCCTTGCAATTCATTCGGCAGTGACGCAGCAAGTCCTGGGTGGTTATGCTCTTCATCAGCATTGCGTGAGGGTGTCTCGGACACCACAGAATCTGGGGCATCCATTGGAAGCCCAACATCAGCTACGTCGTTCGATGAGTGGATCGACGGAGCATGCTGCTCCTGCCAGTGTGCACTAGGGAGATCGACACGATGACCACGTAGGACCTCTGATAGATTGCTAGCGCGTTCAATGGCTGCTTCTAGACTGCCGCTACGTTCTGTGTTGTAGATAGATAAGAATAAAGGGAAGGATTATCAGTTTTGATTACACGTACCTTGTAGAGGAACTCGTCTCTCAGCCTCTGCGGAGATATCTAGAGATCCTGAGTGCGAGGCTATAAAGGGCTCGTCCTGCAAGTCCAAGGCGGAGAGGTCCTGACAAAATGAACTTGCACTATTCGGCATCTCATAGTCTTCCGAAGGTCTCAGGCTGTCGAGAGAAGCATCGTGCTGGAGAGACACTGGGACAGGCTCAGGGGAACTGGAAAGAGAATACAGTGACTTAGAGGTGGAATGAGTGGGAGCAGTCACCGTCGATGCTATGGACTCAAGACGTGAAGATCTAGGTACATTGGATTCTGGCACTGCAAGAGACGGTATTGGGATGGCGAGGGGAGCATTAGATGGAGGAGATACTGGAGACGCGATTGGGCGTGGGTCAGACGGCGGCGAGATAAGCTTTGACCGGATTGTCTCCTTTGATCTCGTCGAGTCCTTCGACTTAGGACTCGGCTTCAATTTCTTCAAGACTTTTCTAAAAATGCCAGATTTTGTCAGTTTCGTTAGCTCTCCGTCATCGTCATCGTCGTCTGAAGCCTCCCAAGTAGCAAGGTTTGCTGTCCCAGTATTGTCGTCCTTGGCATGGTTCAGTGCTACAGAGCGCGACACAAATTTGCCGTTGCAGCTGTACATTTTACAATAGCATCGCACTTGTTTTTTCTGGTAGTCGTACTGCAGCGCATTACATGAGCAGGTTGGGAAATCTCTAAAATGCTATAGGTGGCACACCTTAAGCTTTGAGCTACTCGCGTTCTTCGACTTCAGTGGCATGACGAGGCAAACGGTCGTGGAGACACAGAAGAGAGATGGGGAAAAATATATCAATGCGTGCTCTGGCAGAGTCTGCGCTCAACCTTGGCGCAGATCCTGGTAGGAAGCATACACCATGTATGGATAGGTGATCGGTAACGACCTAGACCAAGGTTGCGGTGATGGCCTGTACACTGGGATTGGCCTACCCGCCTATGCGAATCTAGACCCACCTACGCAAAGCTAGCGAGGTGTTGAATAGCTCGTCTATTCCGCGCATTCGTCTACCATCAGATACTAACACTAAGCGAGGCTACACACACGCTACGTTATACTCCACTACGCGAAGCCTGAATCTACACCGCGTACAGCTTGTCTATACCTACCTACACGGATCCACGCTAAATCGGTGTACCGAGACCCTGAACGCAGTGATTCAGAATAGGATTGTAGAAGGAAATGTGAAGGATGCGTGTGGGGGCATCCTCTGATGGGAGACAGCCAAATAACGGTCTAGGGCACCCCAGCGGTCGCGAGACACCGGAGGCATTGAATAAGAGGGATTGCGCATCGGAACATAGAGGGGGTGCAAGGAGGATGGCGTAGATATGTCAGAAAGGTTCTAAAAATGTTTCAAGGACGTAGTTAATGATATTGCCCTGCTATGATATATAGAACATACCGCCGATGCAATCCCATGTTGTCTAACAATAAGAGCACACCGCACGAACATTGAAGCTCCGTGAGTGGATGCCACTCAATATCCTAAACCGGACACGGTTACTTTGGCGCCCGAGGCCAACGTGGTCGTGCTCTCGCCCTCTCGAGGCACGTCTTCCCTTTATCGCGACTTTCACCAGCTGCCTGCAGAGTACACAGGAGATCAGTTAGTGCATGAGCCTGCCACCGATGTATGATGCACTTACTGACGCCCTGCTTTAATCGACCCTCGTCTCATCATCCAGCTGCGGACACGCGCCACACTCATCATCTAAGCCTTGCTTATGATGGCCACTCCCAGAAAAGAGACAAACTACCTAGATTCGAGAAGACACAAAGAGGCGGGGCGCCCACTGCGCGTCGAGCAACCGGACGCTCTGTGCCACGCTAGTGTGTCAATAACGCACGATTATAGCAACACTGCCTGCATAAGCACACAAGAATTTACGGAGGAGAGCGAGCAAGCGGTATGTTAGCGAGACATACGCCAATCCGTAACATCCTGTGTGCTTACCGTGTCCAAAGATCCTCCACCACTGGGACGGATTCCACCTTGCAGGGGCGGACACAACGCCTGCTGCACCGGTTCCATCGGTCATTAAGGAGGCTACAACGACCGACAACAGCTGGCGCTGCCCAGCAGACTGTAGCAATGGGGAGGAGCAAGGGGGAGATTGTGTGCATAGACGACTGGTGAGCTTGTGAAGGATCATTTTGAGAGAATGACGTTGGTTCAGCTGTTTCCTCCAGATGTGGGCCTGGTTCTATGGCGTACCCGTGCGTCCTCTTGGAGAAAATAAACGCCACACGCTTCCTGCAGACCTCCGCACTGCAACCGATAGCGCATCTGAGGGCGAACCCGACGGCTCACGGAAAACGTTCCAGAAATCGGCTTCGTCCATAAGTACAGTGAGCAAAGTGCGAATGAGGGACCACTGAGTTGTGCTGGCATGCTTACTGGTTGCACAGAGAGCGGACGTCAGAATGACTGATGCGAAGGAGGATATGGACTATCCTTCCAACCAGCTGGAAACGCCGGGCGGGGAGGACATCAAGGATACGGTCGTGCATCGCAACGTAACGATCAGCAACGTAAATATCCCGATCATGGGTTCAAGGCTCACCGCTGCTGTCCATAAGCATGACCCTACACCTACTCTGCCAGCTTCGTCATCCTACGCCAGCACCTTGCAGGTGGGGACGCGGGCTTCAGGACAAAAGAGGAGATAGCGATGATCAATGAGCAGAAGCTACAGAAAGCGTTGAAACACACCAGGAGGTTCGAAGTGCGAAAAAGCGAGAGGTGCCATCTAGGATGGTCGCTCAGAATCCGATGGCATAGGGGCGAGGCGTAGCGACCCGCGAGCCGACATGTAGAACGAGACAATGGCAGTTGATAGTGGGATGTGTTCTTCTATGTATGCGCCGTTCCTAGCCCGAATGTTGTGAATACGAGTATGTTTCATGCGAAGATAGATTGTGTGATCTGCCAGCATCCGCTGACACCCAAGCAAGCATAAGCACCGTAATATTCATCCTGATATCGGCGGACGCACATACTTCAAGCGAAGATCAAGTTGGCGAAACTGCCCATCTCGGTCGTTGTAGACAGCGCAAAGCGCGCGTCTGGGAGATGTGCAACCCGGGAGTCAATCATGTGCCTATGGCCAATTTGTGGCCCCTTACGCTGAACAACGCTAAATAAAATTCCGTTTATATGCGACATTGCGGTAATTGCGACACGAAATGTCTAGGCAGAGCCGAGCTGGTCAATACATGTGTACATTATGCGTTATAATTTTCCAAAACGCTCAGAAAACTGAAATTCGCCTGCGTAGACCTGCTTCCGCTTGTTCGGATCAAACAAGGAGATCAATCTGAGAAAGTCTCAGCACCTCTTTATTTTAGACTTTTCTCCGACTTTACTTGTTCGCTTTTCCTGATGCGGAAGGCCCCTGATAGAGAATACATCCTGCGCTTGCGATATTTGTTCAAGTGCATCAATTTCGCGAAACTACACACCGTACACAATCTGTTACAAGGCAGATGCGCATAGCTCAAGACCTCTGACGTCTCCCGTCTGCGATATTAATAACTCAGTCACGTACACCGCCTGCTCCTCTCGTAGCTTCAAGGTTGCCCAAGCAGCTGAGGAGCACGAGTCTTCAACGCAGCGATAATTTCATTTTGAAGGCTCTGCATCACACCCTGACCGAGGACACTAATGAGGACAAAAAAAAAGACAAAAGTCAAAGTCACTTACTGACGTGCTCTCGATCTTGTTCAGGTCCTGTACACCTGTGCCAGCATAAGTCAGAAGATATTCCTCCTTTCCACTCGCCATGTTCGCTTTCCTGTTTTCGGGGCGTAGGCCCTTCTCAAAGTCAGCCACGGTTTTTTCTGTGATGCAACATGCTTCGATTCCCTTCAGCCAGACGTTGGGTGGGAATGCAAGATCGTACGCAGGACTTCTGGAGGTCGAGTCAGGGCCGGCCTCGACGAGCACCTTCTTCATCTCGCCTGGGAACATGCACTCGTTCGTGAAGAGGAATCGGATTCAAGGACGACGCCTGCTGCGCCCCTCACCAGGAGCGCCGAGATCTGCACTCCCGTGTTGATGCCGCCTGCTGCGAGGACGGGAGGGCCTGTGGGTACTGCCTCGAGGACTAGCCAAAGGAACTTCTCCGTAGGTGGAGAGTAGATGCTTTTCCGTCCACCAGCTTCCGCACCTGAGGATCATTGATCAGCGGGAGGGGTGCAACAAAGACTGCGACGCATACTTACCTTCCGCGACGAGCACGTCGGCCTTCCGCTCGTTGCTGGCGCGCTCCGCTTCCTCGACGGCGTTGACGGTGATGAACACGAACGTCTTGTGGTCGCGAGTGGCGTCACGCGCACGGACTTGCTTGACATATTTACCGAGATCCTGACCGCAGGCGAACCAAACGGCAACGGGTGCCTTGTCGAGAAGCGATGCCAGACGAGGATCCGCCTCGTTATTGAACATGTCTAGAACTCACCCGACGAAGCCTACACCTACGAGGTGCTGCTTGTCCTTACTGCGACATGCTGTCACGAGTCCCAGGATTCGATGGGACATGTCACAATCGAGTCTTTGTACACTGTGGGCACGGGCACGCACGGGAATTATGCCGTTCTGGAGACAAGTCATAATCAAAGCCTTGGTAGTAGGTTGCCGCGATCAGGACGTCGTCCCCAGAATCAACGAGAACACGAGAGACTTGGCTGATCACGGAGGTGAGACCGGCACCTATGACGATGTGCTCTGGGTTGACGGGTCCAAAGGGGCCAAAATATTAATCAAGGAGGTTAGAGAGAGCGGTGCGCAGGCGTGCAGAGCCGGAAAGTGCACCTCCATGGTTGAAGTCCTAGTAATTGACATAAGTTCATTGGTGAACTTTAACATGTAACGTACAGTCGTCGAGGACGCTCGCCTTTGGCACTAAACGGAGATTGCACTGGAAATATTGCCGTAACTCTTCGTGCATTAGCGTATTCTCTGCCACGCCGTGTGAGAATAGTCGGATCAAAAGGTAGTAACGAAGTAAGCGCAGAATAGCTTGTAAGATCGATGAAACCCTGGTGTAAAAGGTGACATTGAGCATAGCTCAGGATAAAAGATAAAGCCCAGCCGCTATCTCTGGGTTGTCTTTCGCGTCATAGGCATCCACCCCAGACATGAAGCCGTTTTTTAACGCATAATAGGCATTTAAAATTCGATCTGGTATTTTAAAATTGACATTTACATTTACGCTCGTTACGTTTCCGAAGATATATATGGAATCTGGGCGTGACTATGGAGTCACACAATACGATCAGCGGTAAATTCTGAATAAACGACATTTTGCTCAGTTTATAATAATGGACCACATATGCCATCGTGTGATACGCCCTCACATAGTTCAGAAATAGCACAAGGAAAGTGACAGCTGCAAATCAACCTCCGCATATTGAAAATACGCGCGCTCCTTAAATTGGTGGAACTATGTACAATATTTGATGATGGTAGATTCCAGATCTTGGACAATAAATTTCACATGTACGGTCTACAACAGTACTAGTACCGCTCGCAGGGTAACAATTACCGCGTCGCGGTCCCCTTTAAAAGCTTCCCGAGCTCGTGATATAAGTGAATAGGGTAATCAATTCAATTCGAAACAGAACAAAGTAACTTGCCGTGTGAGACTACCGCTGAGGTGGAGTCCCAGCTCAGTTCCCTTCCACCGGAATACATCCAGACATCAGATAAAGCGGCACAGGTAGTGCAAAGATGTGCCATGTCGTCTGTGCGGTCAACAACAGCGTCCTCCCACAGCTGCAAGTTCGATAGAATGGGAAATTGCCGCAACCAGCCGGGTAACTGACTCTATTTTGCAACCTTTTAGCTATCGGACTACGCCAATCCATAATGGCCGACTTACCAAGAGCAACGCACTGAAGGAATCCCGTTTATTCTCGCTCGATGCTTGTTCCAACACAACATACTTCACGTTAGGAAGTAGAACATCCGATAGCGGAAGTCCAATGATACCGTTCGGTATTTCGTCAACGCCCGCTGCCATAAAAGGAGGAAACGTGCAATTGAGCCAGTACAGCTCCTCAAGCTCGGAGACGAGCGTGAGCACCTTGGAGAGGCTGCAAACGAACTCGGCGATCTTCTCACAGTGGAGACTAGGGAGAATCGTCAATCTCTCCAGAGTGGCGGCGCTCGTGCGCTCGTCGCCTAGTATGTGGAGAAGGTACATGGTCGGCACTGCGAGAACCCACAGATGAGATAGATCTGAAGGAGGGGTTCGTCGACGGGCTACACGGCCGTAATCTGAATGATATCCTATATGAAGTTCCTCTAGTCCGCGATGGCGCTGCAAGAAACGATCGAGGGCAAGGTGAGTAAGTTCACCCTCGATTCGTAGGATGCGGAGGGTAGGGATCGCGAGTCGCTCCAGGATAAGGGACCAGGGAGGGGAAGCGAGACCCGGTGTGACTAAAGTCAGCTCGACTAGTGAAGTGGAATTGATCATCTGCAATGTCCATTGAGACAAAGAAGAATCGAACAGTGCAGCCACCTGAGGCTGAAATGTTTCCAAGGTGGAGAAGGAAAAGTCAGGCGAGCAGGACACATGTTTGCATGGTAAGACAGGGCGGCAAATGATGCTACTTCTGTGCCAGAGCGTGATACTCGAAACACAACTGTGACGCAACGTATCCAGTACCTCCACCAGCTGCTGTCCTGGAGGTGAGTCGAGGAAAAGTTTCACGTTCCGCAATGGTGAATCAGACCCCAGGGACGCGAAGAAACGACCCAATCGCATGTATTCGGAAGGGGTGTTGATACCGACACGCAGTATCCGGGGGCACTGGAATAGCAGCGAACGCCGCCAGAAAGAAAGAGTCGCAATGGCATCATCTCTGAGTAGGACAACGACTTTGTCAGCTCCGGAAATGCGTAAGCCGTGTCGACGAAGATAAATGGGAACGGTGATATAGTGCATATGACAGGACAGGGTGGTCAGACACACAAGGTCACTGTCTGGCAGTAACTCAGCAATTGCGAGGACCAGTTCGTTGGGGACATGGAAGAAAGCATCTCTACTGGGTGTAGCAGGTATCTAGGACAGTAACCAAAATAAGCGAAAAAGCCCGGACAAACAGAACAGCACTTACGACTGTAAGCTCCTCGTGGATAAGGCACAGTGCGTCTTGATCTGCTTCGCTTATTGCAACCGAAGATGACTTTGAGTAGTGATGAGAAAGGACGATGAGAAAGGATCAAATAACAAAAGTCAATGGGTACCTACAGCTGGAAGAAACTCCTTGCCTGTCGACCCGTCATGAAGCTGGGTCGATGCTATTGCGGAAGCAAGCTGCTAAGATCAAATGAACACACTTCTGAACGCCACACTTTTGAAAACATAGCCATGAACGTACAATTTCCTTCGCAGGGACAGTATCACGGCAATGAATGGCTCTACGTATCCTTGCCACGTAGTAGAAGAGAATGCTAAGCACGCTAAGCACAAGACCCATGACTGCAAGTGATTGATTGACGGGGACAGATGGTTGAGAGGCCCTGGACTGGCGCGGGCCAAGACTTTATATCTCGAATGCGAATGAGAGAGGGCATTTGAGAGAGGGTGAGAAAGCGCTAAGCTACGCTCGGGACCTTCCACCACCATGGTGCGTACGACAGATTGTGAGACTAGTCCAGGCAAGCAAAGAGGCGGCAAATTGGTAGCCGGAATAGAGAAAGACAGCCAAATGTGCACAGGACATACGAACAATTAGCATCGAGCCTGGGACAATAGTGGACGACTAGTACTTACTTGCACGAAAAGCTTACACAACGGAAAGCCCGCTACTCTGAGCAGCTGGAGGCGCAAGGATAGTAGACTAAAAAATTAGTTGTCGACCTCGGAACAATGGATGTCGACTTACCTGCACAGAAAAACATACACGACAAATGGGGAGACAATGGACGAGCACGTTATGCATCATCGGCGTTCGCTAGGGCTGCAGTGCTAAGCAGCGTACGGAAGAATGATGATGAACCATTTGGACAATAAGTGTCAGCCAGAGAGCGTAGCGATGATGAGCCCGCTGCTCTGAGCAGCCGGAGGCACTCAAGCGGGGAGACAATGGACGCGAGAGGCACTACGCATCGTCGTTGTTCGCCATCTAGAGCGATGCGATAGAAATCCGGGAGAACAATACAGACGGAGTTGGATAATTAGCGTCGACCTCAGCGGCCGGAGACGCAAGTAGGGGGACAATGGACGGGGAGCACTACGGATCGTCGGCAATCGCTATCAAGAGTGATGCGATTGAGATGAGGGAGAACGATACTAGATGGAGTTGGACAATTAATGTCGATCTCGGGACAACAGAGGCTGACTTACCTGAAGAGAGCTCGCTGCTTTGAGCAGCCGGAGGTACGAGCAGGGAAGACAATGGACGAGGAACACTAGCATCGTCGGTGTTCGCCATCGAAGCGATGGAAGTGACTTAGCAGACGGAGCACTAAGAGGGAGAATAGGCATACCTGGCGCGGACGCATATGCCGGATCAAACACAAATGCGCGGCGGGGAACGACTTAGGAAAGAGCGGATGATGCGTGCGACGGTGGACGGCATCGGACGGACGATGGTCCACGATGTCTTTTAGCTGCGGCGGTCGATGAACCCGCGGTAGGAGGAGAACGACGAGGACGAGGACGAGGACGACAGGACGGTTCATTTTTTTCACGCTCAGGCAAGCCGAACGTAATTTTATTTAACGCTACGCTAGAAGTCTACGACGCCCACGCCGACGAGGCTGACGACGACGATGACGTCGCCGCCGCCGACAACGACAACATTGTCTGCTCAACGGACATGACGCCAAGGAGGCCGCCCCACCAAGTGGGCAGCCACCACCATGGCAGGTGGCGAAGAGAAAAAAGGCGCCCAAGAGCACGCTGGGGTAATATAAAGTTCTTTGTTCAGGGCAGGTCTGCCACTTCCCAATCAGGATATATGTTCCCACCCCCACGTCTGCGCCACCGTTACCGCTGCCCACTTCCAGATCGAAAAATATGTTCCCACCCCTGCCCACTTCCCGATGAGGATATATGTTCCCACCTCTGCCCACTTCCCGATCAAGATATATGTTCCCACCCACGGTGGCGCAGACGTGGGGGTGGGAACATATATCCTGATTGGGAAGTGGCAGACCTGCCCTGAACAAAGAACTTTATATTACCCCAGCGTGCTCTTGGGCGCCTTTTTTCTCTTCGCCACCTGCCATGGTGGTGGCTGCCCACTTGGTGGGGCGGCCTCCTCGGCGTCATGTCCGTTGAGTGGACAATGTTGTCGTCGTCGGTGGTGGCGGCGTCGTCGTTGTCGTCGGCCTCGTCGGCGTGGGCGTCGTAGACTTCTAGCGTAGCGTTAAATAAAATTACGTTCGGCTTGCCTGAGCGTGAAAAAAATGAACCATCCTGTCATCCTCGTCCTCGTCCTCGTCGTTCTCCTCCTACCGCGGGTTCATCGACCGCCGCAGCTAAAAGACGTCGTGGACCGTCGTCCGTCCGATGCCGTCCACCGTCGCACGCATCATCCGCTCTTTCTAAAGTCGTTCCCCGCCGCACATTTGTGTTTGATCCAGCATATGCGTCCGTGCCAGGTATGCCTATTCTCCCTCTTAGTGCTCCGTCTGCTAAGTCGCTTCCATCGCTTCGATGGCGAACACCGACGATGCTAGTGTTCCTCGTCCATTGTCTTCCCTGCTCGTGCCTCCGGCTGCTCAGAGCAGCGAGCTCTCTTCAGGTAAGTCAGCCTCTGTTGTCCCGAGATCGACATTAATTGTCCAACTCCGTCTAGTATCGTTCTCCCTCATCTCAATCGCATCACTCTTGATAGCGATTGCCGACGATCCGTAGTGCTCCCCATCCATTGTCCCCCTACTTGCATCTCCGGCCGCTCAGGTCGACACTAATTATCCAACTCCATCTGTATTGTTCTCCCGGATTTCTATCGCATCGCTCTAGATGGCGAACAACGACGATGCGTAGTGCTCCTCGCATCCATTGTCTCCCCGCTTGAGTGCCTCCGGCTGCTCAGAGCAGCGGGCTCATCATCGCTACGCTCTCTGGCTGACACTTATTGTCCAAACGGTTCATCATCATTCTTCCGTACGCTGCTTAGCACTGCAGCCCTAGCGAACGCCGACGATGCATAACGTGCTCGTCCATTGTCTCCCCGTTTGTCGTGTATGTTTTTCTGTGCAGGTAAGTCGACATCCATTGTTCCGAGGTCGACCTTCTCCTGGATTTCCATCGCTCCAGATGGCGAACACCGACGATGCCTAGTGGTTCCTCCTCCATTGTCTCCCCACTTGCGCCTCCGGCTGCTCAGCGCAGCGGGCTCTGTGTGGAGGTATGTCGTCCGCCTCTATTGTCCTGAGGTCGCAACTAATTATCCAAGTCTGTTTGTATCATTCTCCCGTATTTCCATTGCATGAGCGACACCGACGATGCGTAATGGGGTGAACAGCGGGCGTATAGATCTGTCGTGTATGCTTTTCGTGCAGGTAAACCCACCACTATTGTTCCAAGGTATCGTGACGCCTAAGACATAGCTTCGCAGGTGGCAGCCCTCGCATCCCTCTCTAACAGTTCTAGCCTTATATAAGGTCGCCATGATGATAGGTATGTCAAGTGCCCACATCACAGCAGTCTGATTGATAGCCATGCCTCCCTCTCGCCGATGCTACCGAACGCAGCGTCAGTTTCATCCTCATACCATGCGAGTTTGTTTTCAATCTGAAAGATTGGTCACACCGCCACCTTCCCCCGCTCGGCACGAGTTTGGTCCGGAGAGTACAGCTCCCTCACTGACTGCTGCCGTACTTCTCCACTCCTGCCAAACTATTCCAAAGCCGAATGGAGAAGTTACTCGCATCGGTCGCGGTGGCTATAATCTCCGAGATGCTTTGCGCTGGAAAGAGGCGCTATACACTCAAGTACAGGTAGGACCCATTTTCATGGCCTCACGCATTGTCTCACCATTAGCAGAATACTGTGCATCGTTTAGCAGATGCGCATTTGCAAATACATACATCATTTTCGAAGCAGTCGTCCCAGGATCTTCAAACGGTCTACACTCTGGTCAGTCCCTACGCCTATCATGTATTTCTTTATGCTTACTTGAGGGATAGGCAGCCAATGACTATCCATTCTTGACGAAGTATGAGAATAATTGGGTTGTAGCGGACTTTCTCCGCGTGTACCTCAAGAACAAGTCGGCATCTACAAAGAAAAAGACGATGGCAGAATGAGGAGGCTAGAGACTGTTTCTTTTCGGGGGAGGACCGGACGGGAAGGCTGTGATTTGCATGTAGACAGATACTGCGGGATACTGGGCTTCATACGGACTTTTCGAATTA